TATATGCTTCTATCATCGGCTAATAAACTTGGAAGCAAGTCAATCTTTCTTTTTCTTTCTTTCTTTCTTTCTTTCTTTCTTTCCTTCTCTTTCTTTCTCTTTCCTTTCTTTCTTTCTTTCTTTCCCCTTCCTTCCTTCTTTTCTTCCTCTCTTTTTTTCTTTTTTCTTTTCTTTCCCTTTCCTTCTTTCCTTTTCTTCTTTTCTTCCTTCCTCCCTTCCTTCTCCCTGTCATTTTTCAACCTTGGTAACTTGAAGACTTATGGAATTCAACTTTCTTTTAAAGAAGATTCTACTGGAGTAAAGTTCTTTCTTTCTTTCTTTCTTTCTTTCTTTCTTTCTTTCTTTCTTTCTTTCTTTCTTTCTTTTCCCTTCCTTCCTTCTTTTCTTCCTCTCTTTTTTTCTTTTTTCTTTTCTTTCCCTTTCCTTCTTTCCTGTTCTTCTTTTCTTTCCTTCTTTCCTTCTTTCCTTCCTTCCTTCTCCCTGTCATTTTTCAACCTTGGTAACTTGAAGACTTATGGAATTCAACTTTCTTTTAAAGAAGATTCTACTGGAGAGGAAGTGAACATCAAACCAGTTCTTATTGGTTGGGGGATTCTGGGAGTTGGTCCACACAACTTCAAACAGCCAAGGTTGAGAAATCCTTGCTCTAAGTAAGATGCCACTTACTGAAGTCTATTGTAGGTATAGTATTAGCAGAGCAGGGCATAGTACCTATTGAATTTATAGCAAGATAAAACGTATTGAAGCCAGTAAAAACTAACAGCCCTCCTTCTGCTCCCACTGTTGCAAACCAACTTACTTTGTAAATATATCTCTGCCCAAAACTTCCAATGGGTATGGGAGAATAATCAAGAACTGGTCTCTGATGTCCATTTTGTCACCAGCAGAATTGTCTTTAGAAATGGAATGGGACAATTTTCTGTGGGCAACTCACCACGGCCAACTTACTGGACAATTTGCTACAGCCAACTCGCCATGGTACAATTTAATAATTCAATTTTAATTATTTTAAAATAATTATTTATTTTGATGAACAAAAATTCATTTAGCGGCAAGCTGGCCGTGGCAAATGGGCTGTGGCTAGTTGGCCGTGGCAAACTGTCACAGACCCCTTAGATTTGGGGGAGTCAAGATCAATTTCTGAGGATTGAAGAGACACATCTGTGCAGGTTTCATGACAACAATAAGGAAGGGGTTGGCTAGGGCCTTCTTCTAAGATGGTCTTTTAACCTCCCAGCAGCCCACCCAAATATTAACTCAGCCTGCCTTTGCTCAATTCCTTGCTTTCATTTCAACAGAGAGACCCCCACAGCCTGAAAGTCTTTCTCTCCCTTCCCAGCCAAAACAGGGCAGATGTGCAGAGATGCTCGCAGCCCTGACGCCAGTGCCTTGCCTCCAGTTCCTTCTCAAAACAGCCCATCTTTGGATTCCTATCATGTTCAGTCTCTTTTCTTGACACAAGATGGGCAGTAAAGTTCAAGGAGACAACTGTCTCCACTCGCACCCTGACAGGTATGAAAAAGGAAGAGACGTTATGAACATCGCAGCCCGTCACATTGTGATGCTTGCTGTCACAAGAGAAGAGCCCAACACTAGCATCTGTCTGAAGGTCCATTGATTTCCAAGCAGATCTAAAGCTTGAGGATGTCTCAAAGTGATCTAGAAAAGTGCAAAAACAAAAGCTACCGGCCTTAATCTTCAGCAGGATTGTTATTTTTATTTATTTATTTATTAAGTTTACAACCCCTCAAGTGCTTAATAAACAATGTGATTGTCTGGGTCTTATTCTAATAACGAGTAGTAAAATCCTACTCTCTACCCTGTTTTTCCAGCCATTGATAAAATGCATCCCGTATTTGAAAATATTCTGTATCTTCTTGTTCTTTAATCGTCAAAGTTGAGTCTATCCATTGCTGCGCATTCCAGTATTTTTTTAATTATGTCATCTTCAGAGGGCATTTCTTTGTTTTTCCAATTCTGCGCCAAAGCCATTCTTGCCGCTGTTCATACCTTTTTTCCTCCTCATATTCTCCTGAAATTATACCTAATAGAAATAGTTCTGGTTTGAAATCTGCATGCTTTCTTAACCTTTTTCTTCACCATGTGAAGAATTTGTCCAAAATTTGTTTGCTTTACGGCATGTCCACCAAAGGTGATAGTAAGTGCCTGGTTTTTGCCTACATTTTCAACAATTGCTAGACATATTTTTAAACACTTTTGCTCATCTAGCCGGTGGGCAAGTGCCATCCATAAAATATTTTATACAGATTTTCTGTATATATGTCAGTAATAGCGAACCTTTTAGAGACTGAATGCCCAAACTGCAACCCAAAACCCACTTATGCATCCTCCAGTGCCGGGTGGGTGTGGCCCATTGGGTGGGCATGGCTGCGGTGGTAACGGCAGACTGGGTGGGACTAAAAAGTTCACTCAATCCAGTCCAACTTTGCAAGAACTTTTTTTTCCCATGAGAAGTTGAAATTGACTGATTGAACCTTTTTTTTTTTTTTTGTACACAGTGGTGGAGGCCTAAAGCAAAAAGGTTTTATAAAACTGAGCTGAAGGCCCAGGACTGGGGCGACGGCACGCGTGCCCACAGAGAGGGCTCTGAGTGCCGCCTCTGGCACCCGTGCCATAGGTTCGCCACCACTGATATATGTATGTGGTTGCCGTTGTTATTTTATAGTTTCTTTCCCAAAGCTTTTGCCAGTTTTCTAACTCTATATTGCGCCCAAAGTTCATCACTGGACAGCCACCTATTTGAAATGGTATAGAGTCTCCTGCCTGAGCAGGGGGTTGGACCAGAAGACTAACGAGGTCTCTTCCAACTCTGTTAGTCTGTTATCTGTTAAGTCATGGCGCCATGCAGTGTGAACCTCCTCATAAAAGATACCCTCTTTGCATGATAAATATTGCAACATTGCCCCCTGCTGGACTTTTCAATAACCAAACCTACATTTTTCTTCCTGATTCTCACATTTATTGTATTGGAAAAGCAGCCACGAAAATGTTTTACAGGCATTTCAATGTTTGGTTTGGTTTTAATAGGAAAATGAGAACCAGCTCTTTGGAAATGCAAAGCAGATGCATTTGTCAGGTGGGCTTGGTTACAGCTCCATGCTGGGATGAGCTAATGCATAACTGGCAAAGGGAAGTTTAATTATTTCTTAGAACACTGTTTTCCAAACTTGGCCAGTTTTAAGATGTGCCGACTTCAACTTCCACAGTTTCCTAGCCAACATGTTGGCTAGGGAATTCTGAGGGTTGACGTCCACAGATCTTAAAGTGGCCAAGTTTGAAAAACATCCTCCTAGAAGGTTCCCACAGCTGACCCTACCTTCACACGACGCCTTAAAGCAGAAACTAACAAGCTACAATTTAGCCTACTTCATTTTGCTGTGCAAACCGAGAACAAATCTACCTGAATGCATGGGGGTACATCTTGGTGATACAGAAATTCTGTCCCAGATGCCTAACCAAAGAAGGACTTGGAGAACTACCAGATCTGACCCGCTGAAATCTAGACCAGAGGTCTCCATACTTGGCTCCCAGAATTCCCCAGCCTGTGTGGGAATTGAAGTCCGTAAGTCTTTAAAGTTGCCAAGTTTGCAGGAGAAAAAATACAAGATAGATACACTTGAGAAAGCACAGGACTTTTATGAGAGATACTTTTCACAAGGAGAAGAACAAGAAAGTAGGGAAGAGAAGGGGGGAAATGGATGAGCAATGTCGGAATTTGTGTTCTATTTTAACTTCTTATGTATCTGAATTTTTTTTTTCTTATGATTGTAATGAAAATAAAATAATAAAAATTGAAAAAAAAAAAGTAGGGAAGAGCAGGAGAGCAAAAGTTACGATGAAGATTTATTAGAGGAAGTTGATCGAGAGCAAGAAATACAAAAGTTACAAGAAAGAGAAAGGTTAGAAAGAGAAGCAAAAGGAAAACTTATAGAGACAAGAAGCATAAAAAAAAATAGATCAAGTAAAAAATGGGAGACGTAATTAAGCTCTTTTCTGTAAACATTAATGGATTAAATATACCAAGAAAAAGAGTTTAAACATTTAACAATTTAAGGAAATTGGATGTAGATGTGATGCATCTTTAGGAAGTTTATAGAAAATAGGTTTATAGAAAACTACTAGAGAAAGTAAAATTTAGAAATGTTAGACACAATATTAGCATAAAACAAGAAAGGAGGAATTATTATATATGTCAAAGGAAAAATCAAATCAAATCAATATATTTGGATGAAAAGGGGTGAATTTTAATGTTGGAAATGGTATTAGAGCAAAAACAGCATATGAAAATATTTGTATGATCACCAGGCCTAGATGGAATCCCGGTCGAGTCTTATAAAAAAATACGAGAGTTACTACAATGAATAATGTTGGAAATTTAAAATGAGGTGTTGGTAGAGGCAATAGGTGTATAATAATGTATAATAATAATAATATGAATTATTCCTAGTAAGTAGTAGAATATGAAAGAAGGAAAACGTAAATAAGAAACAATGGGGCAATAAGGACAAATATTTCAAAGAAGAATGAGGAGGGAAATGTAAATAATAGAAGAGTACTGTTACAAATTGCTGTTAACAAAAAAGGATATATTATGTGTGTATGTGTGTAACATTTTGCTGTGTTTTGTTTTGTTTTGTTGGTCTAAAATAAAAATTAAAAAAAAAAGTTGCCAAGTTTGAACGTGCCTAATCTAGAGGCTCCCCAAGGGGCAGCTAAGAGATGGAGAAGGTCTAAAACAGGTGTTTCTCAATCTTGTGTGGATTTCAACTCCCAGAATTCCCCAGCCAGCATGGCTGGCTGGGGAATTCTGGGAATTGAAGTCCACAACCTTAAATTGGCCAAGGTTGAGGAACACTGGTGGTCCTAAGGAGAAGACCATCGCATCAAATAGAATTGCTCTGATTAGGTCCGCCTGTTGTCTCTTTCTCTTTATCTAGCCTAGGAGAAGAGGGTGTGTCCACCTTGTAAATCTGTTGTAAACCAACCCCTTGCTTAAGCAGAAACAGGAACAAGGAAGTGAAAACAAACAAAAAGAAAAGAACCTGTCACCATAGGCACCACGGCGGGGAAAAAATAGTCCCAGAAAGTGTTGCAGGTTACTTTTTCCACAAGATTTCCCAGGAATCGACAGCGGTAGGTAGATGTTTAATCCATTCCTTTCTCTCCTAGGTTGGTGCTGTTTTTTTTTTTGTTTGTTTGTTTGTTTTGGCAAGGTGCCTTATAAATCCAAGACTTACCCCACGTTTTCTTCCAGTTTGTTTTTTCCACTTCCTCGTAGATCTGCTTCTTCAAGGAAACCTTGCCATCCAGTTCTTGGCAGCTGTTTGAGCTTTTAAGTCCTGAGGGACACAGGTGAATCCGTCTGAACCCCTGGGATTTAGAAAAAAAAGGTAAAGGGAACTTGAGAAATCCATTTGCGTTGTTTATTTTGAAGTGTGTTTGGGTTTTTTTAAAAAAGGAGGAATCTACTGGTATGGGGGCTGTAGGAGGGATTGAAAACCTTGGGAAAGGTCTGTGTGATGGGGGGGGAGAGAATATGATAGTGAGGGGCTGCCACAGAGAAGAAGGGGGTCAACTTATGCTGCAGGGCAGGACAAGAAGTAACGGATGAAAACTTATCCAAGAGAGATCCAGCCTAGAAGGAAGGAGAAATCTCCTGACAATCAAAACGATTAATCAGTGGAACGGCTTGCCTTCCCAAATTGTGGGTACTCCCTCAATTTTAAAGAAGAGATTGGACAGCCCTTTGTCTGGAGTGGTCTAGTGCAGTGGTGGCGAACCTATGGCATGCGTGCCAGAGGCGGCACTCAGACGCCCTCTCTGTGGGCACGTGTGCCGTGCCCCGGAGATGGCGAGGGACTGGCCCCTGCCACCTTGGCCCCGGCCACCCAGTCTGCCATGACCAATATCTGGCACGGTACAATAAAGTGTATACTCTGTCACAAAACGGTACATCTCATCTTGGAGAGGAGAACAAGTACCTTTTCCCCAAAATCACCGTTTTCCATTAAGAACTCTTCTTCCACGTAGCTGCCAAGTGAAACCGGTTGCTCCGTGCCTTTCTCCTTGCAATATTCCCGATACAAAGAATATCGGGATACAATATTTCCTATCAGAAATAGGAGTTTTCATAGCCTGAACTGCAGCAGAATCATAATCATCCCTTGCTTAGTAAAATGTATGAGGCTTTTTCTTCCTTCTCATTACTGAATTGTCTTTAGGGGGGAATAGATACTTTAGACCTGTGGTGGCGAACCTATGGCACAGGTGGCACACAGAGCCCTCTCTGTGGGCACGTGTGCCGTTGCCCCAGTCCTAGGCCTTCAGCTGGGTTTTATAAAACCTTTTCACTTTAAGCCTCTGTCGCCGTGTGCAAAAAAAAAAAAAGGTTCAATCAATCAATTTTAACTTCTTGCGGGAAAAAAAAAGATCTTGCAAAGTTGGAATCGATTGATTGAACTTTTTAGTCCCACCCAGTCTGCTGTTACCACCACAGCCATGTCCACCCAATGGGCCACACCCACCCGGCACCCAGTGATAAATAAGGGGGTTTTGGGTTGCAGTTTGGGCACTGGGTCTCTAAAAGGTTCGCCATCACTGGTATAGTGTCTCCTGCGTAAGGAAAGCGTTGGAGTAAAAGACCCCCGTCCCTTCCAACTCTGTTCTTCTGGAAGCTGACTTGTCATGTTCAGGAGGGCTAGAAACATTGTTCTTTTTTTGAAAACCTGGGGGGTTGAACTAGAAGACCTCCAAGGTCCCTTCCAACTCTTCCAATTCTTCTGTATTCTGTCTTCTAAAACAGTGACATGCTTCTACTTTTTCCGTACGAGGTTGGCCCTCTCCATTCCGATGCAGCCTGTCTCTCCTCTCCCCTTCCCGTTTTATAACTGCCTTTCGTCACGGGTGAACAGTTGAACGCTTTCCCACGATTGAACTGAATGCTTTCCCACAACCCAGAAGTCTGCTTTGTGCTGAGGGTCTGTTTTGCATTCTGGGCAGCTCTTGGCTGTAGGTGCGCGGAGGGGGCGAGATGGGGACCCTTGAAAAAAACCTGGCCGGAGACATCAGTCAGCAGATCAACGATGCTCTGAGCCGTCTGCAGAGCAAGGAGCTCTTCCAAACCACCTGGGACATTGTGGCTTTTGCCGTCTTCTTCACCTTCATCGGTAGGTGGAGGGAGGAGAGGAAGGGTTTTGGGTGGGCAGCCCCTCTGCTCCTGGGGTTGCTCCTTTGGGTGGACCTGCATGATGCAAATGGTTTGGGAGGGGAGGGCTCGGGGGCTCAGAAGAAAGATGGCAGCTTCCCAGAGGTGTAAGCAGAGAACTAGGAAGAAACAAGAGCAACGAGGCCACAGAAAAGCTTGGTGGAGGCCAAACAGGCACAAGGTAGATCAAGGGAAGAAAAAGACCTCGTGGAAACTCAGGTTTTATTCTGTCCTCGTAAAGGAAACTGTTTGGCCTGCCTCCTTCAGCAATATCTCAATATCTACAGCTTCTTGGTCTAGGTGTGTCTAGTCCAGTGGTGGCGAACCTATGGCATGCGTGTCAGAAGCGGCACGCAGAGCCCTCTCTGTGGGTACGCGAGCCATCACCCAGCCCCGCCTTCCCCTGCGGACCCTCCTCACCAGCAGCCCCGCCGGAGAGTTGCCCTTGGGCGTGGCAGCTGGGCAGCAGGGACAAGACTCAGCCCCCGCGACCCATTGTGCGCAGATGATGCTGCGGGGCACAGGTGGAGGGCATGGCTGCCATGGCGCTGCAGGGCCGCTTGGGTGATCTGCTGTGGTGGGCCGTGGAAGCCGTAGGCCCTGCGGGTGGGTGGGGCGGGGGGCAGAGCAGAGGCAGGGTGGACAGAACGGGTGGGGTGGAGTGGGCGGGGCGGGTGCGGAGTTTGGGCACTCGGTGTCTAAAAGGTTCGCCATCACTGGTCTAGTCTAATGAAGAGAAGGACTGGAGGAACATGATAGCAGTCTTCCAATATCTGAGGGGGTGTGTGTGTCAAGCTGTTCTCCAAAGCCCCTGAAGGCAGGAGAAGAAGCAACGGATGGAAACTAATCAAGGAGAGAAGCAACCTAAAACTAACGAGAAACTTCCTGATATTTAATTGGACACCTCGGCTGCAGAAGTTGTGGGTGCTCCATCACTGGAAGTTCTTAAGAAGAGCCCATTTCTCTGGAATGGGATTTGCAGGGTATCCCCCGATAGGCGGGTTGGGCTAGAACAGTGTTTCCCAAACTTGACAATTTTAAGGTATGTGGACTTCAACTCCCAGAATTCCACAGCCAGCATTGCTGGCTATGGAATTCTGGGAGTTGAAGTCCTCATGCCTTAAAATTGTCAAGTTTGGGAAACACTGGGCTAGAAGACCTCCAAGGTCTCTTCCAACCCTATGATTCTAGGCTCTGTGGGATGGAAACCAGGATGGAGAAAAGCCATCCTGGTTTCTGATTGGTCATAAACTCAGGCACTGACGCCGCCATTTTTTCCGCCCATACCAGGGATGGTTCTCCTGCTGGCTATCCTTGCGTTGATCAGATGTTGCTGCTGCGATTGTGATTCTCCCAGTTCGTACAGGAAGGTAAGCAGCTTCAACAATGAAATGGCTTCAAGTTGCACATTTAATGATGGACCGGATTCAATGGCAGGAGGGCTGCTGTGTGTTTGTGTGTGTGTTTGTGTGTGTGAGAGAGAGGGGGGGGAGGGGGGGAAGAAAACAGGAATTCCACTGTGTGTTCAAGCAGAAATTGGACCATTGGTCCATCAGAGATGCTTGAATTAAGACCGCTGTACTGAGCAGAGATGAAATGCATGGACCTAAATTATCCTCTCCAATGCCAGCCTCTGGTGAGGACCCTGGTTGCAGAAGGCATCCCTTTTCTTGAGGCTGTTTTGGCTGTAGCAACTTTGTCATAACTTCATTCCTGAAAGAGCATTCCAAGTTACTTTGGACAGCGAGATGGGTGGCATATAAATTTAATATGTAACTTCCCCCCCCCCCACACACACACGAGTAAAAAAAAAAGTTCAGAGAAAATTAGGGGACAGCATAGCTTCAACATTGACCCAACAATGACTTAGAAGACCCCAGGGAACAAAATCTAGCTGTTGGTGGGTCAGACTAGGTTGCCTTTTCTTGTTCTAACAAAATTTGGATAGATATCAATTCTGGAATTGAATTCTGGTTGAATTCCCATTGGACAAATTTGTCTTTTTTAATCATTTAATGCTCTTTTTCCTCCGAGACTCCAAACATTACAGCAACTCTTCCGTTACAGGTCAAGAAAAGAAAAGTTGGTATCGATAATATGGGGATGGACCCTTAGACTCCGTATGACCAGTCGCCCGAGCATCCAGCTTTACTGATTTTTCTCTGCTCTGCTGGAATTTGTTGTTAAGAATCAGATTTCTTCTTGAAGAAACTTCACAACAGATGAGCCTCAAGAGGCTTAGATGCTCCTATGATGATTCTCAGTCCATGTCTGTCTGCCATAAGCTGGGGAGAACAACTCAAGAAGTCTCACCGTTGCCAACTATCGGCTGCTTCTGATCATTAGTAAGAAGGAGAGAGCTAACATAGTCCATGAACAATGATAATCCTCCTTTGCAAAGGCTTGCAAACATCTTGTGGTCTACTAGTTGGATCTGTCAATATGTGCTTTAAAAATGGAGCCTCAGTCACAAGGTGTCTACTTTGGCCATCTCATTTCCATCAAGTGCCAATAGCAAAGGAATACATACAACTCACAAAATGTTAAGAGCCGGCTGTTTTTATTGTCCTAGATTTCTCTATAGAATCAGCCCAGACCTTGTAACACCTTTGTACAACGTTGTTCTCCTTGCAATACTGAAAATGTTTTTATCAGTTCAGGATGCTTTGTACCAAGGGTGTTCAAAGTTTGGCAGCTTTTAAGACTTGCGGACTTCAACTCCCAGAATTCTCTGCAAGTCTTAAAAGTTGCCAAGATTGGACACCACTGATTTATACCTTCTTGTTCTAACCTCCCAGATTTGTTACTTTTCAAGATCAATGTCTTAATTTTCAGTGTAAAATGTAATCTCCGATTGCAGCGAATCTTTTTAAGTTTCGAACTGTTGTTGAATAAACTTGGATGGCTGAAAAGCGACTGAAGAAAAGGTGCTTGTTTTGATGTCTCCCCTCCCCCTCCATCCAAGCTTTGACAGACCCAACAGAGGGTGGGGAGAATCCACATGTGATTAAAATACACCAACCAGTATGGATAAAAAGCCTGGATCCTTCCCTGTCAAGAAAATTAACTTCTGGGTTATTTTGGTCCAGGACTGAATTTAGCCATTCTGGAGCAAACAGAAATTCGTTCCATTTGTCCATCTTTTCCTCTTCATCTCTCATGCATGTCCCACCACCTCTCCCCCAAAGAATCCTCTGTCAAAGGTTCTTCTCCCAAAACACCAAGCCACGAACCACGAGAACCGGACAGGTTTATTCCACACACAATACTAGGAGCAGGGATTAGGATTCACGTATGTTTAGCAGCAACCAACTTTGTTATATTAGCAAGACCACTTTGGTCTTTTCTACTGTTTGGTGGGCAGCAAAGGTTCTCTGGAAGACCTGATGAAGCAGCAGTGTCTATCTGCTTCTAAGAAATAGGGGGTGACCTACTACCAAAAAAACCAGGTGTCCCTCTAACTAACGCTTTCACTTATGGAAGTTAAGTATCACAATGGTGCAAAAGGCTAGAGAAAGGGCAGGCGGGAGGCAAAACAAAACCCAAAACATGACAAGGGAGGAACAAGAGGTGACCCACCCCATAGTTGGTCTTTCTGAGACAAGCCCAATGCAGGTCAGCAAAGGCTGCTCTTCATCCCCACTCGTTTGTAACAACCTTCCCACCCTCCCCCGAACGGGGTGCAGTTTGATCAGTGTTTATTGGCTCAGCCTGGCTTTGATGCCCATGGAAAGGAATGAAGGTACTTCTAAAGTGCTAATAAATAATGACATTCTGAATACAAAGACACTGATGTTGCCTCCTGCCCGTCAGCTACTACCCATGGAGTGGCAGAATTGGGATGTTCTTCACAGGTTAACAGTTTATATTATGAGATCTTCACGGGGAGAGAATGGCTGAAACTGACCGGACCACACTCTGCAGGAAGATCAGTAGGGCCGATAGTTCCAGTAGCCGGAAAACACAGCAATCTGGGGGGGGAAAAAAAGAACACAAAAGGAGGTCAGAAGAGGGCGGGTGATGGGTAATTAGCTCCAGTTCTTCAGCAGAGTCAAATCTGCAATGGGGGAATCGTATCCTCGACTGACATTTCCCAAAAAAGGAAGTACTGCTTTGTTTTTAGGCAAAGAATCTTGTTTTTTTTCTGAAGAGGTCTTTTGTTCCTCTACATTGTGGCACTGGACTAGACAAGGAAATGTTAAAAATGCAGGCTAAATTGCCAAAGATGCAGCATCGCCTCTCTTCCCGAGCGCAATTTCCATCTGTTTCGGCAACTTTTAATCAACAATGTGATGGAAGGGACTGGTAAGTGGAGAGCTTGGGGGTGAAGACAAGACCAACGGCCTCTTGCATTGCAACAGTTCATAATCATACGACGCTGCTTTACACAGGGGTGTCTGCAGGGTTTCGTCAACCAAGTCACAATTACGGCTGTCTGGTGCAACCAAAGCTCCACCTGTGTGTATGTGTACAGGTTGGGTGTTGATCACACGATCCCAGACACCGTCTGGACTTTTTTTTTTTTTTTTACTATACCTTGTAATGGTATGTGGGGAAAGACCTTGGGAGAGCCATCAAAGAGACACTGCCAAGGAAAGGTCAGATATTAGACAGTGTAGCCTGCAAGTCGATAGTGGGAAGAGCAATAGTTTCAGAAGAGACCCTCTTTAGTTTCTGGGTTGTAGAGGACACTGGGGGGTGGGTGTGAGGAGGTGAGGATTGTATTTTCAGACTTGCTATTAATACAGTTTTACAACGAAGTACAATGAACTCATCTGGTTATAACTCTTATCTGTTTCACCCCCACAAAGCCACCATCCATCTTGCAAATCTGCAAGGACCATGCTCCCCTTTGTCTCCTTTACAGCCTAGGACCGTAGTGGCAAACCTACGGCACGCGTGCCACAGGTGGCACGTGGAGCCGTCTCTGGTGGCACACGAGCCATTGCTGGGCCAAGCTGCTCCCTCCTCCTCTCCACGCATGCGCAGTCTGGGAATAGGTGAGAGGCTATAAAAGGAGCAACTTGCTGCAGAAGCAGCATTTGCTGCAGACAGCTTGAGAGTGAGCACGAGTCGGAGTGGACAGCGAGCGAGTGAGCGAGCACGAGTCAACAGCTCACACCTACTGCTTCAGTGACTCCATCCAGCCACCTCCTTCTTTGTCGTCCCCTTCTTCTATTGCCCTCCATCTTTCCCAGCATTAGGCCCTTCTCCAGTGAGTCCTTCCTTCTCATTAGGTGGCCAAAGTACTTGACTTTTCACTTCAGGATCTGGCCTTCTAAGGAGCAGTCAGGGTGGATCTCCTCCAGGACTGACCGGTTGGATCGCCTTGCAGTCCAGGGGACTCGCAGGAGTCTTCTCCAGCACCAGAGTTCAAAGGCCTCCATTCTTTGGTGTTCAGCCTTTCTTATGGTCCAACTTTCACAGCCATACATTGCAACTGGGAAAACCATGGCCTGGACTATACACACTTTTGTTGGCAGGGTGATGTCTCTGCTTTTTAGAATGCTGTCTATATTTGCCATAGCTTTCCTCCCCAGGAGCAAGCGTCTTTTAATTTCTTGGCTGCAGTCTCCATCTGCGGTGATCTTGGAGTCCAGGAAAATAAAATCTGTCACTACCTCCATTTCTTCCCCATCTATTTGCCAGGAATTGAGAGGGCCGGATGCCATTATCTTGGTTTTCTTAATGTTGAGTTTCAAGCCAACTTTTGCACTCTCTTTCTTCACCCGCATCAAGAGGATCTTTAGTTCCTCTTCACTTTCTGCCATTAGAGTGGTATCATCTGCATATCTTAGGTTGTTGATACACACACACACGGAAAGCAAAAAACATCCTTCAACAATTTCCCCCCCTTCACCTCACCTTATCCTTGAGCTGCTGGCAAAGCTGCAGGGAGACGGTGAAGAAAACCAGGGCATCGTTCAGCCAGGGCACCACAGACTCCACCTTGTGCACGTGGCTGACTTCATATCTTTGGTTTCCGTACTCACTGGAGGAGGAGAAAAAGAGGCTTCTGCTGTCGGGAAAGCAACCCAGGGAGAAAACATTGGCTTTCTGCCATCAAGGCAAGCTCTCCACCTGATGCAGTGGTACTTACAACATGGCCCCGGGGTTATGCAGGATGGACCCTCCAGCTGGGCGGAAATTCTGAAAAAGTAGAAATCACCCCCCATCAGTCAGAGAAATGGATTTCTAGGGATTCAGGTTTTGCATGGAAATCCTGCCTAGGTCGTGCTGTGGTCAGGTAAACCAGAAAGACTAAAACTGCTTTTCTTCTGACTGGCTACACCATTGGTTCTTAACCTTTTTAATGCCGCGACCCCCAACCGGTCGTAAGTCGAGGACTACTCAACTGGTGTAGCACCGTTTGCAGAATGGGACTTTTGGCAGGCTCAGCAGGGCAGAGACAGCCTGGACAATTCCTATTGGCTTTTGAAAGCCAATAGAATTAGACTCTATTCAGGAGAGTCTATTCTATTGGCTTTCAAAAGCCAATAGAATAAAAGGGAGTAGCCCAGCTAAGGAAAAGGGGGGAAAAAATGGTGGACTGCGTTGTTTGGCGACCCCCGTGAAATGGTCGTTCGACCCCAAATGGGGTCCCGACCCACAAGTTGAGAACCACTGGGCTACACTAACACAATCTTGAAAAATCTGACTTTGTTGTACCTGTCTTGTCTGCTTATAGTTCAGTGCATTAGGAAGGTGTCTGTCTGAGCTGTTTCCGAATGTTATCTCTTTCAGACTTAAAAATGTTTCAGCCCTCATCCCCCAAGCAATGGATCTTGCGTATTTCCATTAAGATCATCTTATTTAATCTCTGTAGGGATCAAAGTGATGCTGTGAGAACCAGAAATAAAATTTAAAAAAAATCAGGAAATAGATCAGAAGACAGAATGATTGGCTGATAATGGGTCATCCTTTTCAGCTTCTACTAACTATGTAGGATTTTCTCTACAGGACAGGTAATTCCTACTCAAATCCCTACTCCAAGGGGGGTGTGTGTGCTAATTTCTATCATTCCCAGCAAACCACCATCTTGGGGCTTCAATATAGCCTTGCCCAGATGTGAGGAGAAGCTGCTGTGTCACCAGATAACCTGTCTCATTTTCTTAATGTAATTCTGAACTTAGCGCCCAAGTAGCCTCCCTCTTGTAGCTGAGTAGCTAAAGGCAATTTACTCCTTCCTCCTGTTTTTCTCCCCCCCCCAACAATCCTGAGAATACAGAATAGAGCTGGAAGGGACCTTGGAGGTCTTCTAGTCCAGCCCCCTGCTCAAGCAGGAGACACTCTATCATTTCAGACAAGTGGCTGTCCGGTCTCTTCTTAAAAATCTCGAGTGATGGAGCACCCACAACATCTGAAGCTGTTCCACTGGTTAATTGTCCTCACTGTCAGGAAATTTCTCCTTAGTTCTAGGTTGCTTCTCTCCTTGATTAGTTTCCATCCGTTGCTTCTTGTCCTGCCTTCAGGTGCTCTGGAGAATAGTTTGACTCCCTCTTCTTTGTGGCAACCCCTCAAATACTGGAATAGTGCTATCATGTCCCCCCCCCCCAGTTCTTCTTTTCTCTAGACTGGCCATTCCCAAATTCTTGCAACCATTCTTCATACGTTTTTGTCTCCAGGCCTTTAATCACCTTAGCTGCTCTTCTTTGCACTTTTTTTTTCTCCCAAAGTCTCAACATCTTTTTTGTAATGCGGTGACCAAAACTGGATGCAGTATTGCAGATGTGGCCTTACTAAGCAGATTGGGGTGAAGGGGTGGCTGGCTCAGAGACCCCCTGTGAACTTTCATGGCTGAAGCTGCATCTTCTCTTCCCTCATGCCGGGCAATCACTTTGGCACTAGGCTGTCTCTTACAGAATGAAAGGGACTTGAGTCAAGCAGCACATCTGGTTTTCTGTCAAGCTGGGGAACTACCGCTCACTTTCTGAAGTTGCTTAATGCAGACCATGCTTAATGCAAATCCTGGATGTAGTCCCACACTATCGTTTTTGCTGCTTCTGGCTTTCTCAGTTCTCTCCCTCCTCCATTCCACACCCACCCAAAATCTTGTGAAATAGAGAGAGAGAGAGTAGCCAATGGGAGAGAGAGTTGTGCCTCAGAGTCATCCAGTGTCAGCTTTTCCAAGAAAACCAGATAGGAAGTATGACCAGATGTGCTAATTTGGCTTTATTGTGAGCCTACAATAACAAAATCTTGCAAGTCTGAGAGTTATGAACGTACCAACCTGCTACCGTCTCTTTTTACAGCCTGGTAATTTAGAGAGGCATCTCTATTTGTGAGCATCTTTCTCTGGCTGTTAGGCAGCTGCAGGCTTGTTGTTGTTGTTAATTGCGAAGTCGTGTCCGACCCATCGCGACCCCATGGACCACGTTCCTCCAAGCCTTCCTGTCCTCTACCATCTTCTGGAGTCCATTGAAGCTCACGCCTCCTGCTTCAGTGACTCCATCCAACCACCTCCTTCTCTGTCGTCCCCTTCTTCTCTTGCCCTCAATCTTTCCCAGCATTAGGCTCTTCTCCAGGGAGTCCTTCCTTCTCTTTAGGTGGCCAAAGTATTTGAGTTTCAACTTCAGGATCTGGCCTTCTAAAGAGTAGTCAGGGTGGATCTCCTCTAGGACTGACCGGTTTGATCGCCTTACAGTCCAGGGGACTGTGTCTATGTAGGGGTGTGGGTCTATACCAGGGGTAGGCAACCTTGGCTCTTTTATGACTCGTGGACTTCAACTCCCAGAATTCCTGAGCCAGCATGGCTCAGCTTGGAAACCTCTCCCTTTTCCCTCAGCATGGCTGGCTCAGGAATTCTGGGAGTTGAAGTCCACGAGTCATAAAAGGGCCAAGTCTGAAGACCCATGGGCTTGACAATAATAGAACTGGTTGGTCATTCTCTTCTTCTAGGGCAGGGGTAGGCAACCTTGGCTCTTTTATGACTCGTGGACTTCAACTCCCAGAATTCCCGAGCCAGCTTGGCTCAGCTTGGAAACCTCTCCCTTTCCCCTCAGCATGGCTGGTTCAGGAATTCTGGGAGTTGAAGTCCACGAGTCATAAAAGAGCCAAGGTTGCCTACTCCTGGCATAGGGTCATCTGCTCCAGCAGGGGGTTGGACTAGAAGACCTCCAAGGACTCTTCCAGCTGTGTTCTATTCTAAAAATAATTCCGGGAGGCAAGCTACTCCACTGATTAATTGTCCTCACTGTCTGAAAATTTCTTCTAGGTTGGGTGATGATTTGTCAGTCTGGTTTAAGAATCAATGATCTCTTTTTTGAAAACACACCAGCCCACAATCTCCCCCAGAGTTTAGGCCACACTGAAGAACTAGTGTGTGCATGAAGGCGGGGTGTTCTGTTGTTGGGCACTGGAACCAACACTGACCTCTCTGAGGGTGACCAAAGAGAGCTGTTGTGAATAGACAATACAGGGAGTCCTTGACTTACGGCCACAGCTGAGCCTGATGAACATTTCTGCTCCTAAGTGGGACAGTTGTGACGTGAACGTTGCCCCATTTTACCACCTTCCTTACCACAGCTTTTAAATGAAATCATTGTGATTGTTAAATTAGTAACACAGTCCTTAAGTGAATCTGGCTTCCCCCATTGACTTTGCTTAACAGAAGGTGGCCAATGGGGAATCACCTGACTCTGGGACTCTGCGACCGTCATAAATCTGAACCGATTGCCAAGCGCCCGGATTTTTGATCCCACCACCGCGGTCGTGTGAAAAACAGTCACGGTTCGCTTTTCCCAGGGCCTCTGCGACCTCAAATGGTCACTAAACGAAAATGGTTATAAGCCGAGGACCGCTTTTGATAGCCAAGCGTCGGGGGGGGGGCTGGGAGGCCCCTACTGCTTCCATACCTTGGTGGAACTGGGCTGCAAAGGATGCAACTGGTAGACGGTTAAGCAGAGCTTATTTAGGTTGATGTAGAAGTTGATCAGGATATCTCCGGGCAGTGCTGGAGTGAACATTTTCTGGAGAGAAAAGCAGAAAACAAACCCAGCGTTTTAATGTAGTCCAGCCAGCAGTCCCAATATCAATTTTCTCATCCTCTTAAAGGTCCCCCACCTCACCCCACCCCAATTTCACCGTGAGTCCACTGCTGGCGATCTCTGGCAAGCTCAGAGTAGCAGGAGTGGTGAGCCGGTTCCGAGCTCGTGTCAGCTGCAGCATCACAGCGTCCATCAGCTGGGGCAAAGGAAAAAAAAAACAAAAACAGCACAGAGTCTTATTTAGGTTGAGTTGGAACTGGGGTTGCTGTCAGCCCCCCCCCCTTCCACTCCCTTCCAAGATCACCCAGACAAGGAAATCAACTCCACAAGGCAGTTAACAGAACAACAAGAGTTGGAAGGGACCTTGGTCTGAGCAGTGGGAGCAGAGCCCTTGGCTCACCTTGAGAACTTCGCATCCCGTCTTGAACTGGTAATTGGCACTCCGGTTGGTAAGCAGGTAGACTGCTTGGTTGACATGGTTCCTGGCATCCTGAATCTGAAAAAGAAACCAAATAATAATAATAATAATAATAACAACAACAACAAAATACAAAGACCTACAAATAGAAATAGAAAGACTGTGGCAAAAGCAAGCAAGGGTAGTACCAATAGTCATAGGCTCCTTGGGTGCAATCCCAAAACAACTGGAGCACCACTTGAACACCATTGGCATTGACAAATTCGCTATTAGTCAATTGTAAAAGGCGGTCTTACTAGGAACTGCTTCCATCCTGCGACGATATCTGTAATACCATCAAACATCCACATCTGCCTATCCCAGGTCCTGGGTAAGGACTCGATAGGTAGACAAAATGTCAAATCCAGTCTGAACATCTGGCTGACTGTGCGATGATCAATAATAATAATAATAATAATAATAATAATAATAATAATAATAATAATAATAATAATAATAATCCTTTATTGTCAAAGTACATGTGTACAATGAGATTGGTTGAGCCTCCCTTCGTGCATTCCCCCATCACAACTCACAATGACAACAAACACACAATCTTATTACACCATGTGAACTTATTGCACAATGCACCGGCCCCGCAAGTCTATCGTTGTTGTTGTTGTTGTTAGTTGCGAAGTCGTGTCCGACCCATCGCAACCCCATGGACAACATTCTTCCAGGCCTTCCTGTCCTCTGCCATCTTCTGGAGTCCATTTAAGCTCACAGCTACTGCTTCAGTGACTCCATCCAGCCACCTCATTCTCTGTAGTCCCTTTCTTCTATTGCCCTCAATCTTTCCCAGCATTAGGCTCTTCTCCAGTGAGTCCTTCCTTCTCATTAGGTGGCCAAAGTACTTGAGTTTCAACTTCAGGATCTGGCCTTCTACATGGAGTTATTTCCCATTCAGGAGTCTGACAGCCATGGGTAGAAACTGTTCTTCAGCCTGTTGGCACAGCTGGCTATGCTTCTATATCTCCTGCCCGATGGTAGGAGAGTAAAGAAGTGCTGACCAGGGTGTGAGTCGTCCCTGAGGATTTTCCTCACTCTTCTAAAGCAGCGGGCCTTGCCCTTGTTAATAAACTGTGCTTTTTTTTTTTTTTTAAATCAGAGCAGCCAAGAAACCAGGTAGGGTCCTTTCTGAGCCTTTTGCCCCACCCGCTCTCCAGCTGTGGGCTAAGCAGTCTCTTATCTGACCGTTTCCTTAGCAGCGTCTCTTCCCCGGCTGTGAACAATGTCCAACTGAACAGTAAGATTGAAAGAACAGCTGTCTAGGGGTCTGTCCACCCTGCTCCCGGATTCAAATGATGCATGCATTTTTTCAATTAGCTGATTTAAATGCAACTCAAAGGGCAGTCCCACATTTGGGGTAGAGCCCTACGTCTGTCTCCCCAAACCGTGCCCTCCAGAGAGAGAGAGAGAGACGGGCATTTTCCTTAAAAGCTCTGGATTTTTGTTCCCCGAGTGAAAAAGCAGGACTAGCAAACGTATCAAACACGGGAGAAGGGAGGATTCCCAGCCTTCCGTCTGGTCTGGATTGTAAACTTAACCACTCTGAAGGGTGTTCTAAGCAGGGAGTCCCCGACTTACGACCATCCGTTTAGCAACTGAAAAAGTGTCTTAAAACTGGTCGAAAATCTCCGCCCATTTGAAGGATCATTCACAAGAAAGATATATTATGGTTTGGAGAAGATGGACTGATTATATTCAGAAGAAGTATGAAACTGAAAAGTATTACCTTGCTTTTGAATAGATTTTAGATAATTATTAATAGTATTAATTGTATTATTATTGCCGTCTTAATTTGTGAATATTGGTTTTGAGAAGGAGTTAAAGTGTATTATGGTTTTGATTGATAGTTTAGTTGGTTTATGTTAGTTAGATTATGTTTGTTTATTTGTTACCCTGTAATCAGCTCTGGGAACTGGGGGAGGGGGGGAGGGGATGGGTGGGTTTATATTGTAATTTATAAAACTTTTAATTAAAAAAAAACTGGTCCTTGCATTTACCACCCCCCACCTCCCCTGTGATCAGGATCCAGAGATTTGGCAACCAGCTTGCCTTTATGATGGTTGCACCGTGCCGGAGTCAACTGATCTCCATTTGCAAGCTTCCCAGCTGGATTCCCACAAGCAAAGTTCATGGGAATCCATCAGGGAAGATTGCAAATAACAATCACAGGATGCCTCTTTTAACTACCACACTGTTTAACAGTGAATTTTCCAATCTCAGTTGTGGTTGTAAGTTGATGGCTATCGCAAGGTACCCAAACTGCACCCTTTGGACCAGGATGGCTTTCTCCAAAGCCTAAGTGTTCCCAACCAATACAGGCAATTTTAATGAGGTTAGAGGCCACTGGAGCAGGATACAGCTGCCCTCTGGCTGATTTGGAAACAAGTCAACCTCTCTCTTATGTACAGGATAACAAACGGAGAGGTGTTGTGTCAACATTTCCCTTCATAAAAAAACAAAGCGTCTCTGGAGTTTCTTTACTAGAGAAGTCTAAAACTCCGTGGTTCCTACAACTAGCCCAATTTCGATTGATTTTTTTTCATCGATGCGATATTTCAAAGGCAGAACTCCCATCTTCACAACTTGGTTTTGAGAAAAAAAAAACCCACAATGGTATCTCAGAATTTGGGTTTTGGGTAGGCAGTTGAAAAAAGCATTTGAGGGAAGGAAGCTAAGAGTAATTTGGAAAATCCTTGCAAGTTTGGAAAGTCCACATGTTCTCTTTTCTCTTGGTATTTTTTATTCCCCCCCCCCCCCCAAACCAAGACCCTCAATTCTTTTCAACAGGAAGAGAAATCTACCAAAGACCAAGGCGTTAAACCTACTTGCTGGAGTTTCCACTGTTTGTCATCCCGGAAGGCAAAGTGCACCAACTGGTTATTTCTGGGCATTTTCAGGTTAATGTCCTGTTAAAAGGAGAAGGGGGGGGGGGAAAGGAAAGGCAGAGACCTGTTAGATCACACAAGCTTCCTTTCCAGAATTCCAGGTTCAGCAGGCATTCTCCCTCCCGCCTAATTTCCAATGGGGGAAAAGCAAATTCCAACATTTGACGAATAAAACAAAACAAAACAAATAAAAGTGCTGGGTGTGTGCTGGATATCAAGCAAAGAACGCTGGAAATATTTCCTGAGCTGCATTCGCAAGACAGCACCTCTTCTTTCTTTAGAAAAAAAAGAAAAACAGGCTTGAGGTGAACAAAAGATGCCAGAGAGTTAGTTGTTTAGCTGATCTTCTTGACCAAGCCAGAGATCTGATGGCTTGTCAAGAGGTGGGGAGGAAGATGAGAGTGTCAGACCTGCCCCCACCCTCACCCAGTCCGATCTCTTAGGAAAGAAAGACCCTGGATTCCATTTGGCTGAAGTGATCGGTTCTTTTACTAAAAGATGTTGGTTGCAGTAGTGTCAGGCTAGAACTAAATTTCCCGCATTCAAAAGATACAGAAAATTTTCCCCACCTCCCAGCCCCCCCCTCAATGGCCAGTCACTATTCAGCCAATAAGTGCTAGGCTGCATTAACAGAGGGATAGAATCAAGATCTCGTGAAGTATTAATACCACTTTACAAGGCCACACTTGGAATCCTGCATCCAGTTTTGGTCACCACGATGTAAAAAAGATGTTGAGACTCTAGAAAGAGTGCAGAGAAGAGCAACAAAGAGGATTAGGGGACTGGAGGCTAATGCATATAAGGAAAGGCTGCTGGAATTGGGGGTGTCTAGTTTAATGAAGAGAGGGACAAGGGGGGACATGATAGCAGTATTCCAACATCTCAGGGGTTGCCATAAAGAAGAAGGAATCAAGCTATTTTCCAAAGCACCTGAAGGCAGGACAAGAAGCAACGGGTGGAAACTAATCAAGGAGAGAAGCAACCTAGAACTAAGGAGAAATTTCCTGACAGTGAGAACTATTAACCAGTGGAACAACCTGCCTCCAGAAGTTGTGGGTGCTTCAACACTTGGAAGTTTTTAAGAAGAGACTGGACAACCGTTTGTCTGAAGTGGTATAGAGTTTCCTGCCTGAGCAGGGGGCTGGACTAGAAGACCACCAAGGTCCCTCCCGTTATTCTGTTCTGTTCTGTTAAAGCTTGCACTGAACTCACCGCTTGACACAGAGCATCACCCTGGAGAGTTAGGACTCCTTTCACCTGGTCAACGCTGAAATAAAGACAGGGAATTAATGGGGCAACACAATGCAGCTGTCCCTTGCTTTGCACACAAGCAAACGCAACAGATACAAAATGGGTTCTGAAGCCATCTGGAGACCTTGGGAGCTTCCGGTTTCATCCAGCCTTGGGGGCACCAGCAGTCAATCAGGCACAGAGAGGTTGATTCTCATCCAAGCAGGATCAATCGGATTTAGCAACTGGGGCTAGCTCGGGGATAGGAGCTGTGTGTTGTTGTTTTCACAACGGGACTGTGAATCTCAGGCCTGGTGAGGGATTTGGTGATGAAACGCACGCTGCCTTGAATACAGTTAAAAAAATAAAAATAAAAGGGCTGCCAGGCTTCGGTTGCAGCTGGTTGATCATCTCCGCTAGGCTGAATGTTCTGCTTAACCAATTCCCAGACGCAGGAAGGAGATGAAAGGCTTCTCACACAGGGAATTCATTTCATTTTTTAGAGAAGACTGCATCAAACCCGCAGCCCTGATCTTCGGCATTTGCTCTCCAGCTGCCTGGGGGGAGAATGGTGGCTCCTGACCCAGAGAATGCTGCTCAGCCCAATTTTTGCAAATAATAATAATAATAATGATGCAACGTAACACTCTAGACTTAACAATTGTCGATAAGAGAGACAACAAAGTCTGGATAGTGGACGTGGCAGTGCCTGGAGACAGCAGAATAGACAAGAAAGAACTGGAGAAGATAACAAAATACAAAGACCTACAAATAGAAATTGAAAGACTGTGGCAAAGGCAAGCAAGGGTAGTACCAATAGTCATAGGCTCCTTGGGTGCAATCCCAAAACAACTGGAGCACCACTTGAACACCATAGGCATTGACAAATTCGCTATTAGTCAATTGCAAAAGGCAGCCTTATTAGGAACTGCTTCCATCCTGCGACGATATCTGTAATACCGTGAAACATCCACATCTGCCTATCCCAGGTCCTGGGTAAGGACTCGATAGGTAGACAAAATGCCAAATCCAGTCTGAACATCTGGCTGACTGTGCGATGATCCATAATTATTATTATTGTTGTTGTTGTTGTTGTTATTATTATTATTATTATTATTATTATTATTATTATTATTATTATTATTATTATTATTATTATTATTATTATTCAGGGTGCAGCAAAAAGGGAACTGTTTGGGAAACAGTCCCTAAGTTTCCCTTCCCCTTCCAGCTAGCTTCTCTCTTCTTCCTGCTTATGAAAAAAAGTTGGTCATTCAAGGCCGATACCTACTTGGAACTGCCCAGTATAAAGTTCTCCTGTTTCACGGGCCCTTCTGAGCTGCTGGCTGGCAAATTAAAGCGGTGAGAAGCCTCCTAGGTGAGAAAGGAAAGGAAGAGGCTCAGGGCCAGAGGCATTAGCAGCTCTGAATATTCCCCCCCCCCCCCAGTCAAAGAGAGTGAAAGCAACATCCTGCTGTTTGCAGGAAAAAAAAAAAATGAAGCAAATCATCCATTCCAGCCCCTGCTTCCATTAGCAACCTTCACAGTGTCTGCAAGTTAAATTCAACTCACACATTCAGAGATGTTCCAGGCCCGCCAGATCAATACTGTAAATAAATTATTAGTAGTCTGCTTAGAAATTCCAGCCAAGGAACTTTGCCCAGCCCCCCCCCCCCCGGACACGATAGAGCGGGCAAAGGAAGGGGGGGGGGAAGAGTCCAGCTTCAAAGCAGGCAAGATCAAAAAAGACAGCCTCTTTGGATCTCTTTAAAGCAGCCGTGTCCTTCTCAGGATGACGTGGCAGTTGTAAAAGGCGGTCGTGCCATCCTGGGAGAAAATTTGTAAAGAGCAGCAGAGAGGGGCTACATTTGAAAACATCTTTTCCCCCCAATTATTTTCAAGATGCTTTCGAGCCACATTTAAGAGATGAAGCTCTAGTTCCTATCTAGGGATCCTTTTCCAGCAAGACTTTCATGCTGGACTAAGCATCCTGGCTCAATGTGATGGAATGTGTAGCAGGAGAAAGGGGGGGGGGGGAGGGAATCTCAGCAAGAAGACTGAGGGTTTCCCAGGGAGGGGGCAGCCCATTCCAGAGAAGGACCCAAACAAGAAAGTGCACATTCCAGAACTCCGTGGGGAAAGCGAGAAAAAGATTCAGGATAGTCACACCATAGGATCTCCCAGGATTTACAGTAGTGGCCAAAATTGTGGAAACCTTTTGGGAAAAGTGTACAGTAGAAATGCCATTTTTGGTTAAGTTTCCACCCATTTTTCTTCTAATTTCTTTGTAACTGTAGCCCTGTTCACTTAATAATACTATTTTACATTTCTTTCTGGGCAACCAGTCAACTCTTTGCACCATTACTTTAATTTTATTACGTTTTACAAGCTCACTAAATGAAAGAACACAAAAAAAACCCAACCAACTTGATAGCGATCACATAACACACTGACCAATGCCCTCCTCTCAGCTTTAATACATGACATCATTAACTGAATCCTACTGTGATCTGATTGGCTCATTGCCAAAACAAGATGACACCTGATTGGCTCTCTCATGCTCATTGGCTACAATCAGATGAAGGAAAGCTACCTGAGATCAACCTAAGCAAGTTGTGCTTCCTTTTTCTGGTTATTTGGCTATCGCTTTTCATAGAATACAGTAGAGATAATTGAACAAACTTTGTTGCATTCATTCTTGATTAAATTATCTTTCCATTGATATATAATTTTAGGGTACTACTCCCCCCCCCAAAAAAGTGGTGTTATTACCCATCAGACCTCAAAAAATACACTTTTCCCAAAGAGTTTCCACAATTTTGGCCACTACTGTATATATATACCTGTTAGATTAGAAGGTTATAGCTTCAATCTAGCAAGATTCGGTCTATTAAGTGTAAGCAAATAAAGAACTGGACTCGATTGGATTTCACTGTGTTGTCTTATGACTTGGGCCTGATCCTCTGCATGCTGGTGAAATCGATACGTAGCTCTAACCAGCGGCCATAATATTGATACCCTGTCATCAATATTACAGTGGAGGCAATTAGGAATGAATGCATTGGTCTCTGGATCCTTGCAAGGAGGCGGCAGGCAGCTGTCCTTAAAAAAGGAAGGCCGTGCCTTTTCCTGGGCGGGGTGTGTGTGTGTGTGTCTAGAACAAGTCGGTTGGGCCAACTCACTGCAGCACAACTCACTGTGGACCATTCAACCCTGTATTAGACATTTCACGCGTTACTTTTATGATGGGTGATCGTGTTTTCATCAAAACGACTGCAACTCTTGTATTCTAGATTGACTTGGTTTTATGATAATTGGCTATGCTTCTATCACAATTAATTTCTGTATTGGTTGGAATTGTCCCGGGGTGCGGTGTCCTGCAGCGAATTGGCTGTGGTGAGTGGTCCCATCCCGTTCCAAGGGTGGCACAGAAGCTACGCAGTCCCAAGAAAAAGGCGATTCGAGGTGAGGAGCTGTTGAAGAGGCAGCCATAGATGTGTCACTCCTTGCCCAAGTGTGTCTTTTCCTAGGGCTTCACAGCGATTGTGCAAGCCCAGGAAAAGGTATGGCTCTATTTAAGAGAGGTACCACGAGCACACCCAGGTCCCGCTTCAAATTCGAATAGCTGCACACCATTTCAGCGGTCCACAAGCCGAGGCCACGGCAAATAAAAAGCCCTCCCAAATGGAGGCCTTGGAAATGACACACCAGTCTGGAAGGAAAAGGCCATGATCCTCGGAAGAATAATAATTTTTTGTAAGCACCTTCAGGATCTCTTGCAGCTGACGAAGGACGGAGTGAACTTCCTCTCGTAAAAGCCATTTAAATTCTTCTTCCTGAAGAGAGAGCGAGACCAACATTATCACTGCCCCTTTCTGCAAAGCGTTTTCAAAAATGGGAATACACCCACCACAAGGGGCTAAAAGCTTTCCTAAGATGCCACTGAATAGGTATGAGATTTAATGTTGCACAGGGACCAAATTTAGCTGCGGGCTATGCACGCACTGAAATTAAAATGCATCTCGTCTGACTAAGACAGTGGTTCTCAACCTTTTTAATGCTGCGACTCCCAACCGGTCATAAGTCGAGGACTAAACTGGTCTTAAGTCGAGGACTTCCAAACCAGTCGTAAGTCGAGGACTTTTCCTGCTCGGGAGCGCCGCGCATGCGTGGTGCCGCCCCCTTCGCCGGCCGAGGCGTAGCTGGCAAGCGGCAGAGACGGAGCAGGCCGACCACCGGCTGGGCCACCAGCTGGCCCAGCCCAAGGGAGGTAAGGCACCTGCCGGAAAAGTGGAAAAAAAATGGCGGACAGCCTTGCTTGGCGACCCCCGTGAAATGGTCGATCGACCCCAAATGGGGTCGCGACCCATAGATTGAGAACTGCTGGACTAAGAGGTTTGGTAAACTTAGGAGAAGCACATTTAACAACCCCCAAAGGTATTACAGGTAGTCCTCGACTTACCATTCATTTAGTGACGATTTCAAAGTTACAACGGCAATGTAGGACCGTTTTTAAACACTTACGATCACTGCAGCATCCCCAGAATCACGTGATCAAAATTAGGACGTTTGGCAACTGACATGTATTTATGACGGTTGCAGTATACTTGGGTCCTTTTGTGACCCTTTTGCGACCTTCAAATAAACCAAGTCAATGGGGGAAGCCACATTCACTGAACTGTGTGACTAGCTTAATAACCGCAGTGATTCACTTAACAAGTGTGGCGAGAACAGTCCTAAACAGGGGCAAAACTCACTTAACAACTGCCTTGCTTGGCAATATAAATTTGGGGCTCCATTGTGGTCGTAAGGCAAAGGCTTCTTGTACTCAGAAAGCAATGGGAATCAAAAACAAGCCATCTACATATGACACCAGTTAGATTAGAGAAAATCTTTAAAAACGTATCAAATATCTGTTGGAAATGTAAACAAAAACCAGGCACTTCCTATCACCTCTGGTGGATATGCCTTAACGCTAAGAAATTTTGGTTTAAGATCCATATGTGGTTAGAAAAGATGATTAAAATTAAGATAGAATTTAAACCGGAATTGTGTTTGCTAGAAATATTAGGATCTAATTATGGAAAAGAGAATGAGTACTTAATATTACACGTATTAACAGCTGCGAGAATAGCATTTGCTCAAATCTACCATCTGACCAGATTATAAGAAGAAAAATACTTGAATGTGCAGAAATGGACCGATTAACTTTAGAAATGAAAGAGAAAGAAGACTCAATCGATTTTAAAACATGGGATAAATTTTACCAATGGTTAGCAACACGATAGAATGAGAAAAGGTTATGAAACTTATTGGGATAAGTGATATTTTGTATTTAAATGTCATGTTTATTCCTATGAATTTTTCTTTTTTTTAATTTGTAATTTTAACAATAAGTAATCATAACCAATAATATATTAATGTGTTAAAGTTATTACAATTAATTAGTAATATATATTAGTAATATTATATTAAGTATTGCTATTTTAAATTAATTATTATGATTGATTACGTATACCCAGACGGGTTTTCTTGTTGAAGTGTTGATTTATTGTGGAGGACATCCCCACTACTGTATATATCCCTTCCCCTGGTCTCACTTTTTTTGTTTGTCACCCCTTGTTATATACCCTTATTGACCCCACTTCCCCTTTATCCTTATAAAATCTAATAAAATATTTATAAAAAAACAGCAAAAACAAGCCATCTAGCTAGGAAGGACTCTGTAAGCTACCCAGGACAGCTGGCTTAAGGGCATTGAGAAATTCTTGAAGGACAATGGGATTGTTTTAGCCAGGTTTTTTTCCAAGAGCACCTTCACCATTCTTCAGCTAGCAAAGAGAAATAAATTCCTGCAAGAAGGCTGTGATCCCTGACAATTTAAACATCCCTTTAATCATTAACTTATATGCCCATATTCATTCACAAGGCTGCAGTCTTGGATGACATAGCAGAGGGAGAAAATACAGGTAATCTTCAACTGATGAACCTTCCCCAAGGCTACTTGCAACCCTGAGTCAAAATTCACCATGGTCCCTCCCTAAACCCCCCCCCCCAAAGCAGTCATGGGATCCTATTTTGGGTGCTTGGCCATTGTCCCAGCAATCCGGTTTTTATAATTTACAACTTTTTTTAATGGGAACATTTACTTTGTCCTTGACGTTTATTTCCTGTGTCTGAAAAAAAAAATGCCCATTGCGGACCATGGATTTACTTAATGATCACCACAGCCACTTGGTTCACTTCATGGCACTGTAAAATAAAGGTCATAAAATGGGGTGTGGTCACTTGGCGACTCACTTAAGAAGTGGCACACTTTATGACCGTATTCCAAACTCAATTATGGTTGTGAGTCAAGGACTACCTGTAACCATAACCCATCAATGAGGCGTTTGGAATTATTTCCCTAAGACAGAACCTGCTTTAAAAAAAAAAAATCAGATTCAGATTTGATTAACACCCGGATGAGAAACTTGCAAAAAAAAAAAAAAATATCCCATGATGTAGGTAAGACTGGAAAATGAAAAATAAAAAAATTCCCAAGATCTTTTTTAAAAAAGGAAGATAAAAACAACAAATCGTTTTGTGTTCCTGTAGGCAGGAGAAAAATAAGTTCCTCGTAAAACCTTCAACACTCATTATACTGTTCTTTCTTCATATGAATTATTTTAATAAGTTGCTTTCGCTTCTGGCCAATTTTTACAGCTCCTCTCCTAATCTGTAGGAAACAAGGATTGTCTGTACAAATACAACAGCGAACTATACCTTCATTGTCTACTTTTGGACAGCAATAGATAAGTGTACACAGGACTTGCCAAAATCCCTCCAAATACTCAAAGGACGTCTGTTAGAAGAGCCTTGAGTAATTTAGACAAGAATGTTAAGTTAGGCTACCCCAATTTAATATAATGAAAGACCTCTCCTAATTACATTTTACAGTATACTGTGTAGCCTACAAACAGAAAAGTCATTTTCTACAGCTTTTGCCTTAACGATACCAGCCTGCTCTAAGACCAAAGATGAGCTTGGACAAAATTATAATCGTATGCCTTGCCATAGTATCCTGTTAACTGAATAAAAAGAGAGTTTCCGAGCAGTTTTAAAAAGCTTAATGGATTTATTCAAATTTGCAGATGACACTAAACTGGCAGGAATAGCCAACACCCCAGAAGACAAGCTCAGAATCCAAAAAGATCTTGACAAACTTAAACAATGGGCCCTATCCAACAAAATGAATTTTAATGTGGAGAAAGGCAAAGTTTTACATTTAGGAAGGAAAAACCAAAGGCGTAAGGACAGACTGGGTGAGACCTGGCTCAAAAATAGCAACTGTCAGAGGCACCTTGGAAGTCCTAGTGGATGATCACTTGAATATGAGCCAGCCATGTGCAGCAGCAGCCAAAAAAAACTAATACAATCCTGGATTGTATAAACAAGAGGCACAGAATCAAGATCACACAAAGTATTATTACTGCTTTATAAAACCCTAATAAGACCACACCTGGAATACTGCAACCAATTTTGGTCACCATATCACAAAAAAGATGTCGAGAGTTTGGAAAAAGTTCAGAGAAGAACAACTAAGATGATCAAAGGCCTGGAGGCTAAAACATACGAAGAGTGGCTGCGGGACTTGGGTTTGGCTAGTGGTCTAAAGAAAAGAAGAAATAGGGGTGACATGATAGCAGTATTCTAGTATTTGAGGGGCTGCAACAAAGAAGAGGGCATCAAACTATTCTCCAAAGCACCAGATGGAAGGACGAGAAACAATGGTTGGAAACTGACCAGAGAAACAACTCTGGAATTAAGGAGAAACTTCCTAACAATGAGGACAATTAACCAGTGGAACAGCTTGTCTCCAGAAGTTGTGGGTGCTCTATCACTGGAGGTTTTTAAGAAGAGACTAGACAGTCACTTGTCTGAGATGGTATAGGTTCTCCTGCTTGAGCAGGGGGCTGGACTAGAAGACCTCCAAGGTCCCTTCCAGCTCTATTCTATTCCGGCGTCAGAGATTCTACCTATACGTCCAGCAACTTAGATTTGAAACACAGAGCCAGTTTGATCCAGTGGTTAAAGCACAAGGCTAGAAGCCAGGAGACTGTGAATTCTACTCTCACACCAACCTACCTTACAGGATTGCTGTTGATGAGAAAAGCAGACTTGTATTGCATACATATAGGCGTAAGGGAATCTCAAATAAAAATGCAATGCATAGACTGAATAGATGGCTCTATAACTGAAGCCACCGTTGGCCAGTTCTAAGGTCTCTGCTGAATCAGTCATGTACTGATGTAGACGGCTCTCTACAGTAGGGCTTCTAATTTACAGCTCTATGTAACTTCAATGCAATATCCACCCGCTTCCACGGAGTCATCTTCCTCCGTTTCCAAGCCCCACACTCCATGTCTCTTTCCCATAGACTGAGCAGCAGCAGATTGCACAGGAATGGCACCCTCCAGCCCACAAAAGCAGACGGCAGAGGGCACAGGCTCAGCCCAAAAGGATTGAAAAGTACTAATAGGTGGGAGCCGGGGAAGATGGAGAAAAAGGAAGATATTGTGCAATATTTATCTTGTGCAAAGCCTGGGAAGCAGCTGGTTATATGATCCATCCCTGGCTGATGCTTCCAACTGCCCCACACCAGAGCTGACAAAAGAGCCTATGGGAGGGTGGGACGGGGTCTCCCAATCTTGCACTGGCATTGTGAGATAACATTTCCCTTTCGGCGAGGGGGTCAAGGAGAGCTGCTATGGTGTAGGGCAGGGGTCCCCAACCTTGGCACCTTTGAGACCAGTGGATGTCAACTCCCAGAATTCCCCAGCCAGCCATGCTGGCTGGGGAATTCTGGGAGTTGACGTCCACAGATCTGAAAGTTGCCAAGCTTGGGGACCCCAGCCCTACACCATAGCAGCTCTCCTTGACCCCCTCGCCGAAAGTCCAGGGGGAAGCCGGATTCACTTAACAACCGTCTTACTAACTTAGTAACGGCAGTGATCCGCTTAACAACGGTGCCAGGGAAAGTCATAAAATGGGGCAAAGTTCACTTAATGAATGCTTCGCTTAGCAATAGAAACGCTGGGCTCAATTCTGGTCGTAAGTCGAGGACTACTACGATTTACAATATGACGACTCGGGTGGGAGCGCAAGAGAGCTCTGGATTTGGGGCGGCAAAGCCATAGAGGACCCAGAGGTGGCAGCCAAGGGGCACCAGAAAAAAAAGGGGGGGAGCTCAGCTGCCCCCTGGTGGTCGCCCATATTTCAGCAGCCCAAGTACGAGAGACCCTCCCCTTTCAAATTAGGGTTGGTCCTTTGGACCCCAAAGCCGGAGCCCAAAGCAGAGGTAGGCAACCTTGGCTCTTTTTATGACTCGTGGACTTCAACTCCCAGAATTCCTGTGTTAGCATAGCTGGCTCAGGAATTCTGGGAGTTGAAGTCCACGAGTCATAGAAGAGCCAAGGTTGCCTACCCCTGCCCCAAAGCACCTGCGGCTTGTGCAGCCAAGCCAGATCCAAGCCAACCCGGTCTCCCCCATCTCTCGCGCGCCCCGGCCTACCTCGCAGGGGTGTAGCGAGGCCTCCAAGGGCCCCAAGAGGCCGTTCCTGGAAGCGCCGACGCCCCCCAAAAAAGGCGACGTGAGCCCTCTCGCCGGTGACGTCACGCGCAGGGCAGTGACGTCACCCGCCCCCTCGCTTTCCGTCACGTCACGCGCTCCCTCGTCACACCCGCACGTCTCCCTCAGGGACTCCCGCGGCTGGGCCTTACCAAGACGGCCCGCTCGGCCGGGCTCGCCAGCGCGGCCATCCTCATCCCCTTCGCCGTCGCCGAAGCCGCCGCTTGAGCGCCACGGGCTACCGAGCGCCGAGGCGTTGGCTGGCTGCCCACCCCCTCTCCCTCCTGATTGGTCGCGCGTCGCGCCCGGGCCCGCCCAGCCGCCTCGGAGGCTCCTCCCACAAGGGCTTTGCAGAGGGGAGTCCGGCGCGAGCGTGCCTAGCTCTGTGTGTGCGTTTTTGTGTGTGTGTGTGCTTGTGGGCTTCCGAGCCGGAGGACCCCCGAATGCAATGGGGCGCCGTGGGCTCTCCAAGCCTGGGAGGGACGGAAGATGCTCTGCGGCACCCGGGGAAGCAGAGGTTGCCTTTTCCCAATTGCACCGGCTGCAAGCGGTTGGCCGGGCCCCATTGCGGAACCGGCTGGCACCGCTGCTCGCTGAACTGCTAGATTTGATTTGGCTGCTTTAAGCCCGAAACTGGGTTAAATCGTGGCTTCAACCCCTTCGGAAGGAGTCCTGGCATAGATCAAAGGGGTGTGTGTGTGATTTCTTGCATCCACTTCCGTTTTACTCGCGTGATGTGCAAACACTGAAGCGATGCGGATCCCTTTTAGCATCCTTAAAACACAGCATAAATAAATCCTTGATATAATCTTTTGGCAGTAAGGTTCGGTGCTGTTTTGATTTTCCTCCTTTTTATAGACGGTTGTTATTCCTAAAGGACGGAAATGTCTGCAATGCCAGGCTTCCTTCTATTTCTTTTTATTATAAGCACATTTATATATACATATGATTATCCTTTGGCTTCTATTTTTAACAAGGTAGTCAATATTTTATATTCTCAATGAGACTCACAAACAGAAAATACCCAGCTAGAATGATTTTCCTCCCTTCATCTATGCTTACCCTCTTTAGTATTTTTCGTATTACGAAGGCAGTATTTTCCTTCAATTATTTCAAACATCACTTCCTTAAAAGCGCACACATTTCCAAAACGAAATCTGAATAATCGTGAACCAATTGTAAGCATATTGCTGTATTCAAACCTCCACTTTTAATTCGTGTGTTGGCTTAAGAACAAATGACAAAATAGAGAAAAGCACTGTTATTCAACATAGCTAATTATTTAGTAAGCAAATGATTTTATTTTCTAATGTTTATAAATAAATACATAAATACTGGAGATTTTTCTCATTTTTCTTCTAATATAACCACTTAGACGAAGAACAAGGTCAACAAGTCAATTCTGTAACTCTTCCTAGCCACCCTGTAAAATAAACAGTTCAATTCTTTCCATCTCATTTCAAATGTTAAAAGAGTTTTTCTGTTTTTTTTATATATTTTCAAACAATATTACTAAAATAAACTACAAAGTTGTCATTGCAAAGGAAACTGGTGTGTGGTAGAACCCCAGCTGTTGTGGTTTGTACACTGTAATTGATGATTAAACAGGAGTTTTTACCAATCTCCGTACATCCTGGTCTCACCATCAAATTTTCAAATTTGCAGTATATTCTTTACTTTTATTAATGGCATTCATCCTTTCCAAAGTTTTTCCATTCCCTCATCCTTGAAGTTATACACAAATTTATACTCTTGACTAATGCATCTATTACCATTTTTGTGTTTGGGGAATGGGAGGTTCGTATTCTAATTCTTCCCCCAAAGTATGCAGTTAGGAAAGAAGAATACTTTAGAGCAACAAGCAGCACTGTGTTACCAAGAAAGGTTTTATTTCCTTTTGCCAGTAGCTTTGTTAATTGCACAAGAAAAAAAAAATGATTTTGTCTGTGTTTGCCATTTAATCATCACCACACATCCTATCTCAATGACAAAACATTAATTAAAAACAAGGCAAAAATTTAAAAAAAAAATTCACAACCTTAATTACCTATAGATCATTCATCAAAGGAGAAGGAATTAAAAGAAACAGATTTTTTTTTCTTACAAGCTCTCCACAAGTGTAAATATATTTTATCTTGAAAAAGGAGGGAACAACAAAAAAAAGCAACTGCTAAAACAGAAATCCCATTTTAAAAAAAAGAAACTTTACAGTATTGTCAACAATATTAAGACAACAATGACTAAGCCAGTTCCATCGTATTCTCCTGTAACAAACGCTTCCCCTCCTGTGCCACTGCCAGGTCAAATTTAAGGACACCCCAACCAAGAATTGATCAAAGCTGGCTCTCAGAGCAGAAAGACGAAGTAGGAAAGGAGTCCCATGGCACCTTAAAACCAGCAAATATATTGCAATGTAAAACTGGTAGACTAATGGATGCTTTGACCCATAAAATTGGATGTTGCAAAGCCCAGTTTACATAAACTGTTTGGCTGCAAATGAAAGAAAACACGGGTGTCCTTCTAAAAAAAAAAAAGACATGAAATGGGCCAGCAGTTCCAAGCTCTTATTAGCGTTTTGAGTTGTTCCCCCTTGGGGTATCACTAACTGTGCAGTCCTGCAGAAGTGACCGCACCCTTCAGATCTTTCTTCTGACAGAAAAACCACAAGATAGATTGAATGGAAGACGCTGCAGTTCTCTTATACTGTAGTTGCAATTCCTAGTTCCATTTGCATGTTTTTTCTTGGGAGGCAAAATAAAATATTCTGGGAACTATTTCTGTTCATTCTGTTCACGGACTGCAAGGTTCTCACAAAATCTCAGAAGGGTCTCCCTGTCCTTTTCCTAACAATCTTTAAGACCTGTGGACTTCAAACTCCTAGAATTCAATTCCCCAACAATGCTGGCTGGGGAATTCTGGCAGCTGAAGTCCATAGGTCTTTGGACGTCCCTGCTTTAGAAGGTCTTTGGAAGAGTAGCTTCCTGGTGTAATTTACTGCCTAAAGAACAACCATCCTGAGTAAGGTCATCTCCCCCCAGATTCATTTGCTCCTCCTGACAGATACTGGTTGTCCTTAAAAGCTTCACTTACTCATAAGGAGTTCATTTCCATTAACAAGATACACTTCACTGTGGGAAAAAGCAGGCAGATAGCTATTGGGAGCTAAGAAACCCCTGGACAGGGACAAAAACTAACGTCCTTTTTTAAGGTGGATTGTCAGTACCACAGAAGAGGAAAAAAAACTATATAAGGAGTATGTGCTGTAGCAAGAGCAGAGTATGCTTATGCCTACTTTTTTTAATATATCAACTAAAACTTTTAATATATCAACTAAAACTCTGGATCTTCTGCACCTGCACTCAGAATGGGCCAGCATATCCAGATTGCTTGGAGATCAACCCAAGGTTCAAAGGGATGGATGTCACATTTGCACTGTGAAAATTTAAATACTGGCAAGAGACGTTCATCAGTCTGAAATGCACAATGAAGCGGACTCGGTATCTGGGTGCTGAGCTTTTGAGCTGTTTATGCAAATGTGAAAGTCTCTGCATGAACCCAGAATTGTTTCCAACCCTTTCTGATGTATGCATTCCAAGCTTGAGCAAAGGGCTTTCTTTCAAAATTAATACTGACGTTTGACACTGAAAAAAGCATCACAATTCTGTTGGAATGTGCTGATGCGCTTCGGTATTCTAAGATTACTCTGTTATTTCAACAAAGTATTAAGCTGTATCAGTTTGTAGCTTGCTGAATCTTTCATTACATTACTTGCAAGCAGGATTTCTAGTTCACCTTATGTGTATCTTCCGTTTTTCAGAAAGAAAAACATGGAAGTCAAATTCTTTATATCAAAGTATCTTTTTTTCTCCCCTGACTAACGGGCAACACTCGTCAAGACCAAATCATCCTTGCAAATATTAGGAGCAAAGATGTGTACATTCAGGGTGCTAATTCTCCAAGATGAACCTGAAAGAAGACTCTAAATGTTCTACCTTTTTTTTTTTTAAATGCCCTCTACAAATCTATTCTGTGAAGCACAGGCAGGTCAAATCATTTTACAAATGCGGTCAGAATAGATAAACCATTTGGGAATTAAGAGCCTGCAGAGACATCCTACGTGTCAGAGACTCATTTTGAATTGGAATTAAATAAAAGACTGGTTCTCTCATTTATAAAAGCTGTTTCCATGGAGAAGGCCTGGATGCAAACTGTTCTTTTTCTGTTAGGGAACTATGGCCAGGCGCTATATTAATTTACCCCTCACATCTACTGTTCTAATCTTTTTCTCCAAGGAAAAAAAAAACACAGGTGTGCCAGAATCCCACCCCAATTGTCAAAACCACCCAGGTAAAGGGACATCCATATCCAGGGACACACATACAATGAGAACTGGGATTAAAGCCAAGCAGCATTATTGAGGGGAGGGGGGGCTATTCCATTCTATGACTCCCAAGGGGTGTTGTCCAATCTTTCTACTGCTGCTGCAGATGACACAGGAAGGCATACTGTAGCAACTGTCCTTGTGGCAGCTCTCAAAAAAAAGAGGTTTTGTATTAAAAAGGAAAAAAAAGGGGAGGGGAGTAGGTGGGAGTAAGGAGAAAGGAGAGGAGGAGAGAGACAAAGATGGACTGGTCCAGAGTTAAAACCCAGTATTCATCATTATAATTAATCATAGTATTAACAATGAGAAGAGGATAGCCTAGTGGATGTAGGCCCTGTACACAGCAGACATGTCGTTGTCAGACTGGTCCAACGCTTTTGCCCGTTTGTAGACCTGAAGGAGAGAACGGAGCAGAAGAGAGGAGTCACAAAGTAGGGTGAGTGGCTTCCTACTAGCATCTTAAACACCCCCCGGCTGCCTCTACTAACTTTCCTTCCAGCCAAAGTGCCTAAACAAATTAAGGGGGATCCAGAATCTGCTGTTAAGGGGCTCAATTTGAAAAGGGGCTCAACAGTCACTAAATCATTCGTTTAGTGACTGTTACAAAAGCAACGGAAAAAAATGACTTAGGACCATTTTACACACTGGTCACCCTGGCGACATCCCCAGGGTCACATGATTAAAATTTGGACGCTTGGCAATTGGTTCGTATTTATGACGGTTGGGTGTCCTGGGGTCTGTGTGATCCCCCTATTCTGATAAGCACAAGTCAATGGGGAAACCAGATTTGCCTAACAACCGTGTGACTAACTGAACAATTGCAGCTACTCTCTTAACAATCAGAGGCAATTAAAATTAATGAAGGAGGCAGCTAAGATCAAATATCTAGACCAGTGGTGGCGAAGCTATGGGACGGGTGCCAGAGGCGGCATTCAGAGCCCTCTCTGTGGGCACGCGTGCCATCGCCCCAGTCCTAGGCCTTCAGCTGGGTTTTATAAAACCTTTTTGCTTTAGGCCTCCGCTGCTGTGTGCAAAAAAAAAAAAAAAAAGGTTCAATCAATCAGTCAATTTCAACTTCTCGGGGAAAAAAAGAGATCTTGCAAAGTTGAAATTGATTGATTGAACTTTTTAGTCCCACCCAGTCTGCCGTTACCACCGCAGCCACACCCACCCGGCACTCGACGATGTGTAAGTGGGTTTTGGGTTGCAGTTTGGGTGCTCAGTCTCTAAAAGGTTTGCCATCATTGATCTAGACTGAAAAAAACAACAACAATCTCAATCCAGTCTTCAGATGCAGGTACTTTTCTAAAGGTTTGCCAAACAGAAAGAAAGAAAGAAAGAAAAAGACTGGACTGAACAGAAATAGGCTCGCTTGGGAAAAAACCTACCTCGTTGGCTGCAGCTGCCATGGGAGTTGGATGATTAACCGAATCGCCCAGTGCAATGGCTAATCTGAGATCCTTCTGGATGTATTTCAGGTAGAAATCAGGCTTGAAGTTTCCTTGCAGGATATCTAGAGAAGGCCAGATACGTTTTCATATTCCACTTTCCCTGCTGACCACCCTTGTCCCTTCAGATTTCCCCACTCCCAGTGCCCCTATTTAAACAGGCAAGACCGTGTCAGGCCAAAGTGATCCTTTCGCAGATTATCCATGCTAACAAACTCTCTAGCTGGCCCCCAAAGTTTTTTACCTACTTTCAAGATTGCAGTTTGGTATATACCAGGGGTAGGCAACCTTGGTTCTTTTATGACTCGTGGATTTCAACTCTCAGAATTCCTCATCCAGGCTCTGGGAGTTGAAGTCCACGAGTCATAAAAGGGCCAAGTCTGAAGACCCATGGGCTTGACAATAATAGAACTGGTTGGTCATTCTCTTCTTCTAGGGCAGGGGTAGGCAACCTTGGCTCTTTTATGACTCCTGGACTTCAACTCCCAGAATTCCTGAGCCAGCCATGCTGAGGGGAAAGGGAGAGGTTTCCAAGCTGAGCCATGCTGGCTCAGGAATTCTGGGAGTTGAAATCCACAAGTCATAAAAGGGCCAAGTTTGAAGACCCATGGGCTTGACAATAATAGAACTGGTTGGTCATTCTCTTCTTCTAGGGCAGGGGTAGGCAACCTTGGCTTTCCTAGAATTCCTGAGCCAGCCATGCTGAGGGAAAGGGAGAGGTTTCTAAGCTGAGCCATGGCTGGCTCAGGAATTCTGGGAGTTGAAGTCCACGAGTCATAAAAGAGCCAAGGTTGCCTACCCCCTGGTATATACACATGTGTTTACTTTCTACTGCCCTTTACTCCAGTCCTTCCACTTCTTTTTATTGTTTGAATATACACACAGAGAGAAATTGCTTTCCTTAAGAACTCAGGACAACAGCCCCGGAGAGAGATCTCCCTTAATATATCCCAAGCACAAACTTTAAAGGTGGATGAACTTCACAACTGAGGGAGATTTGAGCCTGGGCCTTCCTGGGCCTGTCCATCACTTTAACCACTCCACTATCACAGTTAGAAAGCATGTCAGGCCAGGAGGAACTATCTGGAAACCTCCAGCAGGTATGGCTATGGGAGGTATAGGAAACAGCCCTATCCCATACAACAGTGGTTCTCACCCTGTGGGTCGGGACCCCATTTGGGGTCGAACGACCATTTCACGGGGGTCGCCAAACAACGCAGTCCGCCATTTCCCCCCCCCCCCTTTTCCTTAGCTGGGCTACTCCCTTTTATTCTATTGGCTTTTGAAAGCCAATCAAATAGACTCTCTTGAATAGAGTCTAATTCTATTGGCTTTCAAAAGCCAACAGGAATTGTCCAGGCTGTCTCTGCCCTGCTGAGCCCGCCAAAAGTCCCATTCTGCAGACGGTGCTGCACCAGTTGAGCAGTCCTCGACTTACGACCGGTTGGGGGGTCGCGGCATTAAAAAGGTTGAGAACCACTGCCATACAAGGAAGAGCTAGTTCAAGAGTAGAGGCAGGCAATCAGCTGACTTCCAGAGCAGTGTTTCTCAACTTTGGCAGCTTTAAAAGGTGTGGACTTCAGCTCCCAGAATTCCCAGTCAACACAGGAACTCTGGGAGTTGGAGCCCACACATCTTAAAGCCGCCAAGGTTAAGAATCGCTCCAGATATTTAGGCCATCCACTCCCATCAGGCCCTACCGAGATGACCCAAAGCAAAGGACTATGGGAACTGATCAGAACAATTGGAAGATTCTGGATTGCCTACACCTGGTTGAGAGAAACAGCCTTTTTATATCCCCCCCCAAAAAAGGGGGGGAGAGAGGGAAATGAAGAACTTTACTTTGGCACTTCTGATCCAGGAAGATGCTGGCAAGCTGTCCCTGATTGAGGATGTCCAGAAGGGTTTGCTGGGACTGACCGGTGACCTGAGCCAAAGTCAGCCCCTCTGCTATTGTGGCCATGAAGCTTCCTTGGACCATGTTCACGATCAGCATCATCTTGGCCGCATTCCCTACTTCTCCTGTGGGAGACGGAGAGACAGTGAGATTATTTACAAGAAGATGGGATTTAAAAAAAGTTACCTGCTCCACCATATCTTAGACCAGGGGTTCTTAACCTGGGCGATATCGCCCCCCCAGGGGGAGATTTCATTTTTCAGGGGGGGGTGATGGAACGAAAAGGGGGCGATAGGGAAGCGATGGAGCGAGAAGTTTGGGGGACACTTTTGAGACTTTTTTGTACAGTGAATGGCTGTATATCTGTCGTACGAAAACATCAGATCGCTCGCTCTTAGTGGATTGAATTGTGTTTTCAAATACAATTTCAAACCCATATGAGCCGAGGTGGCGCAGCAGTTAGAGTGCAGTACTGCAGGCCACTTTAGCTGACTGTGTTCAGCAGGTCAGCGGTTCAAATCTCACCGGCTCAAGGTTGACTCAGCCTTCCATCCTTCCGGGGTAGGTAAAATGAGGACCCAGATTGTTGGGGGCAATGTAAATAGATATATATATATATACATTGCTTACTGGTGTACACCGCTTAGAGAGTGCTTGCACTTAAAGCGGTATATAAGTCTCATAAATAAATAAATAAACAAACAAACAAACGTCCCTCCAGCTAGCTTCAGGACAGAACACCGTACGTATGTGAATACGCATTGCTTATCTTCATGTGCGTTGCGCAGCAGCCTCTACCCATACAGTGGCGCGAATATGGGAGATATGGGAAAAAGACTGGAAATAAATTATTTGCATCGATATGTCCTGATGACAATTTTAAAGAAAACAAAAAAAAGTGTTTGCATAAATTGAAGAATTATTTCTTATGTTGTGATTGAGAGGTTATGTTGGGGGAGGGGGGCGATGACAACTTCCTCATCGGCTCAAGGGGGCGATTCGTTCAAAAAGGTTAAGAACCCCTGTCTTAGACCTTGTTAAGGCATTTGATAACATCTACTAATCTGTCTCTCGATGCATTCTTCTACTTTTTTATACCCCAACAATAAATTTCTGTGGACAACCAAGGATTCCCCCCCCCCCAAAAAAAACTTGTGTAGCTTCTTCACTATTCTTCAGAATTCAGCTTCATCGTAATTTACCGGTCCTAAGAGCTAGTCAAAATACTTCCCTTCTAATTTCTTTACACTGGTTGCCCCATAGCTAATGCGACACATTTAAAAGGATGCGACCAGATAGCAAAAGTCTTGGATGGTGCTGGTATAGGCAAGATTTGCTCTTTTTTAATAGATGAAGTCCATTGTTTTCTTGTAGAGGTTCAGAGGTTTGGGATAAATAGGTACTGCAATGGACACTGCAATGAACAAGGACACACATTCAATTTTGCAGCTACTAAAATTGTTGGACGAGCAGGCACAAAAACAGCCAAGGAAGTGATTGAAGGCTGGGAAATAGGCCCCCCATCAGTCAACAGGAGTGCTGATTTACCATCGGCTTATCAAGTACTTAGAACAGGGGTGTCAAACTCAATTTCATTGAGGGCCGCATCAGCATTGCGGTGGGGGGGTGGTGGCCAGGGTGGGTGCAGCCTACTGGGTGGGCATGGATGGAGTGGGTGTGACCTACTGGATGGGCATGGCCAACTCTACATCAAGGGTGCCAGTGGGGGCCTGGGCAGGAGTGGGACAGATCTGAGGGTCTCTGGCAGAAGGGGGTGGGACCGGGGCAAGCGCCAAGGCACGGTCCATTTCTTCATTCCTCACGAACGGTGACACCTCCCCACCGCGCACCCAGGGAGCGGGGCCGACGCGGCAGGGGCTGGTTCCTCGCTGTTTCGACGGCCTTGTGGAGCTAAGACTGAATGTGTTTCAGCATAGATGGCCACCACAAAATTGTACATCGGCTCCCGGCTGGCCTGCACCAGAGCCAAGGCAGCGGGGGCCATTCCCTCACTGTTTCCAGGATGGCTTCGTGGGCCACATGAAACCACTTTGTGGGCCGCATCCGGCCCCCGGGCCTTGTGTTTGACATGTCTGACTTAGAAGGCGAGGGCTGGGCAGCACAAGGAGACCACAGCTAATGACTTAAAAGCCAGCCATTAACACACCCCAATCAATATCTAAAAGCCACTTACATCAGGCACTATAAATACCACACACAGAACAGCACACACTTTGCTAGAGAGAAATTCCCTGATGATGGGCTCCAGCAGGAGTCTGAAAGCTCAGAAGTTACTGGTCCCAGTGACTGACCCAGATTGGACAATGTCCACAGAGAACCCCAATACTGGGATATATAAGTCAATTAATTAATGACCCCACCGATCAAAATATACTACGTGGCCAATAAATCCACACAGAACCATTTCAATGGATGCTATGTAATGTGTGTACGCGCGCGTGCATAACATCTGTATTCTATTCTAATATATCAGTCCATAATGTCAAGAATAGCACACTTGAAAAAAAAAAAAAAAAAAAAGGATCAGGCCTCATTTGTACTACACCAACTGGCCCCTGCAGTATAAATAGGTTTGAGAATAATTGGATTTTATTTTTGAGGAAAGGGGAAAAAACTTCCCCCCCGAGATTCGAACTACTCCCACCTTGCCGGCCTTCAAGAAAGCTATTAAAACTCTTCTGTTCCGGCAGGCCTGGGGTTGATGTCCCGGGGGGGGGGGGGCGGCATTCAATTGGGACACGCTGTGTGAATGTATTCACTTTTAATTGTTATACTTGTTGTTTTAATTTTGTATGCCGCCCTGAGTCCCTAGGGATTGGGTGGCATATAAATTTTACTAATAAATAAATAAATAAATAAAATATTATTTCTAGATACAGTTCCAGGTGGAATTCAGGTAATTGTTGTGCTTCCTCCCTCTTCATGACTTCAGCCCACTTGGTTGCTTTGTGCAGTTATCATAATCTTGCAGACTTTTGTTAGTAGCTTCAGAAAAACAGACGTTAGGAGTGCTCCTCGGAATAATTTTAAGAGGAGAGTTAACACAGAAAGCACGGAGAAAAGAGTTCCTGTACTAGAAACTCATTAAAAAGCCAAGAATTATTCTTAAATATATCTTCTCACATTTCGACCTTCCAGACAAGAGCCTGGCATCCTGTATCAAACATGGCCCAGTGTTCTATCTATGTAGGCCACTGTCTCCCTCAAACATCCTGAATGGAGATGTTTTCTGCCTGGCCTCATTCTGTGTTTTCAAGTGCCACAATCCATCACTTAATGATTATTCCCACCAGTTAATGAAACTACCTAGGAAGAATGAAGTCTTCCCCATTGCTTGGAAACAGCTACTGCAGTCTTCATACAAGCCTCTGTCTCCAGCCGCTAATATCACCAGCATCCCGTCATTGGACAGCTGTTGGTTCCCTGAGACTGGGGCTTCCAGGAAGCGACCACCTCTGGAGACGATCACCTGGAAGCAAGAGGAGGAGGAGGATCACTTGGAGCAGAGAAGACAGGTTGCATCAACTAAGGACATTGGGGGTCGTGCTAATCTTCCCTCCCAACTCAGGCAACGCAGTAACACATTACAGGTGGTCCCTGGTTAATAATTCAGTGATTGATCAAACCTATGACGATGCTGGGCCAGTGGGAGTTATGCCTGGACTTCATACTTGCAAGATTGAAGTGTCCCACAGTTACATGATCATGATTTGTGATCTTCCCTGTCCACGCCCAAACAAGCAAGGTTAATTGGGAAGCTGGTAGGAAGCCATGGTCATAGGAGATCCTTGCTTAACAACCCACACTGTTCTCACTTACTGACAGCAACTGGGACCGTGGGATGACTAGCACTGATGAGATTGTCTAGTTTGGGTCATGAAATGTCTGCAAGAAAACAGCCAAGCTCGGAGAGCACCAAGCACCCTACAGTCCTTCACCTCCTCTTCCTCCCCCTCCTCAAACCTCATTCCCTTCTAACACTGATGGTATTACCTAGTTTGAGTAATGAAACACCTACGAGAAAACAACCAAGCTCAGAGAGCACCGAGGACCCCTCAGGTCTGACTGCTCCTTAGCCCGCATCTCTTCCCCTCATGCCCAAGATCCTTCTCACATACTATCACACTCAGCGCTATTACCTGAGCCAATTCCGTAACAGTGTCTGCATCCACGGTTGACATGTCGACGTAGCACTTCCCTGGACGGATGCCCTGGAGTACTCCACTGGGACCAAGCACCAGCTGGGGGAAGAGAAGAGCGGTAAAGCAATAGGGTGTCTGCAAAGTAAACCCAACCTAGCCAATACCAAAGGGGGGGTGGTCTATCAGTCACTGCACACCTGATCATCGGCTGAGTTTCTCCCAGGCTTCCAAACTGTCTGCTGGAGAAGATGTGGCTTCCTTCTGAAGAGTTACCAGGCAGCTCTAATGATGCTGCGCTGCTCAAGGTTAAGGTAGGACTGGTGGACACTCAGCCAGAAGGCACTGTGGTTTTCAAAATGGTGGTAATATTGGGCTGCACAGTGTCTGGGAAGTTTTATATGGGCCAATCAAAAATCCTCTTAAGAACTTCCAGGTATTTGTGAGTCCTCCCAACCCTTCAGTTTGGGAAGATTCTTAAGATTTATGAAGCCCAGCAATAAACTTCTCCAAGTGGAAGTTGCTTCCTGATTGACTCACACTGCCTTTTTGTGTTGTACATAAACATGTCTTAAATACACCCGTGCAAAGGAAGTCAACCCTGGTTCTTTTTTAGAAAGACAGATCCTGAGGCTGAAACTCAAAACACTTTGGCCACCAAATGAGAAAAGGGAACTCCTTGGGAAAGGCTCTGGTGTTAGGAAAGATTGAAAGGAAAAGAAGAAGGGAACGGCTGTGGAGGAGATGCTCAGTGTCATCGACACAACAAACATGAATTTGGGCAAGCTCCGGGAGACAGAGGAGGACCCTGGTGTGTGCTGTGGTCCACGGGGCGGCAAAGAGTCAGGCACAACTTAGCAACTGAACAACAAGATAGAAAGAATGAGGATAGAATTCATTTACAACATTGTAATGGCTCAGTTAGTTAGTATGAAAACAGACTATCTTCAAAAGATCAGTTCACGGGAGGGACAGGTTTCTAGAGAGATGTGCTATTGATCTGGTGATCTGGTGAGGAAAAAGTGTTTCTGCATGTCCTAAAAGAGACAAGCAGACCAGCTTCTACATTACTTGGTTCAAATTAACTCCACGGCTGTAGTGGAGTTAGATAGAGTTGGCCACTCACCTGGTTTTTGTGGTAGACTTACGTTGCAAAATTTATTAGCCTTTACTTGAGCTGGTTTTTGTGCAAGGAATCCAGCACAATGAAGCCTAATTGCATTGAACAACACAAGAGGTCATTCAGCTGTGTCAACGGCTCCTTTCCTGCTGCTGCTGTCATACTCGGGGGAGCTTTTGAACTCTTGGCCACAGACTTCCAAGCCTGCTCTCACAATGTCACAAAACTGCAAAAACCTTTAGCTTGGTGCTTATCACACCTGATTTTAAGATCTCTGGACTTCAACAATACCTGGCTGAGGAATTCTGGGAATTAAAGCTGTCAATGTTGAGAAACTGTGCTTTAGATCTAGATGTTCTACCTTAGATGAGTCCCATTACAAACAAATTGGAACTTTCAAAACCGATCAATCTGTGCTTTCCAGTCACTTCATCCCAGAGTTCCTGGCACGGCACTGTTCTCATAGCACTAAACAGACTTTATTGGTATTTCCCCTTAAGGGTGTGATTAAAACCAGAGCTCAGAATTTCAACAGAGGTCATATGTTATTAAATTTTTATGCTGCCCATCTCCTCTACAAGGTGATTCTGAGTGCTCGACCTATTCATTTATATATATTGCCCATATTTCTACCCCACAATAATCCAGAGATGGTCATAATCCTGAATGAAGCTTCTTGGCAGTTGGCCAATAATGCCGTTATCATAATATCCATTTCAGATTTTTTAACAAATAGGGGACTGTGGCTATCTTTGCTCTCCATATTTTTAGAAATATGAAACAGAATTGAGGCTTTTATGTTTTGAAATCCTTCGAGAGACCTACAATAGTCTAGTTCTAGTTCCAGTTTTTGATGGTTTCAGGCAACTTAATTCTCCCAGCCTGGGTGTCCCAAATAAGTAAACTCTCATAGGACTGCTGTGAGAGGGGGGGGGGAAAACACACACACACAATATAATCCCGTAAAGCCAAACTAAACAGCGATATGAACGGAATCTGCAGCAAGCTCTAGCCGTGACTCCACAGACTTGAAAATACTCCAAACCAACCGTGTACTGGTGGCTTAATCCAGTCATTTGACAGTAAAGCTTTTCAGAGGTGATTAAACATTTGGCACAATTACGTGCGGCAGAAGAGGCGACCACACAACTGAAAAACTAGAGTGACCTTGTCCTACATATCAAAAGATAAACCTTGCTTGCTTTTAATATTAATAATAATAATAAAGTTGGAAGCGACCTTGGAGGTCATCAAGTCCAACCCCCTGCTCAGGCAGGTAACCCTATACCATTTCAGACAAATGGCTATCCAGTTTCTTCTTAAAAACTTCCAGTGTTGGAGCATTCATAGCTTCTGGAGGCAGGTTGTTCCACTGGTTAATTGTTCTGACTATTAGGAAGTTTCTCCTTAGTTCTAGGTTGCTTCTCTCCTTGATTTGTTTCCATCCGTTGCTTCTTGTCCTGCCTTCAGGTGCTTTGGAGAATAGCTTGACTCCTTCTTCTTTGGGGCAGCCCCTGAGATACTGGAAGGCTGCTATCATGTCCCCCCTCGTCCTTCTCTTCATTAAACTAGTCATACCCAATTCCAGCAAATGTTCCTTATGTTTTAGCCTCCAGTCCCCTAATCATCTTTGTTGCTCTTCTCTGCACTCTTTCTAGAAGCATCTTTTTTACATCGTGGTGACCAAAACTGGATGCAGTATTCCAAGTGTGGCCTTACCAAGGCATTGTAAAGTGGTATTAACACGTCACGTGATCTTGATTCTATCCCTCTGTTAATGCAGCCTAGCACTGTGTTGGCCTTTTTGGCAGCTGCAGCACACGGCTGGCTCATATTTAGGTGATTGTCTACTAGGACTCCGAGATCCCTCTCACAGTTACTACTATTGAGCAAGGTACCCCCTATACCAGGGGTAGGCAACCTTGGCTCTTTTATGACTCGTGGACTTCAACTCCCAGAATTCCTGAGCCAACATGGGGGAACTATGGCCCCCTCATGACTCGTGGACTTCAACTCCCAGAATTCCTGAGCCAGCATGGAAACCTCTCCCTTTCCCCTCAGAGTGGCTGGCTCAGGAATTCTGGGAGTTGAAGTCCAGGAGTCATAAAAGAGCCAAGGTTGCCTACCCCTGCCCTATACTATACATTTCATAAATATTTAACAGTGCACTGGCTTATCTTCGGTCTGAAGAGACGGAGAGGAGAGCATCAGCATGAAAGCTATTTTTCTCAACTTCCCCAGGATAAGGAATGTATCTCCTGTTACAAGTTAAAAGTTAAAACTGTGAGAATGGTCAATTAACATCGTTTTTTAAGCCTCTTCCTCATTTCCTCTCTCCTCTGCCGAGTGAAACAAAGCCTCCCGGACAATTAGGACTCTTTTTGTGTGTTTTCAGCCTCTTAGCTGCCCGGTGAGAAAAGCTAGTATGTCCTTGTTATTTCAAAGAAGTAATTATCTGTAGAAGCAAAGGGTGTTTGTGCACGGCACAAGGAAATCAGTGAAGGAGTCCACATGCTTAAAAATCAAAACAGGCGTTCTGCATTTCCATTACCTACAAATTAAGAGAGGTGTAAATCTCATTCTCAAGAGTCATTCAAAGTCATCGTAGTTTTTCTGGGTAAACTGAGAAAATTCTGCTCCTAGCAAAGCAGACACGATCATTCTGTGGCAAAGCATTGGGGGGGGGGGCAGGAGAGGGGGGGGGAACAGGAGGGCAGGAGGGGTTCATGCAAGTAAAAAGAGGTAATCCTTACATCCTTGGCTGCTTTTGGGTCAGATACGCAGGCAAAAGTGATATCGCAGGTTGAAACTACTTCAGCGGGGGTTCTTCCCAACCGTGCCCCCTCCTGGATGAACAAATCACACTGCAAAAGTCACAGACCCAAAGGTAAGAAACAAAAGGAACCCGGGAACCACGACATGCCCCCAAATCAACCACCAGAGCCCTGGCTGCGAATTCTGAAGAGTTCAAGCCCACGTAGCTGGAGAACTCCCAACACAATCCCAGGAAATATTAAGTTTGGGTCAGAATAAACTTGGAAGTTACGTGAACCAAAGCAAAGAGAACTAGCTAAGCTTGGCAGGATAACAAAGAAATCCTTTCTCTGCTTTCTAGAAAGGTCATCACACCGTATTTTTGGACATGGGCTTACAGGGTGTTTTGTGAGAATAGAGCAAGCTTCACAGAACCTTATCAGGGCCAAGGGAGTCTGTGTTTACGGCCTCAGCTGCTGCAACAACTAAATTACCTTTGTGTAACAGCAACTATGAAAGGGCTCCAAGCTCTTGTGGATCCAAGAAGATAGCTTTCTATTGCCTCCTGGAAATGGCAGGGGGATTCGTTCTGATACTAAAGGACTGAACTCTGGGTCCAATCCCACCCGCCAATCTTTTGGCTGACAGATGGGGCTTGGACATCTACCGGATTGGAATAATGCCAGAGAGGGGTGACCCACCACATCACTGCTCTATCCCAAACGACCCAGGTCTTTTCTTCAGCAGCTTCTGCTCTGCCATTATCAAGGGTTTTCCTTAGATGAGCTCCTAATTTTGAGATAATCTCCTGACAGGTGCCAACTGCCTCACGCAGTCCTCTATGCTCACGAAAAACTGTTAACAGAAATGTGATTTCTAAAAAATGTGGGGCAAAAACTGATGTGGGCATAGCTGTGGCAGCTATCCTAAGTCAGAGCTTCAGAGCTGTCAGCCACAAAAATAGCACAACTTGGGAGGGGAGGGGGAAAAGAAATGAAACGGAGGGAGGGAATGAAAACGTTACCATAGCTACAAGGATCTTGGGGATAATGTAAGCTGGCGCTGTCAAACCAATTACTACGTTCAGAAGCCCGTCTTAAAAAAAAAACATTTCAAATGTGCTGGGCCAGAAAGCATCCATTTTAGTTAAATGGCTTTTCTCTCTTTCTAGGGAGTACGTGCTTTTGAAACAGTGTTGACTCCTGGAGGTTGCCTGGACAAGTCCCTGCAATTTTCCTGGAAAGGTTTTCCAGACGTGGTTTTCCCTTGCCTCCTCCTTTGGGCTGAGAGAGGGGAACTGGCTCAAGGTCACTCCGCTGGCTTTATGCCTAGGATGGGACTAGACCTCAAGAGTCCCCAGATTCTAGCTTGATGCTTTAACCGTGGCGTCAAAGTGGCTTTCCTCTTTCCTATCTCCCTGATAAAACCAAACCTACAGTCCATCGTTCGGTATGAAAAGGATGTCGCAGTACAGATGAGAAAATTGTTATACATTTCTCCCATCTTGTAAACAGAGACATTCTCTTCTTATTTCAGGCATGGGTGACCATCAGCACTTCGAAGGGCATTCCTTGATCGGGTCTGTTGCTTCCTTCCCCTCCACCCAGACAGAAGACTGTTTATTTCTTACCAGAAATGGAACTTACCTTCTCAGCGGTCCGATTCCAGACCGTGACGGTGTGACCCATTTTTATTAAGTTGGAGACAATGCCACTGCCCATCAGGCCGAGACCGAGGAAGCCTATCCTGCGTAGGGGAGAAGATGGTGAGAGCTGGCCACAGTGCAGGGAACGACTGTTTTTCGTTTTTTTTTTTTCCTTTTTTCAAACCTCACAAAATTAAGATACAGAGAAATGGTGGGCGAGAGTAACAAGTAAAACGATGCACAAAGACAAGCCAGGGGAAATCTATTATTCTCAATTCCAAACTGATCAATCCCATTGCTTGCTCTATGCAACAACAAGCTTTTGGCAAGAGCTGGATCTTCTTTTCCTACCCATTTTTTGGCATAAACAGAAGAATAGGGGAAAGGAGGCCAGAACAATGGACCGTGGGTGGCCTCACCTAGTTTGGGAGCTAATTCTGTTCAAATGCTTGTTTCAGAAGTCAGCGTGTGGCATCCAGAAGACAATGGCTTCCAAGCGACAGGAAGTTTTCCACCCTGCCCATCCTCTCACAGACCTCCTTTCTAAAAGACCCGACACTACAGAGGACTGTGCACACCAAGCAGCTGCATGAGCAACACACTTGTCTAGTGTGACGTAGTGTGATAAGGTGCGGGATGATCCCGGTGCAAACCCCAAATTTATATATTTGCAAATCTTCAAGTAACGTAGACACTCGTTCAAGCCTTGTTCCCTGTTATCAGCACTTCTGGGCTTATGATTAAGAAAGCCACTGCTAACAAGCGGAACTCTTATCCAACAGCGTTTGTGGTTAAGAATGTTTTATGTGCATTTTTTTTTTAGTAAAACAGGAAGGCTACCAGACTCCAAAATACAACGATTAATATTCTAGGAAACCTGCCAAAAGAAAAAAAAAAAGCAGGCCAGTTTCCCCTCCTCGCTGTCACCTCTCACAGCTGATTTGGGGAAAGCCAATTCCTAACCACATTACGCTTTGCCACGCCATTCACCCACGAGCGTCCTGCGGAGCTGAAGGAAAACAACACGAAAGGGTGTGGTCGAGGCACAGTGAAAAGGGCCCGTGTGCAACTGTGCATCAGGACAGCTGAAGAGCTGCTGGGGTTTTAAGGGTTTACCTGAATGACTTCATTGTTAAAAGTTTGTTTCCCTTCAGCAAACGCAAAGGGCAGACATCCTGAGATGGCTGCAGCCCCAAGCAGGCCACAGCTTGCTCTGAACAGAGTTGGGGGGGAAATTGCTTCTGACCGCACGACAGGAAGTGCAACTGAGGCTCCTGTCACTGGAGGAGAGGGGGAAGCGCAAGGAGGGCCTGGAGGCAGATCTGCCATAGAGGGCCCTTCCTGGGAGGAATTCAAAAGTCCCGCCTCTGCCTCTCCTTTCTGGTGATGGCTCGAGAACAACTCCCAAGACCATTCTCACCAGATTCTTGCAATGAAGCGTGCCATGAAAAGAGGGTTGTTGTTGGTGGTGGTTTTTTTAAAAAAACAAAAAAACAAAAAACAAAGCACTTAGATCCAAAGGAAAATTCACTGGATTGTGAGAGAGCCTCTGGGCAATTTTATTTTTCACCGTTCTAGCAATGTCATCTTTGGTCATGGCAGGGTTTGATGGGGGTGGGGTGGGGAGAATTCATTCTCTCATTTTGTGCACGCAACTGCTTGGTGAAGTTCAGCCAGCTGGCATGAAAGCAATTTACAAGGAAGGAAGGAAGGAAGGAAGGAAGGAAGGAAGGAAGGAAGGAAGGAAGGAAGGAAGGAAGGAAGGAAGGAAGGAAGGCTTACTTCTTGTCTGTAGGAGTGATGCTGCCATTGATAGCTGTGCTGTCTGCTGCCTGGATAGAAGTGGACCCAGTTTCCTATGGAAGAACATACCCGTCACTGATCAATTTCGTCTTAGCAAAATGGACAGGATCTGCTCAATGAAAGGAAATTAAAAGCAAACTTTTCTGTACCTCTTCACACACCTTCAGCTTCTTTGTGATGGCCTGATAGCAAACTGTTGGCTGTAGGGAAAAGATAAAAGCACATGCACCAGATGCATCATAAAGAGGCCGCGCCCACCCAGCTCTGGCAATGCAAAAAAAGCCGCGATACGTCACGACACGTCACGCGACATTGCGAGTTTGACACCCCTGCTGTAGAACAACCAAACCTTGACTCAGCTGCGGACTAAGGGGCCCAATTCACCCAAATAGTCAAATTATCATGGAGAAGTAAGGAATTCTCCCCACTAAGCATTTATGAGAAATAATAGCTGAGATCCCATAAAAGTAGAAGTCACATCCTGAAATAGGGTGATGGCAAAGAGCTTAGGATAGCAAATTCTAATTTAAGGAATTAGGTGGGACAGAACAAAGGCCATAGCTTTAGAATACAGATGCACTTAGAAAGTGTGCTTGGCCCCATATGATTTTTCTGGATTTCTGTAGCTGAAGGGGAATAAAACTGGATCCCTCTGCTCCCAGCTCAAAAGTGTATCCTATAACCGGTGCTTCTCAACAGTAACAACTTGAAGACATGTAGACTTCCATTCCCAGAATTCCCCAGACAGCATAGCTGGGTTTTTCTGTTTTGACTAATTCATGGTTTATTCAAAACAGGGCCATTACTCTGCTTATCCATCCTTCCCAAACCATGTTTCAGCCTAAAATTCCATTTTTTTTTTTTTTGGCTCACCTTTTCAGTTTGGCTAAGCAGAAAGTGATGGAAATGAGGGTCACCATCTTTCACAGGCTGTAATGGCAAAAGAACAAATTGAGAAGCCAACACACTCAAATGTCAACTCTGGAAAAACATCTATACACACACTATGAATGGGTTTCAGTTCCAGATTCTGGTGCCTTTTTGGAATCCAGAAGAGTTATGTTGAGCTCCTTGCTTCGTTCAGGACAAATATAAATATTATGCATTTGATGGGGAGAAACACATGAAAAAGTCAAGTTATGGAATGTAATTATAAGAGTTGGCTGAGAATCATCTATGCAGCTATAGGGAAAGAAGAATGCTTGAAAATGGATCCTTCGTATAAACTATACCTTCTGATACACGCTAAGAAAACAATTTCTAGTTTAAAAGGACCAGATTTAAATTATTGGTTTCTAAGCTCCTATTTCAAGCATTTTTAGGAAGTAGCAAGTGACAATGAATAAATGATTTTAATGTATGTAGACATGCTTCAAAGACCTTGCAGGGCAACGTTTTGATCACCAAATGTAAGGATTTCAGTACAGGTCATCTTCAACTTGTAACCATAATCAAGTCCAAAATGTCTGTTGCCAAGCAAGACAGTTGTTAAGTGAGTTCTGATTCCTGTTACTTGCCACAGTTGTTAAGTGAATTCACTGCAGTTGTTAAGTGAGTAACATGGTTGTTCAGTGAATCTCGCTTCCCCGTTGACTCTGCTCGTCAGAAAGCCGCAAAAGGGGATCACGTGACCCTGGGAGACGGCAACGGTCATAAATACATGCCAGTTGCCAAGTGTTTGGATTTTTTGTCATGTGACTTTAGGAAGGCTGCAACGGTTGTGTGAAAAATGGTCGCCAGTCACTTTTTCCAGGGCTGTTATAACTTCGAATGGTCACTAAACATTGAATGGTTGTTTAAGTCGAGGACTACCTGTATCAGCTTAGAATCATTCTGTTTTTGAATACGTATAGAAGCGTATGGACTGTAGCTGATGAATCTCAGGTTTCTCTGGATGTCTGCTTCTTGAATAAATCTTCCCAGGATCTTCAATATCGTAGGGAGTTTATCAGGAAGGGTCACTGTCTGGTTCCTTTTATCAGGGATTCCCAACAGAGGGTGCAAGACGATATTCCAGGGAGTGCGAAAACTTGGGTTTTTCAAAATCATAGCGCATATGCATAATTCGTTGCCGTAATATCAAACTTTTGTTAAGGGGTGCAAGAATATATGAGAAGCATTCTAGGAGTGCGGGGTATAGAAAAGGTTGGGAGCCGCTGATCTAGATACTACACAAACTTTTTAAAGATATCTGAAGTGGTGGCTAAATTTACGAATCACATTTCTCTCTTCTCTCCTATTTCAACCTTTTTTCTCTTATTTTTCCAAAGGTGGAGAAATGTACGCTTACAACAAGCTATGATTACCAAGTGACATACATGCCGTTTTTTTAAAAAAAGCCTCTTTTTCGATTGCAGTGATTCCTCCTCTCCCTCCAGTAACCACAGAAAAAGTGAAGCAAGCAAGGCGCAGAAATAGGCGCAAGAATCGCGTTGCATGGGGAATACCAGCAGCGCGGGCTTGAATGTAGTAAATCAAGCAAGGAGAGAAAGCAAAGTGAGATATTGGTGGAAAAAAAAAACGCCCATCAATCCCTTTATGTAAACCAGGCCAGGAAATCAACTTCATAGGTAGCCTAAAACTACCTTTCGTCAAGATCAGTTGTAACAACAGAATCTTACAAGCCTGATTATACTGTACCTCCTTCTCCTTTTCAGACTTCAGTACATTAGTGAGGTGTCTGTCTGAGCTGCTATGTCTCTGTCACGGACTTAAGATACGTTTCACCCCTGGTCATTTAGTAACAGAACTCACATATCTCCTTCAAGATCATTTTCCTTACTCTTCACCAAAACCCTTGCCCAGATCATCCAAAAGCTTGCGAGCCAAGTCTATTGAGAGAGAACTACAGGTAATCCTCGACTTACAACCACAATCGAGCCCAAAATTTCTGTTGCTAAGTGAAACATTTGCTAAGTGAGCTTTGCCCCATTTTTCTTGCCTTCACTTGTTAAGTGAATCACCAAAGCTGTTAAGTTAGTAATACAGCTGTTAAGTGGATCTGGCTTCCCCCGTTGACTTTGCTTGTCAGGTCGCAAAAGCGGATCACGTGACCCCAAAGCACTGCAACCGTCATAAATCTAGTAGGAGTCAGTCGCCAATCACCTGGATTTTGATCACATGATCGTGAGGATGCTTCAGCCGTTGAAAGCGTGAGAAATAAGTCATCGCTCACTTTTTTCCAGTGCCATTTTTTTCTTGTATCTTTGAATTTATTTATTTATTTATTTATGAGACTTATATACCGCTTTAAGTGCAAGCACTCTCTAAGCGGTGTACACCAGTAAGCAATGTATATATATATATATCTATTTACATTGCCCCCAACAATCTGGGTCCTCATTTTACCTACCCCGGAAGGATGGAAGGCTGAGTCAACCTTGAGCCGGTGAGATTTGAACCGCTGACCTGCTGAACACAGTCAGCTAAAGTGGCCTGCAGTACTGCACTCTAACTGCTGCGCCACCTCGGCTCTTATGGTCACTAATTAAACTGTTGTGTGTCGTGGACTACCTGTACTGCCTCAACATGACATACTATTTCTCTATTTCTCTCTCTCTCTCTCCTTCTCCCTCTCTCTCTCTCTCACACACACACACACAATACACCAAGAGCTGAATTGTTGCTTCCTCTGAGAAATATGCAAAGAATTAAATCACCTCGCTTACACTCTGTGGCCACTTAAAGCCAGCCATGGTGCCAGTCATCATTTTCTTCACTGTGCTTGACTCAGGAATTGTCATGTCCTGTGGAGAAGACAGACCGGTGGTGAGTACCATCTGTGGACTCCCAAAATCCATAAATACAATCCATCTTGGGAAGCGGGACTTTGGAAGAAAAGTGTTATTTCACAAAAACAGATTTTTTTCCCCTCCTACACTGGCCAACGAGTCCTTCAAGGGCCTGCTCTCCAAGAGAAATCTTCTAGAGCAGCTTTCTCTTTCATGACAACTACTCAAATGCACGAGGCCACAAGCCCCTGTATTTTCATCAAGTAGACACAGAGATAGAGAAGTATCTGTATCAGTGGTTCTCAACCTTTTTAATGCCGCGACCCCCAACCGGTCGTAAGTCGAGGACTACTCAACCGGTCGTAAGTCGAGGACTACTCAACGGGTGCAGCACCGTTTGTAGAATGGGACTTTTGGCGGGCTCAGCAGGGCAGAGACAGCCTGGACAATTCCTATTGGCTTTTGAAAGCCAATAGAATTAGACTCTATTTAAGAGAGTCTATTCTATTGGCTTTCAAAAGCCAATAGAATAAAAGGGAGTAGCACAGCTAAGGACAAGGGGGGAAAAATGGCGGACTGCGTTGTTTGGCGACCCCCGTGAAATGGCCGTTCGACCCCAAATGGGGTCCCGACCCACAGGTTGAGAACCACTGATCTATATGTTGGATGGAGCACCTGGTCTACCAAATATAAAGCAATCTGTTCTGTGTTTCGCTCCAACCTAGGAGCATTTTTTGCAGGCAGACGTCACTACTGTGATAACTGTAAATTCAAAATTTTGTGGCTGACAAAGAGTTAATACAACTGCCTAACATGCAAACTGCCCAGGTTTGAATCCCAGAGGGGTAAGACTAGCTGATGAGAGCTAAAGAGCTTGAAATAGCTATACTAGTCTCCCTTTAACTCTTTGTCAGCCACAACATTTTGAAGATAAATATAGATATATATATAGAGAGAGACATATCTTAAACTGCTGCCCATAATTTCACATGCAATGCTCTTCTTTCCCAACTCATTTCTTAAAGGCAGTATTTAATTTTGTTTTATGGCAATCCCAAACCAATACTGGTTAAATTGTAATTTGCTGAAAACAGTGCAACAGAAACTTGTTATAGATCCAGTTTTTAACTGCACTAAGACATATGTGATGCTGGTAAATTTTATTTAATTTCCATGTTGGGTTTAACTTGAGCTTTTAGATGGATAGCATTTTATATAATTTCTCCTGTCCAGCTGCCACGGAGAAAAATACAATGATATATTGGGAGCACAAAAGAACAAGCTTGAACGTATTCTACCCTATCTCCAAAGTTACTCTTCTTCCTAACAGGGCCCAGTTATTATTCTTATAGTGCAGTGTTTCTCAACCTTGACCATTTTAAGGCATGTGGACTTCAACTCCCAGCATTGCTGGCTGTGGAATTCTGGGAGTTGAAGTCCACATGCCTTAAAATGGTCAAGGTTGAGAAACACTGCTATAGTGGGATACAGTGTTCAGCTCACAAATCTTCTGCTCATTGAAAGCCCTGAAATATGGGTCAAAGCTTTTCGCATCTCGGTTATTGAACTCTTCCTCCAGTAATTTTTTTTTCATTTTGCCAGGCAGTTGCCTTAAATAAATTGCCTGTTGTTTTGGTTATGCTCTGATCGTCTTATCTGAAAAACATGCTATGCCCTGGAGACAGGATGGTTTTCAGGACTGAAAAACAAAAGTATTTTTCAATAAAATAAATTCCTTTTCAAAATCTAGTGGGAGCAACCTTTTATTTTTAAGCACAGCGGTCCCCAACCTTTTTGGCACCAGGGACCAGAGTTTCATGGAACACAAGTTTGGAAGAAGGAGCCCGCAACCTAGATCCCTTGTATGCGGAGTTGACAACGGGGTTCATGCTCTCGTAAGAATCTAATGCCTGATGATCTGAGGTGGAGCTGATGATGCCAGCGCTGGGGAGCAGCTCCAAATACAGAAGGAGCTTCACTTGCTCATCCCACTGCTTACCTCTAGCTATGCAGCCCAGTTACTAACAGGCCGCGAACCAGTACTGGGAGTAGGGGATCACTGCTCTAGCAGTTTCCCCCACCTGCCTGTTTTCTAGATTTATGGCTTTCAACGCCCCAATTTTTCCAGCCCCTCTTGCAATAATAGAATGCTGAGAATTGCGAGAGTTGAAACACGTGTATGTGGCAGCATGGGTTGGAGGAGGCTACTCTGGATTACTTCAAATTTTAGGAGGAATATACACAGGGCACTCCTGTCTATCGGCGAGGAATAACTGAGCAATAAATGCAATAGAACAAATCCAGACATCTAGCTTCTGTTCTTATAAGCCTCTAGCTCAGTGGTGGCGAACCTTTTGGAGACCGAGTGCCCAAACTGCAACCCACAACCCACTTATGTACCGCCAGGTGGGCGTGACCCACTGGGTGGGTGTGGCTGTAGTCATGGCAAAATGGATGGGCGTGGCCACCTCGATGTTGCTCGTGGGGAGGGACGCCTGTGGGGGCCCAGCAGGGTTGGGACAGATCCTGGGGGTCTCTGGCAGGTGGGGCGGTGGGCAGGAGGCTCGTCCTGAGGGGTGAGGCAAGGCGAGGCAGGGCGGAGGTGCCTGCTGCCCGACACCATCAGCCCCTGCACACACAGGCCAGCGAGCGCATGGGGGCCAACAGTGTCCATCAGCAGCCACAGTCTGCCGGCCCCTCGACCAGCTCACTCTGGGGCTCTGCAGCCCGCCACCAGCAGTTCAGAGAAGCTGCCTCTGAGCTGGACTGCTGGCTAATAGCTGAGGAGGCGATGCAGTGGGTCATGCCCGGGAAAAGGAGAGCACGCGAGGCCAGGAGGGATGGGATGGGGGGAGGGAAACCAGCCAGGTTGGGATGCATCCGGCCACGTGGGACCTCGGTGAGTTAGCGAGCAGCTGGTTGAAGTGAGACGGTTGCCATCTCCGGGACATGGCGTGCGTGCCCACAGAGAGGGCTCTGAGTGCCGCCTGTGGCACATGTGCCATAGGTTTGCCACCACTGCTCTAGCTCCATTGTTTTACAAGTAAAAAGCTATTTTGCTTTTAATACTCTTATCCTCCATTACAGATCTCTTCACAACATATTTTCCGCCAGCCTTCAAAACCCACTTCCAATATTATGCAACTCTACAAGATCCAACAACGATAACCAAAGCAATTTTTGTTACCAAGACAACTCAGGGATCAGAAATGCTTTAACAGCCGCCGCCACCACCACCTCTTTTTTTTTTTTTTTAAAAAAATACATTTCAGGCTTTCCTTCCTTACAATCAGGATTCATGTCAGGTTCTCTTTCATACAATGAAGTTTGAAAATGTCCTTCCACAAAATCTCAAAGCAGGAAGTGATGCAGGGATGACAGTTGATCAAGAATCATCAAGAAAGCAGACTATTAAAAGCATCACAGGACAGACTAATGGAATCTAGGATATGCATGAGTGAATGCCTTATAAAAAAAGGTCTCTGGGCATAAGAGAGGAAGGAAGAAGATGCCATTTTATTAATTTCCCAGAATGCTAAAGGCTTTCACGACAATTTGTCTGCCACCCTCTTCACTTTGGAAAAGAAACCCAGGGAAAAGCCCTCAACATCATCATCTTCATCGTCCTTGAAGGTACGTTGGTTATTGTTAAGACTGTTAAAAACAAAACAACTCTAGCCAATAGTTACTCAATCTTCAAGCAGGTTTCTGTACTTCCAGATTAAACTCTAAAAGCTTCGTTCACAATTCTAAAGCAAAGAATGCCACTGATAAACCTCATGGTAACTAGCAAATTGTAAAGTTAAAAGGAAAAAAAAAAGTCTCTGTGTGTAAGCAAAGTGTAAACCCCAATGAAGAAAACTCCAGAACTCAAAACCCTACTTAAAGACAGGCATCTGGTCTGTCACCAGCAAGATATTAAGATTGCCTCTGAAAGCCGCCAGCATTTAAATCCCAAGTGAGAAGAAGCAGATTCACAACTGTGAACTGGAAAAGGCTGTGCGAGACAGAAGCGGTATAAAGTTTGATTGTGGATATGTGGTATGAAATTCTAGTATATCTTGGTTGTTCTGTTTCATAATGACCGTCAGGCTCAGCACCCAGTAAAAGACGTACATTCTAGCATTATCCACTTTGTTGTTTACAACTACATTGAGAAGGTCCCCAGCTAGAGTATGGAGGCTCCAAATCTTGAAGAGGAGAGAAGAGGCAAATGTTCTACAAGTGAACTCTACGTTTCCAAAGATGAGTCACGAGACCACAACATGGGAGAGGAGAAAGCTCCAATATTGGCAAGAAAATGTGAGGAACGGATGTCTTCTGGTGGAATCGTCTACTTCTGGAGTGTTTCTTCATCATATCACACTACAATTTAAGCAACTTGTCCTTATGTAGTTGGAGATGGATCAGACACACAAATGAGATGGAGATGTTAACAGAAGGCGCTTTGGAACTACCAAAGGTATAAAAAAACAACAACAACTGTGTCTCCATTTCCTCCGCTGGTACGCGGCAAGATGGAAGCCCGGTGTCACTTGTTGGCTTTAACAAGTCAAAAGAAAATGTCGGGTTTAATAACGCACAAGGGCCGGCTAATACAAGTAATTATGACTCTGAATGGCATTAGACGGTAGGTTCCCAAATGGTTAAGACATGCAATTTTCCAAATGGTCACAACAATGAAGTCGTCTGGACGGCTGCTAGGACGACATTCCATCTGGACACGCTCAGAGCGAGCACGGGAAGGAATGCGCAGCAAAACACAAACCTTCTCGTCTTTGGGAGGGCGCCCTCGCTTCCGGGGGCTTTGCTTGTACATTCTCTTCAGGGGGGGTTTCGATCCTCGCTCAGAGGACACAGAGGCGGCTCGCTTTTTCGGTGTCCTTTCTGACAACCCAGCTTTGTGTTTCTCCTCTCCCACTGACTGCTTCCCCTTCTCTTCACTGGGATTCCGCCGGCTCTTCTCTTCAGTGGAGTTATGGGAAGACGCCTGAGAGATCACAGAACAGAAGGGATGAGGACAAGGCGGTGCATCAGCTGGCAGCGGCTTCATTTCCCCACACTCACCAAACCCGAGAGGTGTCTTGCCAGGTGTGTGAAGCGCGCCAAGTGCCCCAAATTAAGGGGGAAAAAAATTTAACAGGTTTAAGCTACTGAACAAGAGAACAAGGAGAAGCTCAAAGTACAGCCACATGCTCTACACCGGGAGCTATTTCTGACGACGGACCAGGTCCCAATTCCAGAAGGCACAGCAGATATAACCTCCAAGTGCTCTAGGATCAAGTGACCCTTTGATCTCCTTTTATCCAAATCAATCCAAGGCGGGAACGGCAACTGTGAAAATTAACAACCTTTCAAAGGCGGCAACGGTGAGCCTAACTGTGTTCCTCAAGTCACAATCCTAGAGACAAAACATGCAACCCCTTTCGGAGAAGGAAGCAAAAACGGTCGTTAAGGTAGCTCACCCCCAACCATTATTCCAAAGAAGAGGATAAGTTAGCACAGCCCCCTGAAGGACCACCTACCTGGTCCTTGCCTTTTCCTTTCTTGAGGAATTCTTCCACAGCATCCACAGCTTGCTGGAACCTCTTGCCTTTGTTAATTTTGATCATTTCTTCTTTGTGGGCATGGTAAGGTTTCAGCTGCTCTACTTTAATCCAAGCACTGGTGAAAAGAAATCAGAATTAAATTGTTCACGGTCAAAAGAAACAGAATTATCATTTTCAATTACAATGGCATCTCTCTTGATCCAGAAGCCAGCGGGGGGAAAAAAAAATCTAACACCCTGTCAAAACCATTCTCCTTCTTGAGAAACAACAAGATACCACTGAAGCTGACCCAGATACAGGACACCCCATTATCTTAGTATGATTTTTATGCTGTACTAATAGTGCATAGTGCATAGGCCTCATCCTCAGGAATGAAATTTGCCCAGGGGCTAATAAAAATCTGATTGTTGTAAAAAAAAAATTACACGTGTTTATCGCTAATACTTTCTAAATTGTAATCCATTTTTTTTCTGCTTTACTTTTAGAACGAGATTTAGGGATAATCACTGTTCATTTTCAATTGAGGCTCTGCTTCCCTTCCAGTTCCTGTTCGTTTTGTGGTGACCAATTTAAGCAATGGGCGGAGCTGTCCCAGATACTTCAATTTAATGGTACCTTGAAAAAACATCAGTGTTTGATATTTCAGACTGGACCGAATATCCTCAACTAAACAGCACTGTTATGTCTTGGAATTTCATTGTCCATAACTGGACATCTCTGGGTCCCCTAACAATGAACTTTGTTGTTGGGTGCCAAGAGAAAACAGAACCCAAATGGGCGCATCAACCATGAAATTAAAAAATTAATATGCCTAATAGAATTCTGAAGAACCAGTGCGAATGTTAAAATACATTACCAAGAAACAACCCCCCCAAATGCATAAAATAAGCAAATGAGGAGTGCATATGTGCAGTAACAACTGTTCGTTTAGCGGCCCTTTGAAATTGCAGAAAGTGCAAGAGTGAATTATCCTGCAGGACAGCCTTGAAAAGAAGTAGGCGGAACGCTCCCATTTTCAACCTCATCTAGATTGAACCTTTCATAACCGTATGGGGAATGACTTCTTCCATTTTCACCCAAAATATAGGTCTTAAATTGTATTTGAAAACAAGCAATTTTGTTACTAGAGAATTGACAGCTGAGAGTGGGCTGTATTACTCAACATTCATAACCTGTAGTATATACTATATGTATTACATCAATTGAAGGTTTGGAAAATAGCCACAGTTTCCCCTAAAACCCTGTTTTGGACAAAAGGGTTTGAAACAAAGAGCCAGAATAAAGTTAGTCCTGAAAATAGCACTAAAAGGTGCAGAAAGGCAAATAATAATTGACCCACGGTTCCTAGAAATGCAAAATCCACTTAGTTCCATTCTTTATGAGATTAAACCTTTGGTTGTCCGAGACAGGATTATTTAGTGCAAGGGTATATTAACCTGAGCTGACATACCTCTTTTCAAGTCCCTGCCGTGTTCACAAGCAAAAAAGAGAAATAGGACCATTTCAATAACCGTTAGGTGGCTCAAAATATAGCTGAGTATGTGAGAAAGAATCAAACTACTCTAGGTAGATAAGGAGGTATGATTCTGTTCGGTAGCTCATCATCACTGCAGAACTGGGTTGAGGGTGTTTCAGGAAACTGGAATTGCTGCCCAGATGAAATGTAACCCCGGGGAAATTTATAGCATTGATTAACTGAAACTAAGCCCAACTGTTCTGCTAAATTTCAATAAGCCGTTTAGCCCTTCCTTATTATACCAGCTGGTTTTCATGCTGTACATATATCATGCAGACAAGAGAGAGAGAAATATTAAGGGCAATTATCTAGCAGATACATGAATAGGATTTGGAGCACGTCTGCTGGCTCCAGTACCAAAGCTGCCATGTTGAAATGGAGACTAGTAGGAATGAAAGAAAGCCAACTTCCTTGGGGAAGGAAGAGGCCAGGCTGAAACGGAGACTAGTAGGAATGAAAGGAAGCCAACTTCCTTGGGGAAGGAAGAGGCCATGTTGAAATGGAGACTAGTAGGAATGAAAGGAAGCCAACTTCCTTGGGGAAAGAAGAGGCCAGGCTGAAATGGAGACTAGTAGGAATGAAAGGAAGCCAACTTCCTTGGGGAAGGAAGAGGCCATGTTGAAATGGAGACTAGTAGGAATGAAAGGAAGCCAACTTCCTTGGGGAAGGAAGAGGCCAGGCTGAAATGGAGACTAGTAGGAATGAAAGGAAGCCAACTTCCTTGGGGAAGGAAGAGGCCATGTTGAAATGGACTAGCAGGAATGAAAGAAAGCCACCTTCCTTGGGGAAGGAAGAGGCCAGGCTGAAATGGAGACTAGTAGGAATGAAAGGAAGCCAACTTCCTTGGGGAAGGAAGGTCTACTGTGCTTCCTTAGGTTAACAGATGCTGCCAAATGCTCCTGGGATTACAGTTTCAGAGAAGCAATTTAGACAGCCTCCAGGCTTGTTAGTCTGCATTTCCACAAGCTAGTTCCCCAATACAGGTAGTCCTCGACTTACAGCCAATACTGAGCCCAAAATTTCTGCTGCTAAGTGAGACAGTGGTTAAGTGAGGTGAGTTCCAGTTTTTACAACCTTTCTTGCCAGTTAAGTGAATCACTACAGTTGTTGAGCTAGTAACACGGTGGTTAAGTGAAATCGGGCTTCCCCATTGACTTTGCTTGTCAGGTCGCAAAAGGTCACATGATCCCAGGACACGGCAACTGTCGTAAATACAGGCCAATGGCCCAGCGCCTGAATTTTGATCACATGACCGTGGGGATGCTGAAAAACGGCCATAAGTCACTTTTTTCAGCATTATAACTTCAAATGGTCACTAAATGAATTGTTGTATACAGGAATTTCAGTATCAGTAAACATGTATTTGCTGTGGAAGCTAGACACCTAGTTTTGTTTTTGGAATTTTAATTCCCATTTACTATACTTTATGCCCATTAAAAGAGCAGGCATACAGAGCTCTTTTTAGAGCAGAACTCAATTAATTTTTCCAGAACTCCACATTTCAGCTGATCTCCTACAGCAAGTGATAAGATTTTTTTTCCAAGTTGACTTCTGAGCCATGCATAATTTACTTGGAAAAACTGACCCTTTCAGCTGCAATCTGTTCACTAATCTGTGCTGGTACTGAGCGGCATTTCAGATACAGCCCCCATTTCAAAGCACAGGAGAGTTAAACTTCCCAAGCTGTAAACAAATGAAACTACTTTAACAGCACCAGATTATCATCTGGCTGGCTAGAAATTAATATTTAACACTGCAGTATCCTAAGGGTTGAACCTACAGATTGTACTGTAATCCAAACAGTAATAAAATTCCCCCATTTTTTTTCACTTTTACCATTTTATTGAATAAAGCTCTGTTGAAGAATTTAGAACCATGTTTTCTCAGACTGCAGTCATTCTAAAAATTAAGCTTTCAACTGCCCCAATACCATCTTTTAAAATTCCCAGTCCCCGTAAAAAAAAAGTTCCCTGATCACGGATTAAATCTTTGGTTGTTTCAGTGGTGGGGTGACCTTTCCAAGATGGAATGAACTGAACTGAACATGTTATTCCAAACATGCCGATGAAATCAGCTTCTATCAATGTCTGATGCTGCTGCTGTGTTTATTTTAAATTCTACAGAGACACAAGATGGTGCCATCTACCTTAAGGGACCTAATGCCCTACCTTCCCTATCTGATCACTCTTTTTTTGAATTATCTACAACAAGAAGTCATATCCCATGAGGAAGGAGAGGCTGATCTCACCCTACCTTCCTGGGTCAAACGTCTTCCTCCCTTCAGAAGAACACTCCCTGATTCTAACTTCAGATCAAAAGGAAGCCCTCTTTGGGTTGGCTGTCTCCTAGCCAACAGGTGGGAATCCATCCATGGGCCCGATTCAGTTACTCATCTTTAACACAGGTTCTAAAGCATCTTTTTCTACTGACTGAAAAATTAAGACAACTTAATAGAACAGGGGTTCTCAACCTTTTTAATGCCGTGGCCCCCAACTGGTCGTAAGTCGAGGACTACTCAACCGGTTGTAAGTCGAGGACTACTCAACAGGTGCAGCACCGTTTGCAGAATGGGACTTTGGGCGGGCTCAGCAGGGCAGAGACAGCCTGGACAATTCCTATTGGCTTTTGAAAGCCAATAGAATTAGACTCTATACAAGAGAGTCTATTCTATTGGCTTTCAAAAGCCAATAGAATAAAAGGGAGTAGCACAGCTAAGGAAAAGGGGGGAAAAAATGGCGGACTGCGTTGTTTGGCGACCCCCGTGAAATGGTCGTTCGACCCCAAATGGGGTCCCGACCCACAGGTTGAGAGCCACTGTAATAGAAAGACGTGAAATTCTACTACTTGAGCAAGAGCTTCTCTATAAAGGCTCCAAAGTTTTAAAAGTTTTTTTCTTTTCCTTCCAGATAAAAGGGAAAAAGGGGGAGAGGATCACATACTGGTCTTCAGTTCCAAAAAACTTCACAAAGAAGCACTTCTTCCCACGTGGCTTCTTCAGGTCCTTTGGTGGGTTAACAATCTGGAAAAAAAGAGGGGGGAAGGGAGACAGCAACAAGTTAAGAGAGATAACACTGATTTTTTTTTCTCAATGTTCATTTGGTATTCCCTGCGGAACTGTTGTGCTTTGAAAGTCGACGGTCTGAAATAAGAGTCAACCTTTGTGGAAATTAAAGATAGATTTATAATAGTCCCACATAGGGCAATAATATGAACTATGCTATGGGAAGACTTCAGTTCGAATTCTTCTTTGACTGCAGATTGACCATGTGACTTTGGGCTAATCGCTCTTTCCCAATCTTACCTACTCCTGGCTCCAGTGGTACTCCCACAAATCCAGAACTTGCTCATGGTAACCTTCTATCCAACTGAATTCTGGTTTCTGGCTTATTCTGTGTCTGAAGTCAGAAGTACTGGCTTCTGTTTTAAGGTCCATGTTTAAGGTTTTTGAGAGTAATAGTTAAAGGGTCAGGCTGGAAACAGAGCGCAATTTCATGTTCCTAGGTACAAAGCCAACTGGGTGACCTTGGACTTAGCACGCTCTCTCAACCCTTGGAAAAAGCCAATGGCGAGCCATTTCTAAAAAACTCGGCCAAGAAAACTGCAGGACTAATCCGGGCAGTCGCCAGGAGTCAAAAGCTGACCTGAAGGCACAAACGCACATTTTTACAAACCCATATGCACCATTTGGGGCTCCAGTTGATGTGTACCTTAAAAACCTCCACTACCCAAAGCAACAGCAAACAAGACATTACAAGCATCACTTCTGTATGTAATAGGACTTGTGTATTATGAAATCACATTCAGCGATTATGTGTTTCTGGTATAGATTAAATATGGCAATTTCATGGCTCGGTTCACTAAAGATACTAGACTTAGTTTAGCTGAACACAACTGTTGCATTCCCCATAAAGGACTCTAGGCGTAGGCCAGGGGTGGACAACCTTGGCTCTTTTATGACTCGTGGACTTCAACTCCGCTGGCTCAGGAATTCTGGGAGTTGAAGTCCAAGAGTCATAAAAGAGCCAAGGTTGCCTACCCCCGGCCTAGGCAAATGGAAACGCACTGACTGGTCAGAATTCATAAACCACCTAAGATAATGACTAGGTTGCTCATAAAACAATGTAACAATAATTATAGTTTGGAAGTCTGGATGCCACATAAACAAAAGACATACAGGTAGTCCTCACCTACAAACCACAATTCAGACTAACAACCATTCGCAATCTTAAAGTGAAATATTACATGGCCAAGCCCAACTTAGGTTAGTTCCAGCTGTGGTTGTAAAGTAAATCACCCACAGTCATTAAGTGTGAAATCACGTGACTGCAACTTGGGACTTCTTGCTGGCTTCCCCAGTGACTTTGTTTGTTGGAAGCCAGCTGTGAAGGTTGCCAATGGTGATCATGTGGGGATGCCATGACTGTCATAAATGCAACTACCAGCTACCAAATAGTTGAATTGCAATCATGTGACCGTAGGGACACTGCGACAGCCATAAATTCAAGGCCTGGTCGTAAACCTCCTATTTCAGTGCTGTCGTATCTTTGAACAGCCACTGAACCAAGTGGCCAATAAGCAAGGACAATCTGTATGCTGCTTGATTAAGTGCAAGTAACACTAGGAAAGTTTATGTTCATTTTAAAGATAGCATCTTTATTCCACACAATAAATCCAAGCATTGGTCATATTTATTGCATATTGCTTTGACTTTTCTGAAGGGGCAAGGGAAAGGGAAGGGAAAAAAGCATTACTCAGAAGTCATGCTGTAGCAATAAAGAAAACAATGAAAAAAAATGTACTAAGAGGTTAAGTGTGCAGAGCACAAGTTCCCACTCAATACTTGTAGGGTAGAATCATAACCATGGTTACACTAATCTGTTCTTATCTCGGTTTTTAAAATGCCACCATGCTGGACCTGGCCAGAGATGGAGTGAAGGATTTAGAGCAGCACTATAGGAGATTTAAAGCTAAATAACGAGTTAGGGTGCAGAACATGCTTTCTGGCAGGAGAGCTAGCAATTACATGACCAGGAAGCATAACAGGAAAGCTGCACACCTTGAAATAATGCCCTGTATGCTCCCCCTTGCTAAATAACTTGGGTGAACAATTGATTGCTAACTAAACAGTCCCTGCTCTCTCTCCAACAGCATTCATCGGAAATACATTTTGTCTGTACCTCCCAGCTGTTCTAAATTTATCACAAAGTAAAATTATGGCTTGACTGGTGGACATAAGTCAGATCTAAACTTCACCTTGGAAAAACAGAACTACAGCTATAATAAATTATACTGTACATTGATTAAGGTTCCAGCATACTCAAAGGAATTTATTTTCCTGTCTGATACCTTGAAAAGTCAGCTCTTTATTAAACAAAGTCCTAAAAAAAAAGCTAGGGGAAAACTTGTTCAGCAGAAACTAAGATAAAAACTTAAGTCGCTGTACCTAATCTGTTTTGAAACCTGCCAAAATGCTTACAGTGAAACAAAAAGAAATGTTTAAACAGTTTGAATATGCAAGAGAACCAGACGATAAAGAACAGATTAGAATCTGTGTGAGATTCTTCAGATCTTACCTTTCCTGGCCAAGGAGGATATCGCCCCAGCTTCCCCCTATAGAAAAACCAGAAGTCAGTCAAACGCTATCAAAGACAGCAGCAATTCATCAATATCCCTCCCCCATACAGTATTATTACAAAAGAAACTGAAGAGCTATTTAGTGAAACCAAATGTGATTACAGGACAATACTCCTTTATAAAATTACAAAATGAATATTACTCTGAAGTCTCGTCTAATAATTTCTTGGGTGCAAATTATTTTCATGAATGGCAAAAAAGGTTTATAAATATTCATGCTGTTTATCCACTGTTAAAAACAAAGACCAGCTTCTGCAAAGAACCATCAACCCTTGTAATGCTTCCAACTTACTCTATTAGTTGGAAGGGTAAAACTAGAAACTAGCGTCACTGTTGGCGTTCCAGATGTGTGTAAAACAAATAATCTAGCAGCCTGCAAAATTAAGACTCAACTTGGCAAGTCTCAATGATCCTTCTCAGTTTCTTTCACAAATCTGTTATTTAAAATTATTACTGCATGGCTTGTGGATTCTTAGAAGTGAGAGTAACTACTCTTTAAATGTCCTACTTTTCAGATTAAAGTATCTTCTGGTAAAACCAACGGCCTACTATAGCTCCTACCAGTACTAATTCAGATTTAACAGTTTTCCTTTAAAAAGCAACTCTACAAAAACAGAGCAAGCCCATATTACCAAAATGCCAGGTAATTGGAATTCACATTAAAGAGTAGTATCCAAACACACAAGGTCATGGAAAAGGGGACAAGCTATGGTTTTTTAAAAGTATACTGAATCAGACGACTTTGCATTCAAACTGGGCATAGAAATTGCGAAGGATGGGTAATGCTGTAACTTTTGGCACTGTTACCAAATTGCTTCCAAACATAGGGAAAAGAACCATCCAGGCCTAACGCTCAGAACCTATCCTTCCATCCCCCCAGCATCCAATTATAACTGGATAAACAGCAAAACATCTTCTTCCTCAAATAAAAACAGTTCGGTTGCCTTTTGAAAGGAAAAAAAAAAAAGCACCTTTGAGACAACTATGTCCTGGATTACTGAGAATCTCCATAGACACATAGGAAAAAGGTTGTCACAGACATCCCAAACACACACTAGGAGTCTTTGCTTAAGCTGCTTTGTTACATAAAAGCAGAATTTCTTCATCTAATAGCTCTATAAAGTTCAATGGTTTGAAACTATTTTTAACCTTTTTGATACCCCCAAGGCTTCAAAATGACTAGTGAGGTCCATGGGGCATTGAAATATTTATCACAGATAAAAAGTAGCACTCTTTTTCTTAGCTTTGCACAGAAGCCTGAAAAAGTAGGCTACTTTAATATGGAGAGAAAGGGACTGTACTGGCGGAAGAGGCAAAGTACTTCCAAATCGTATTTCTGAAATATACAGTAAAATAAAATAGAATTAGTGGATAGATGCTAGCCCAATTATTGCTCAACCTCTTTGCTTAAGATTTTCTCAATCCACTTGGAATAGAGGAATAGTAAAGTGATAGAGTCCTACGTGAAACCACTACTACTTATAGAAACACGATTGATCTGAGTGCCCAAACTGCAACCCAAAACCCACTTATGCATCGTTGGGTACCAGGTGGGTGTGGCCCATTGGCTGGCTGTGGCCAATTTGGTGGGTGTGGCCCATTGGGTGTGCGTGGCTGCGATGGTAATGGCAGACTGGGTGAGACTAAAAAGTTCAATCGATCAATTCTAACTTTGCAAGATCTTTTTTTTTCCCGCGAGAAGTTGAAATTGACTGATTGAACCTTTTTTTTTTTTTTGCATACAGCGGCGGAGGCCTAAAGCAAAAAGGTTTTATAAAACCCAGCTGAAGGCCTAGGACTGGGGCGATGGCACGCGTGCCCACAGAGAGGGCTCTGAGTGCCGCCCCTGGCACCTGTGCCATAGGTTCGCCACCACTGGTCTAGGTCAACCTTAACAGCTTGAAGATAGGTGGATTTCAATTTCCAGAACTCATCTTCAAGCTGCAAGGTTGCCACTGGTTGATTCTCAGCTTTGGGTTCCAAGTTGTTTAGTATTGAAGTTTTTGATTCTCGGTATGTTACCGAGAATATGAATGGCATGAGACAATATGAAAGCATTTTTTTTCCTCTGCCTTACCTACAGGATATGGGATTTTGAGGGCTCTCTGCCAGGTAAAAGAGTGCAGTCTTTTCCCTTTCAATGTTCTGATGAAACTTGTTCCATCTGCATCAGCAATATAGTTTAGCAGCAGAAGGCAGAGGAATGAAGCCAAGCTTTCAAAAATGCACCTGTATGATTTTGATGGGAACTATGAATTTGTTCTTTTGAACCTATGCAACATCAGAGCTAGAATAGAATAGAATAGAATAGAATCGAAGCTGGAAGGGACCTTGGAGGTCTTCTAGTCCAGCCCCCTGCTCAAGCAGGAGAACCTATATCACCTTTCCTGCATAACAGCTTCAGGAAGATGGTTTGCTTCAAACTGAGCAGAAGTGGATGGAGAAATGTCTTCTCTCTAATTCTTCAGCGTATGCACAGAACATAAAGCTTTGTACTAAGCTTTAGATACTTGGATACACCAAGAAATCTTCAAGCTGTATGGAAGCATGAAAACTATGGTACAGATGTCCTTGACTTACAACCAGCCACTTAGAAACAATTCAAGGTTACACCAGATGCTTGAAAAGCTACTTATGTCCCAGTTGTGAAGTTAGACCATCCAGCCCACTCACTCCTGCACGCTTGTGACTGCAAGTTGAGTGCTCAATAAGCAGCTTGAAGTTACAGCCATTTGCAGCACTGTCACGTGACCACGATTTACTTCCCCCCCCGAAACCAGTGTTTAGTTCTAAGAAAAAGCCCCACAGTAAACAAGGGGTTCACTTAATGATCTCTTTATGACCATCTCAAAAAATGAAATGATCATAAAATCAGGTCAGTTCACACGCTGACTCGCTTTATGACCATCACAACTTATAACCATAATTGCCCAATTACATTCACAACTTCAAGACTACCTGCACTAAGAACAGTTTAAAATGCTTATGTTTTCCTCAGCTTTTCAGTATCTTGCTGTACACTTTTCCTTTCCCTGGAAACATGTCTACTACATTACTTAAGAGCACCATAAACTGCCAACAGCTACCAAAATGACATCCCTATAATAGATATGCTAGAGACATTATGGATCTGTAAAGTCTATAGATGACTTATCCAATTTAGCCTTGAATCTGTGCTGAAAAATTTCACTTGTTTACTTAATTTGATATTAATGGATGCTAGCAGGGCAGAGAGGATTATTATGTTTATAATAGAGTTCAGAATGATCACATCAAAGAGAAACTAAGTAAAAAGTACCAAATGCTGTCCTTTCTCTTTCCAAGCCATTAAGAAGTCAATATTATCAATATTGAATATTGAATCAATATTCGATCCAATAATGCCAGTCCTAAGATACAAAGTGAAGGATTCTTAGCTTTATGCTAATTTAGTGTATTTAGATTATCTTCTAGTTGTAATGTGCAATTATTAGTTCTACCAAGAGTCACATATCTGAAGAGGTAAAAAAAAATAACTTTTTAAGTGCACAGTCTTTGTACCTTTGATGACAATTCAAATTTACCAACAGCTTTCAACAGATCTCCAGGAATAAAAAAAAAACAGTTGATTCTTTTCATAAATGAGGGGGGCCTGCAATATAAACTTTCATCATCTCAAACGTCTAATGGATAACATTTAAGGTTACACTTTCATACTCCCTAAACTGACTCTATTCAGTTGGTAATTGGGGTTTCCTCTGTGTATCATTATTATTATATTATTATTAAGTTGTAAAAGCCCCTCATTATGGTGGGCATTATACAATAAAGGCACTCTGCCTAACAATAGTACAGCTCAATTCATTGATGGCACACATTTACAGATAGGTTTTACAAGTTCTAATTATTCTCAACTGGCACATAATGATGGGTCATCTAGTAGCTGTCAAAGAACTTGACAGTAGAAACCTATGCCTTATATAGCCCTTAACCAACAATAAAATGTCTTGCAATCATGGAGGATCAAGGAAAAATATAAACTATGCATCCTATTAAGGGATGTTAACTTCAAGAAGAACTTTCATTGTAATCTTGCAATTCTTAACAACAAGCCATTATCAGAAAAAAAAAAAACACCCTATATCTCTTAGTTACTTCCTGCACAGTTTTGTATTAGTGACCTATACATCATAAAATTGCTGGTAAAAAGGGACAAGAGTGTGCAAGGTTTATTGGCCCATGGAAACAATCCTAAGTCATTTTACATGGAAGCAAGTCCATTCAACTCATGGCATTTATTTGAAAATGGCCCACTTTATAAATCCTACAGGATATTTTTATAAAAGGGATCTCCCCCCCATCAAAATCTAGATGAAGCTAATAAAATAGCAAAGAGTAGCTCCCAGAGCCTCTATCAACATATTTAGTTAGAATAAATTATCCTGATTAAGTCACTTAAGTACCTGTCTAGAACCTTCTGTAGGAAACTGCAGGATAGCTTCAGAGCAGCCCTTCCTGACCTTGTTGCATTTCAAATGAGAGATGTCAACTCCCAGAATTCCTCATATCCATCACACAGGAATCTGGGAACTGAAATCCACACAGCAGATACGTTGGTTGGAAAAATGGTCAGACGTTATCTAATTTTGCTGGGCATTATTATGAGTGAAGCCAAGCTGTCCCCATAAAACTTTCTGCAGGGGGCTACACTTTGTTGCTTTGCATATACACCAAGAGCTTCTGCACTGGAGACAAATTCCTTGGGGGTCCATTCACACTTAGCCAAGAAAGAATTCCATCCTATATTTTTTTATATTCTATTTTTTTATATTCTTATATTCTCTGTATATTTCTATATTCTATTTCACCCATCCTACGAAGAAATGCCCAGAAATTAAAGACGGGATGCAAGGCCTGGCCTACCGCGCTGAACCCCAAGCCTTCCTCCTCCTTTTGCTTCCACACCGAGTACTTTATAATTACAGGAATGGCCGGAGTACCCCGGCCACTTTCTTTCTCCACGGAGCAAAACCCGTATCGCTATCCCTGCAAGAGGGAGGCAGCTTCGCAGCCCGGAAACAAAGGGCCCGTCTAAGTCCAACTTTCTTTCTTTCTTTCTTTCTTTCTTTCTTTGTGAGACTTATATACCGCTTTAAGTGCAAGCACTCTCTAAGCGGTGTACACCAGTAAGCAATGTATATATATATATTTACATTGCCCCCAACAATCCGGGTCCTCAACCACCGGCTCTTCCGTTTCCATTTCCAACGCAGCGAGTTAGGAAGGGCAGCGCCGTGGGGGGATGCGGGACGAGCCTGGATTGCGAGCAGGAAGGCGCAGGCCCCCTTTTCCCACCGAGACGGGGCTTCTCCCCTCCATCCGGGGTCCCCGCAGCTCCCGACCCTGCTGCCTTCGCGGCTCCAACGCTTCGCCTCGGCGTGGCTCTTCTCCCCCCCCCCCCAGCCCGGCCCAAGGGACCCCCCGTCTTTGGGGCCGGCTGTCAACCCGGACCCCGCGGGGACTCGGGGTCCGCCTCGAGGAGGGGTCGGGGCGGCTGGGGGGCGCTCCCCTCCCCCTCCCCGGGGAAGCCCCTCCCGCCAAGCTCACCGTCCGTCTGACGCGCCACTCCGGTCTCCGCTGCCGTCGGCCCCCCCCCCTTTTTTTTTGAAGGGCTTCGACCGCCCCCGCCCTCCTCCTCCTCCTCCCCCCCCCTTCCGCCTCTCATCAGGCCCCGCGGCCCCGCCCCGCCCTCCCCCTCCCCAGCCTCGGCCCCGCACTCACCACACCAGGTCTCCCAGCCGCAGGTTCACAGGCGGCGCCGCCGTCGCCGCCGCTGCCGCCGCCGCCGCCGCCATCTTCCCGACCCAGCCGGCACCGTCGCTGCGCCTCGGCCGCCACACCCTCGTCGCGCCGCCCGCCCCCTGGCGACCCCCGGCTCGCTCGCTCCCTCGCTCGGGCGCCGCTGCGCCGCCGCCGCCGCCGCCTCCTCCTCCTCCTCAGCGGCAAGCTCGCGAACCGCCCGCTCCTCCTCCGCCTCCTCCTCCTCCTTCTCCCTCAGGCAGGGAAGGTTCGGAAGAGCTGCGAGGGGAAAGCAAGAGAGGGGAGCCCCGATAGGCCGGGCCCCTGCACGTGACGCGGGGCGCGGCGTCCGCGGGGCTCCCCCACGTGATCCGTCTCCCCTCCTCCTCCTCCTCCTCCTCCTCCTTTCCCTCCCCGCGCGCCTGGAAGGCGGCGTGGGCGTCACGTGACACGCCCGCTTCTTCTTTTTTTTTTTCCCGGCCTGCCTTGCGCACGCCTGTGGCTGCTTCTGCCCGCCCGCGGCACGTGACGCGGGAGCTCCGAAAAAAAAGAGAGAGAGAGAGAGAGAAGGCATCTTGGCGGGTGAGGGAGGCCGACGGGGCGCCGCGGGTGCGAGGAGCGACGGCGGGCGGCCGCAGCAGGAGGAAGAGGACGAGGCCACGGCGGCGGGAGCGCGGGCCGGTGAGCGCAGCGGGCGGCTCGGGAGGGGTACAGGGCGGGAGAAGGGACAAACCTCCTGGCAGGCGAAAGCGCCTCCCTCGTAACTAGGGGCAACGGGGCCTTGCTCTCCGCCTCGCCAACAGTGGTGGTTGGGGTGGGGGGGTGAGGGGTAATCAGCGGCACCCGTCGCCCTGCCGGGCTCCTTCCCTTCATCCCGGCTTCCAGCAGCCCCTTTTGGGTCGTCACTAAAGTACCTCCTCGGCCGCTGGGCCCGCTCGCTCGCCTGCAAGGACCGGGACTAGGACGGGTCGGCCCCAAACGAGGTAGGGGCGGTCGGGGAAGGGGGAAGGCCTGACCCGGCCTAACTTACCCCCCCCCCAGGACGGGCCACCCTGGGGAGCCTCCGTTTCCCCTGATTGCATCGACCCCCCCCCCCAACTCGGCCTTCCAGATGGGAAGGAATCCAATTCCCATTCCCAATCGAAAGGGGGGGGGCTTCTGCTAATTACTGCTTATTCAGTAATCCCTCAGCAGAAGAAGCTGGTCTGGGGAAGTGGGGGGGGGGGATTGACAGGTCGGGCTCCAGCTTGACTGGCAGCTGTCGGTCCTGGAGGAGAGTCTCTGCCAGCGAGTAGGCAGCTGTATAAATGTTCTAAATAAAATACAATCAATTTGGAGCTCAAACGCCCCCTGAAAGCTCTTGTCCCTTTGCTGCAGGTGGAAGGGGGGGGCCTTTGGGCCATAACTGAGTGGCAGGACTTCTCGCCCCCCCACCTCAAAAAAAAAATCAGGATGCAGCCAAGGTTTTTGCTGAGCAGACGGAGAGGAAGAAGTCCCTCTTGACCTCCTTTTGGAAGAAGTTCTGCAGGATGGATGCCCTTCAAATTCAGGAAGGTAATGGCTGTCTTCTTCCTGGCTTGTTAGGCAGCGCTTGAGTCGGCCTTTGCAAGGATTGCAAGCACCTCTTTCCCCCTGTTTGTTCTTCCAAAGCAGCGTTCTTTCAATGTCCCCACTTTTTAAGGTAGAACTATCAAACATCAGCAGTTGCTCATAGGAAATGTTTTGTGACACATTGTATCATGTCATAAAATGCTTTATGGTCCTTTTTGGGTCATGAAATGTTTCACAAAATTACAACATTTACAAAATGTTTTACAAAATTTCAGTTCCACAGGAACCATAGGTCCCAGATTTTGGATACATTCGTTTGAGGTGCCCTAATTGAAAATGTTTTGCCCAGTTAACGGCTACAGACAAACAGTTTTATTATAATGATTAGATTGAGGATTTTGAAACCCCTGTTCCATTTGTTTTCAGGGAAAGAAGCAAGGGCTGTGGTTGTTGATGTTACATTTCTAATTTGTTGGGGGGGGGTGTCATAATGTGCTACTTGTTTTTGCAAAAATTAAAGCACTGTGCTACAAAAAGATTAGCAGTTTGTATTCCAGTATCAGCTGTGCTACGTTAAACATTTTGAAAGCTAGAATAAAGCTGTATGTGGTTTGCAAGTTGAGTTTATTAATGAGAAGGAATTTGACATAGGGAGAAGGAGCTCAGTATTCTGATAGTGCCCATAATACTACTTTGAAATAACAAGAAGGTGTGGAGAGAAATGAACTTGTTATTACCACTGATAAGGTATCTGTTGTTTTTCGGTAAACTGAACTAATGTTGAACAAATTAGATAAAGCTGATTTGGTTTGGTTCATTTTGAAATGCTAGTGCTGGTAAGTTTCATAGTTTATGCTGCTCTGTAGCAATTGAAGAGATATGTTTTGATTTCTGTTTTCTGGTGTAACTATAGAACAATAAATTATATGCAACGCCATAAAATGGAATGGGAGCTAATATAAAAGTTGGCAGTTAAAGCATGAGAAAGATTGGGCAATTCTAAAATTAAGTCCTCTCTTTCCCTCCCCCCCTCCCCCCGCGCATGGAAGTTTTCTGGTATCAGAGTAACCATGTTCTCTGTCCAATCAACCACATAGTTTTGTTGTTGTGGGGAATAAATTGGAGGAGGAGGAGCTATCTGCACCAGCAGGGTGGAAAACCAGAGTATTGTTAAATATATAAAAAAAGGATCTGTTTTCTGGGGCTTAAGATCGGGAAATGAAAAAAGAAAGAAGTGAAGAAACAAGTGGAAGAGGAAATGAAAGGAAAAGTAAAAAAAAAAATGGAAAGAATGTTCATTATTAAAGGCTAACTTTTATTGAACACTATATCGCTGACCTGCAGAATTTATGAATGGACAAGCAGTATCTGTGTTTTCCTGTAAAGATATAATGTTGCACTATCAAACAAAAGCATTTTTGCTATCCAAGCATTAAATGAAGATGAGTAATCTCAAATGAAAGAATGGAAATGCAATAATGGGAGAGTGTCTTAGACCAGTGGTGGTGAACCTATGGCACGCGTGCCAGAGGCAGCACTCGGGGCCCTCTCTGTGGGCACGCACGCCATGCCCCGGAGATGGCAGCCATCCTCTTCAACCAGCCGCCCGCTAACTCGCCGAGGTGTCACGTGGCCGGATGCATTCCAGCACCCATGCGCTTGCTGGCCTCTGTACGGGGGCGGATGGTGCCAGGCAGCAGCCACCCCAGCCCCTGCCTCGCCTTGTCCTGCGACATGGCACCCCCTCCTTGCCTCGACTCACCCCGCAGAACCAACCTCCTGCTCACCGTCCCACCCGCCAGAGACCCCTGGATCTCCCCCAACCCTGCCCGGATCCCACAGGCATCCCTCCCCAGGAGCAACATCGAGCTGGCCACGCCCACCCTGGCCATGCCCACCCTTCTGCCATGACCACTGTAGCCACGCCCACCCAGTGGGCCATGCCCACCCGGCGGCCATGCCCACCTGGCACCCAGCAATACATAAATGGGTTTTGGGTTGAAGTTTGGGCACTCGGTCTCTAAAAGGTTCGCCATCACTGTCTTAAGACTGTCAAATATTTTGCTAGAAAGCAAGATCTGCATTCTTGCAAATTTGAAAAATGGCCTTCATCAAGTTGTCGCCCTTCAGACGCATTGGGATTTAAAACTCCTCAGCCAGCATTGAATCCAGAACTAATGTTTTCAAATAAAGGGCTAAGGTAAAGGATGTCCAAGAAAGAGCCATAATATGGACAATAGAAAGAGAAGAATTTGAGATAATAATAAAGTAAGTGCATGCATCAGAGATATAATAGCAGGAATTGGATGTAGGGAAATCTTTCTAGTGGAGAATAAGATATTGCTAGCAATTATGACAAAGTTCAATAATCTTTTCAAGAGCTATCTCGCATGTCACGCTGTCTCTCAGTGCCCGTCTGCCTTTCGCAAAGGAGCACGGTATTCCTTAAATCCACTTTGGAGACTCCACTCTCAAGAGTCAAAGAACAAGAAACCCTTCAGTAAACATAGCTGGGCTGTACAATGTTTTCTTATATTTCACTGGCTTTTTAACGAAGCTTAAGCTTTGTCCTTAGAGAGTTACTGTTTTGAAGCAAGTTGCCCCCAGGGATGTGATTGAGAATCAGTGTATTTTCCTTGGCTTGTTTGCGTCTATGCATCTCCTTTGGTGGGTTTTGAAAAAAAAAAAGAAAAAGAAAAAACACTGTGTTGTTGTTGCTCAAAAGAAATGTCTCCATGTGCAAATATTTTATTTGTACACAGTTTTGCAGCTGAGTCAGAACAATCTGACTTGTCAAAAGTTTGGAAGTACTTTGACTCTGGCGCTTTTCTCTTTAGCAGAAATGAGATCTTCCATTCGTTAATTATTCTGGCACCAAGGCACCGTTCAAGTCCTAAAATTAAAGATTTTTGTTTAAGCGTCAGTGGCCGGTTCAGCATTTTGTCTTCTTACGTGTGGATTCCTGTGGCTAAAGTCACCTTTCTCACCTCACTTTTAGCACTTTTGGCCTGTCAAAATTAACAACATTGACTGGCAAATTTACTGGTTTTCAGGGTACGATGTTGGATTTCTTCTACATACATGAGTGGAAAAAATAGAAAGTCTCTTGGAGGCACAATAGATCCATTTTTATTTTTGAAACCCCGCCCCCGCTCCCCTCGATGCTTATAAATCAAGTTATACTATCAAATTTGACTGGTCTTCTTCAGTATCTAGGTCAAACTTTAAATTGCCAAACTTTAAATCAAACTTTAAATTGTCTTGGCTTTGTCGTTGGCCAAAAATAAGTCCTTATCGGTAAACGTTTCTGGTAGTGGCTGGCATACCAGCAGATGGGCTGGGCTCTGCGCCTCTCCACATTCACAGCGTGTTGTTATCTGCTAAGAGCCTCACATAGATTTTACACATAGACACTCCAACCCTCAACCTATTCAGGATTCTCCCAAATAGTATAAGGGAGATTCTTCAGTCATATCCTCCTTTAATGTTATTCCATGCTCAGTGGTCTCCTTCCTCAATTTAACTGGTTTGGCATCTTAATTTTATCTGCATGAGTTGTAGTCATTGGTGGGTTTTAATTGTCTTTATCCCTGGAAATTCTGGGGGGTCCCCCCCATAGCTATGCTTTTTGTGTCCAGCCTTTTTTACAAGCCCAGCATTTGGGGGAAAAGTTGATTATGATCGTTTCTCAGAAGCTTCCTGTTTTATTTTTAAAAGACAAAAAAAAATGGCATTGCTTCCATCTGTGATGTTACTCCTCTCCTTTGATATCATCTGCAGCCTTGCATTGTGCCCGCGATTCCTCAGAAAGTTTTCCACTTCTGGTCTAAGATACAGGTTGTTAAAAAGCTATAATGGTCAGATTTATCCGTTATGTTAAGGTGTACATCATAACGTCATGGTGCATTAAGCCAAAGCACCACCAGCTATATTGTGACTTCATGTGAATCTGACTTATTATTCTGACATACTAAATGATTGGTCCTTACTGACAACCTAGGTAACTAGGAACCATGGTGCTGCATCATGGTCAACCCAAGATAACTCCTCCGTGGCATTCTGATATCCCATCTCAGGGGTGGTTAGATAGCTGTGGTGGGTGTAACTGGCTGTTAAATCTCCTGGAATTTTCCAAGCTGGTTGAGAGCAAAGCTGAGCTGTGCTGACTAGCATGCCAATCAGATATTCCTTGACCGGTGATATGGTGGCAGCAGTGGAGCCAGTTCCTAAACATTTACCAGCACACCTCTAGTAGATAGACACACATTCCAGACTGGAAGAACTAAAGATAGTAAGCTGGTCGGCTATTTCTCCCCACTATGTATAGGGTTTTTTTGTGTGTGTGTGTGTATGTTCCAATGAATGAAGTCGTTTGTTGTTGCTTTGACCCACCCATCCATTCTCTCACATCTATTATTATCCAAAAAGAGGCTTTACCTGTACAGCAATTCATTTTACAAAGTGTGGATTAGTATTGTGCAGTGAATTATTTTACTGAGCTTCCTCAGTCCTCTCTCACTCTACAGCAGTGGTTCTCAACCTTTTTAATGCCGCGACCCCCAACTGGTCGTAAGTCGAAGACTACTCAACCGGTCGTAAGTCGAGGACTACTCAACGGGTGCAGCACCGTTTGCAGAATGGGACTTTTGGCGGGCTCAGCAGGGCAGAGACAGCCTGGACAATTCCTATTGGCTTTTGAAAGCCAATAGAATTAGACTCTATTCAAGAGAGTCTATTCTATTGGCTTTCAAAAGCCAATAGAATAAAAGGGAGTAGCACAGCTAAGGAAAAGGGGGAAAAAATGGCGGACTGCGTTGTTTGGCGACCCCCGTGAAATGGTCGTTCGACCCCAAATGGGGTCCCGACCCACAGGTTGAGAACCACTGGTCTACAGTTTCCGTATAGCCTCATTCAAGCTGAAGCCTGTTGGTGCATGAATGCAGATGGGATCCATTGCCTGTGCATCACTCGGGCCAGCCACCACGCTGGGTCGTGCGCTGACACTTTTCTTATCCTCTCCCCTCCCTCTCTAGAGCAAATAGGAAGAAACCTGTGTGGAAGGAAGTTATCAGGAATGCTACCTACCTGCCACTGGACTGGATGAATTGGCATCTGAAGAAAGACAGGCCTGGATTTTGGTTTGCCCGAAAACTGGAGCTCGTGTGTTCAGTGTCCTTTGATTATGTCAGTCCATTCTGTGGGAAATACTCTAATGCACAGTACTGTAACCCAGGCTGACGTTTACAGCCAAGGTCACATTGTAGGAAATTCTATAAAAGTTGCTCCCTTCAGAAAATTGTTTCTGACCATTTGCCTTCGCTCACTGCTTGAACCCGAGCCAGACTGCGTAGTGACCATAACTTCAAGGGCTGGAAGTTAACCCCAAAAGGTGTTGCTATGGGATGATTCTTTGTTTAAGATAAAAACCCGAGACTCTTTGGTGACTTTTAAAGTTGGACTCTAACAGCGTTGACTTTGGTGTTCAGTTCTGAGAGCGTGCTGACTGTGAATGCTCCCATACATACACCTGTGTGGCCTAAAGTGATGGACACCATGCCTTGAGAGTAGCTGCAACGAACGCATAGCCATGACGGAACCCCACCGGGTCCAACTCACCTCCTTGCCAGGCCCACTGAGTACCACTTTGCTGAAAAAACCTCGGTGGGAGGATGTCGCCAACCCAGAGCATCCTCCAGAATCTGAACCTGCAGCTGCAGCCGTACGCATCGCCCTCTCCCTTTTTGAGCCAGATCACAAGCGCTGCCCGGAATTCTTTTACCCAGAACTGCTGAAGATGACGCGAGGCAAAACGAAAAGCAGTTCTGCAGGAGAAAAGGTAAGCAGGATTTTTTTCTTTTCCTTCCCTTCCCTTCCCTTCCCTTTTCCTTTCCTTTCCTTCCCTTCCCTTCCTCTTCCTTTTCCCTTTCCTTTCCTTTCCCTTCCCCTTCCTTTTCCCTTTCCTTTCCTTTCCCTTCCCCTTCCTTTTCCCTTTCCTTTCCTTTCCCCTTTCCTTTCCAATGTGCACCTTAACAATCCGTAACAGCAACTACAGTAATAAATGTGTATGCTTCCCAACTCTCAGAACCCTGGGTAGCTGACACAATTAAATTACAGTAAAAGATGGCTAGCAGAATGAAGTGAATGGTTTCCAGGGGCCTGGGTGAAAATCCATGAGAAAAATTCAACAAACTGATTGATTTATGTTATTTGAGACTGTGATAAGGGTGGTAGGGGGAGAATAGGTTGTTGCAAAGACAGGACTTTGGTTTTCTTTTCTTTTTTTAAAGGAAGATTAAAAACTAATATAAACTATTATGAAGTAAGCCAAAGGCATCAGAGAGAAAGCTAAATGGGGGGGGGGGGAGAGAAACAAAAAGAAAATATCAAGAAGCCGCTTCCAATCTTCTTTACAGCAGTTAAAAGTACAATTCTAGTGTAATCACAGATAGTCCTCATCTTACAACTTTTCATTTAGTGATCCAAGTTTTTAACAACTTATGGCTGTTGCGACGCCCCAGGCTCGTGATCACCTTTTGCAACTTTCTGACGAGCAAGCCAGATTCACTTAACCGCCCTGCTACTAACTTTAACAACTGCACTGATTCACTTAACAACTGTGGCAAGAAAGGTCATAAAAATGGGGCAAAGCTCACTTAACAAATGTCTCACTTAGCAACAGAAATTTTGGGCTCAATTGCGGCTGTAAGTTGAAGACTACCGTACTCTATATTCTAGCCCAGGTGTGTCTGGACCACAGGGCCACTTGTGGTCCTGGACAACTAATCATGCAGCCTCACAAGATTGTAAATATAAAAAAATAAATAAAAGAAGTTTGCTAAGTATGTACCTAACTATATTGGAGATTTTATATGTGGCCCAAGACAATTCCTCTTCACTCAGTGTGTCCCAGGCAAGCCAAAAGGTTGGACACCCATGATCTAGCGTGTCTAATTATCGAAAATTATAAACCATAACATTCATTTTTGTTCCTGTTTTATACAAAAAGTCCCTAAAGGATTTTCGGTCAGCAATATAGAAATTGGCTCTTCTCTGATCAAAGAAGTCAATTTAGCCATCTTGGCGAGTTCCGTCTTCTCCAGCCATTCCTCAAAGCAGCCCCTTTGCAAAGAGTTCTTGAACCAAGCATTACAGGACTTCTCTGTTGATTCGTAGTGTAAGGCAGGGCTTTTCAACCAGTGGTACGGGTACCACCTGTGGTCCATTGGCACCTGGCAGGTGGTACGCCACCATCCTAGAAAAGTGGTAGTGGGGGAGGGGAATGAGCTGAACCGGTGGCAGCACCGCACAAGCCTGAGCGAGAGACGGCTGGAGCTGCAGGGCTGTCAGGGCTCAGCGGAAGCACCAGGATCAGCACCAGGCTCCAGTTGGAGCTCGGGGCTGATCCTGGTGCTTCTGCTGAGCCCTGAAGAAGCACCAATCAGCTGGAAAGCAGCATTGATCCTGACACTTCTGCTGAGCCCAGAAGAAGTGCCGGTCAGCTGGAATGTTGCAACCTCTCCAGGGTCTTGTGATTTACATTCAGATGCTTGGCAACTGATTCATATTTATGACGGTCACAGTGTCCCAGGGTCATGTGAAGTGACCAAAACCTGCTGCAACCACCCAGCAGACCAAACACCCACCCCAGCCCACCCCACTGCCAATCCTCAACAGAAATGCTCACAACAATGGAAACCTCAGACAGGAGGAAGAGCGCCGCCGGGTGGGCAGGCAGGTGCCTTGCTCGGCTGTGGCTTGGGGGGGCACTTTTTCCAGTGCCATTGTAACTTCGAACAGTCACTAAGCGAACTGTTGTAAGTCGAGGACTACCTGTACTTTATCACTTTTTTCCTTTTTTTTTGTCATCAAGTTTTTGACTCCTTGCTAGACGACTGGTGGTACTCGGATACTGTCATATCCTAAAAGTGGCACAATGGGTGAAAAGGTTGAAAAGCCCTGGTGTAAGGGACCTCTCTGTGAAACCATGCGACACGCTCTCTTTTCTCCTTTTTTTCACAATCTCCTTTTCCTACAGAAAAAAGACTTTGCTGACCCCTTCAATGATGAAGAAAAGGAGAAGCACAAAGCAGAAGCCCTTACCAGGAAGTTTGAAGAGAAATATGTACGCTTCTCTGTCCCCTCTACGTTCCAGTTAAACCTTGGTTCTAGTATTCTCCATAAAAAGTTCTGTCAAAAACATACAGCTACGTTTCATTCCAGGCTTCCTGTATTGGGAGTGTAAACTGAGTGGACCATGGTAGGTCCACTCTGTTTAACAATTTATTTGGGGGGACAGATTTCCAGTCTGGAATATTTTCCTATCAATGTTTATTTAAAATCCATAGAGAAAATGGTCAGCTGTGCCAGTGGGCTATCTGAAGTTTCATTTTCTAAAATATTAGAGAGGCCTTTTTGCAAGCTTTCTTTAATTTTTCTAAAACCTGGTGTGAGTGTTAGGTTTTCCATCTGGTTCATCTTAACATTCACATTCAGTAATTAGCTGAAGCTTCAGAATCACAATGCTTTTTATAAATGAGAAATAACGTTTCTCTTGCCATCTCATACACACGCAGATAGATGAAGGAAGTCCACTTAGTGTAGAATGGAGAATCAAGCTGCTAGTTCCTTGGTTTAAATCTAGATCAGTGCTGGCGAACCTATGGCACGCGTGCCAGAGGCGGCACGCAGAGCCCTCTCTGATGGCACGCGTGCCACCACCGCCAGCAGCAGGTCGCCACTGCCGCCCGGAGCAGGAGCCCCGCCCAGCACAAAGGAGACAAAGTGGCCGATTAGCAAGTTTGAGTAGAGGTGGGAGAGCAGAGGTCACCAACCATTGTCGATTGATGGACTGGAAGAAAAGGGAGGGGGAAGCATTTTATATGCGTGCATGCCCGCACAGGGCCGCGAGCACGCACACGCTCCAAATGGGGTGGGGCTAGTGCCTGCATGATACTCACTAGCCCCTGTCCTGTTCTTGCGTGGTGCAGCGCCTTGTATCTGCATCCCACGGCGCAGTGGTGGCCGTTTTTGGGCCTTGCAGCACGGCCCATTTTTGTGCCCCTGGTTTTTGCGTGCCAGAGGTGGCACTCAGAGGCACCTTCCTCCCCCCCCCCAGGGCACTTTGATTCGGCCCTGGCACTTTGCAATAAATAAGTGGGTTTTGGGTTGCAGTTTGGGCACTCGGTCTCTAAAAGGTTTGCCATCACTGATCTAGATTTTTAAAAATTCTCTTTCAAACTTAATATCTCTTCCTGACCTTGATTATCAAAGGTATCATTCCCTGTTTATGAGCTGATTCTATTTAACCTGAGAACTGTGGCTTCCTATCTTTCTAACTTCAACCCTTGCTGTGTTGTGGTAATTCCAGAACATGCCAGGAAAGATGCTGTTTCTGTGTAAAGAACTCTATAAATGGCTTATTCCCCCCCGCCCCCCCGAAGCTAAAAAGAAGTACAAGCTATCATTTGGCCACCTCATATTTTAGAAAGTAAACACACTCTCATCTTCCACCTCCATGGATTTTTCTGTGATGGACGGTTGCTGGCTGATGTTTTATTTTTGTTAGCATTCAAGACTTTTCATAATCGTGTTGTTGTAGAATCCAGTTCCACACTCCAGGTTTAAGCATTAGCAGGAGATTCTGAGGTGATAACGTTTTGGGAGGAAGTGCAGTTTTTCTTGCAAGTAATTCTGGATCAACATCAATGTTTTCTCTTTTCAGGGTGGGAAGAAGCGCCGGAAAGACCGTTTTCAGGATTTGATTGACATGGGGCAAGGATATGACGAATCAGATTCTTTCATTGATAATTCTGAAGCCGTAAGTAGCAAACACAAGTCTTTTCTTTCCCCAACTGTAAAGTTACAGGAGAGCTAGCAGAACCATCTAACAGAGGAATACGGGGTATTCTAGATACTGCTTGTATTTTAAAGTTGCATTTTTCTGGGAATGGATAGTGCAGTAACAGTTCAAGGATCACAGCTACGTTCCTTTGTTAGTTTGCACAAAAAAAAACCCCACAGAAGGCATCTGGGTTCTTCTCTCATTACATAACATTTCCTTACTTTTTTTTTTAATTCTGGCCCACATTTACGGCTGTTTGCAGCATCCCACACTTAATGTGACTGAGATTGATGATTTATTTATTTATTTATTTTGTCAGAAGCCAGTGTTTACTTTTATGATTTCCAGCAAAAAAAAAAGCCCATTGAGTACAATGGGTTCGCTTAACAACTGTGGCACTCATTTAACGACCACGGTGTGCACTTAATAATCTCCACCAAGTAGTTCTAAAATTGCATGCGACCACATGACAATCCATTTAATCGCCATCCCAATTTACAACCATTATTCCGGGCTCAATTTTGGTCATTAGTCAAGGACTAATTGTGCTCTATAATATATTTCCTGAATTCCAAGTTATAAGAGCTGCACTGATCCAAGCAACTGTTGGTTTCCTGACATGGATTATAGAAGGTTTCTGAAATCTGTTTCTTTATGAGAATGTCTGGATCCGGGAACTGGAGCCAGACTAGAAATTGAAATTAAAGAATAAAATGCTTGTATTGTTTGAGCGTTCATTCAAATGTGGAGCAGCAGCCAGATAGAATTTGCTGGTCTTTTACAACAAATCCCAACCTGGAGGTTCTCCAAGGTGTTTTCATTTCAGCAGCATAAAGAAAAGTGCTGTAATTTTGCTTCCACTTGATGAACAAGTGAGACTTAGAATCTTTTCCTGATCTACAACAGATCTCTCAGATTCATTAGTAGGTGTGATAAAAGAAGACCCCAGGATCTGCGTTAATTTCATTTGTTTCCTTTCCAGTATTGACTAGCAAATTAGATTTTATTACTGAATATAAACACACATTGGATGCTGAAAGATATTGCAGCAAAGCAGAAGTGGCCAGGTCAGAAAAATACCTGGATTCTTAAGACATTGCAGCCAGAATTCCAATGATGCTCTACTTTATTATTTATTATTTATCATATTTTTATAGCCACCTATCACATGACTCTGGTAGTTAGGAAAGAGTAGTTTTGCTGAAGATATTGATGGTCACATATGATGCTTTTTCATGCCTGCGATGTCACGTCTGCTCATGGGAAATTGGCCCATGAAGCCCTATTGGGATTGTAAGCACCAGTTCGGTAAGAAGTATAAATCAAGACTGTTGACTGATCTGCCTCTTTGTACCTTTTCCAGTACGATGAGCTTGTCCCAGCATCTCTAACAACCAAGTATGGAGGCTTCTACATCAACTCTGGAACTCTGCAGTTCCGACAGGCTTCCGAGTCGGAGGATGACTTTATCAAGGAGAAAAAGAAGAAGTCTCCTAAGGTCTGTGATGCACATGCTCTGGGAACTTCTGTTTCAGGAATGGCCTTTCATTTGCTGCAATTGTGTTTCTGACTCGGACAAAGCAATGGGTCGCTCTTCTCATCTTAACTGAAAAAAAAAGTCAATTTTTCCTATTGCAGTAGTTCCACTAGACATTGTGGGCCTTGCTGTCCCATAAAGAGGCTTAAAAGTCATTTTGTAAGACTTGAGACTTGAACTTTTTTTAAAAAATAATAAATTGATAAATGATATTTCTAATCCAGAGGTCCCCAACCTTTTGGGCATCGGGGACCGGTTACGACGTGGAGAGAGGTTTTTCCACGGACCGGAGGGTGTGGTTTTGTATGCTGCCTACATCCCACAGATAAGGCTTTGCTTGTTTGTGCGGCCCGGTTGCCGGCATGCCTTGGCCCAGTACTGGTCCACGGACCTAGGGGTTGGGGACCCATGTTCTAATGTATACATTTTCCTATACTATTAAAATAGCTGCTGTGATTCAGACCCAGTCTACTGTGGTTTGCATCAGACAAGAAATGTGAGGGGCAGAGTGAAGGAGATTAAGACGAGGGATTAAGAGCTGGATTAAGAGCTCCTGCCAGCCTAGCAGTTCAAAAGCATGCAAATGCAAGTGGATAAATAGGTACCACTTCAGTGGGAAGGTAACCGCACTCTGTGACTTCATGCTGACCACGTGACTGGAAATGTCTGTGGACGGTGCTGCTCAGTGGCCTTGAAACGGAGATGAACACCATCCTCTATAGTTGGGGACCAGGGATTGGTTACATGGAGAGAGGTTTTTCCGTGGACCGAAGGGGGCGTGGGTTTGTGGACCGGTTGCTGGCATGCTGTGGCCTGGTACCGGTCCATGGACCAGGAGTTGGGGACCCCTGCTCTATAGTCAGCAACGACTAGTGGAGTAAAATCCGCAAGGACTCTTTAACCCAGCGGTTCTCCACCTGTGGGTCGGGACCCCATTTGGGGTCGAATGACCATTTCACGGGAGTCGCCAAACAAGGCTGTCCGCCATTTTTTCCCCCCTTTTCCTTAGCTGTGCTACTCCCTTTTATTCTATTGGCTTTTGAAAGCCAATAGAATAGACTCTCTTGAATAGAGTCTAATTCTATTGGCTTTCAAAAGCCAATAGGAATTGTCCAGGCTGTCTCTGCCCTGCTGAGCCCGCCAAAAGTCCCATTCTGCAAACGGTGCTGCACCAGTTGAGTAGTCCTCGACTTACGACTGGTTGGGGGTTGCGGCATTAAAAAGGTTGAGAACCACTGCTTTAACCCGTAATTAAGAGCAGGGAGGCCCAGGTCCTTTCCATTCCCAGCCGAGGCAGCTCACCAGGTGACTAGCTTAGTCCCATCTTATCAGCACAACCTGCCTCATACGGTGGATGTTCCAGGGAAAAAAAATAACATGGAACACCGTATACCTCCTTGTAGTCCGAATAGAAGGCGTTCATTTAAACCTAGTAAGATACTCGTGACCTTGGTGATGGTGATGAATGTGAACTTCTAAGAACGTCACGTGTGGAAAAGGAAGCCTATCTCTGAAGGCTGATTTTGGGGAAGGAAAGGCAAGGACGGAGAGCGAAATTTCCCAAAGGATGCACCAAGAGGATTGCAGATTGTGAGAGGCCTGCTTGAGGGCGATCTGTCAAACTGGGAGGCACCATGGAACCCTCAGTGAAAATAAGTGAAAGTAAACAGAGGCAGAGTACAACACCGAGGTCCAAAAGTTCATTCATACTCTGTGAACAAACCTGTGTAGCCTTTTCTGCCTGCTGTCACTCGTAATCTCAACAGCACAGAGGGCTCTTGTGACTGGGGAGATGATAGCAGCTGAGATCACGTCAGTTCTTAGCTGGCTGACAGATTTTTTTCTCTCTCTCAAAGGACAAGGTGTACCTGTTTCTGGCCAGTATTCCATTTGTCGTGTAGTTTCATCGGAGTTGAGTGCTGGGAGAGATAGAATTCTTTCTTCCCTTGTCCTCTTTGTCTTCTGTCGTGACTGTAGGGCAGGGGTGTCAACCTTGGCAACTTTAAGATCTGTGGACTTCAACTTCCAGAAGTCCCCAGCCAGCCCCAGATATCCCTGTTTTAGGCTACTGCTTGGAGGCAAGATCCTTGGGAAAGTTCCTGCTGCGAATTAAAATGGTTCTTAAATTCCTATCTCCAGTACTCCTTTTTTGTCCAAAGTCAATATCAGTTTTTCCCTCCCTTAGTGCTTCCTGCGTCGTTTGGACTCATCCCATCTATGCTGATCTTTAGCCAGACAGGTTAAAACTGATGGAAGTTGTGGTCCAAGAGCAGGCAGAGAAAGCCAGACCTAAATGAACAGCTTCATGCGTGATCTGTTACGATAACTTTTTCTTTAATTCCCAGAAGCGGAAATTGAAAGAGGGAGGTGAGAAGGTGAAGAAAAAGAAGAAAGATGACAATTACGAGAAAGAGAAGAAATCTAAAAAATCTAAATTTCCTAAAACTGGGTAGGTATCTCTCTTTGATGTGAATGTGGGCTTTTGAAGTTAAAATGATTGTCTTGACTATCTCCCTGCAGAGGCTCCAGCTTCCTTGGAAGAACACGCAGATTTAGGAGAGATCAACTTATCAAGCTGCATTGTGGGATCTGAATTCCAATCCTGTTTCTGACAACAGACTCCATCCACCTTACAAGACTTCGACGAAGACTCAGTCATCCAAGCCAAAAGTGTCTCGAAGTTAAATCGTGGCAACTGGACCAACCTTTGTCAGTGTGCAACGTTTCGTCACTCATCCAAGCAAATTTCATTGGTCAGAGCAAAAATTAGTTAGAGATTTGTTGGATTATATCAACTTTTGCCACACCAACTTCAGGGGTTTGTGAACGACTCTCTGACTCTCTGCCCAACTAATTTTGCTCCGACTGATGAAGTTGCTTGAATGAGCAACGAAACATCTCAGATCAAAAAAGTTTGGTCCAGTTGCCATGATTCAACCTTTCTCTAGTAATTGGTCTCTACACACCACTCTCTAGTAATTGGTCTTTTTCTTGCTATGAGTAATAATAATAAATAATAATAATAATAATAATAAAGTTGGAAGGGACCTTGGAGGTCATCTAGTCCAACCCCCTGCTCAGGCAGGAAACCCTACACCATTTCAGACAAATGGCTGCCCAGTCTCTTCTTAAAAACTTCCAGTGTTGGAGCATTTACCGCTTCTGGAGGCAGGTTGTTCCACTGGTTAATTGTTCTAACTGTTAGGAAGTTTCTCCTTAGTTCCAGGTTGCTTCTCTCCTTTTTTCACCACTGAATTTCATTTTGTTAGATAGCGCCCAGTGTTCAAGTCTGTCCAGATCCTCCTATATCCTAAGCCTGTCTTCTGGAGTGTTGGCTATTCCTGCCAGCTTGGTGTCATCTGCAATTTTGATGAGTTCCCCATCTATCCCCTCATCCAAATCGTTGATGAAGATGTTAAAGAGCACTGGGCCCAGAACAGAGCCCTGGGGCACCCCACTACACACTTCCCTCCATATAGATGTGGTTCCATTGAGGACCACACTGCATTATTTTACATTATCCCTGTCTTGGCATTCCACGGAGAGATGGCAGAGCTCTGGCATCCTCAATCTCACTGCTCCTGGCCATCTCGTTGGGCAATGAGGGGACTTGCAAACTCGCACAACTATCAGGCATTAGGCTGCTCAAATGGCCACCACCGTTGCCTAGGTTCTGTGGGTGGTCCTTGTCTTACCACCACGATTTAAACCCAAACTTTCTGCTCCTCCATTACAATCCTTTTGCCATGCTTGCCGAGCGAATCACAACAGTTGTTCAGTGAAGCTTGCCATTGTGAAGCGAGTCTGACTCCCCCCCCCCGTTTACTTGTCAGAAGCCCCCTGGGAAAGTTGCAGGTGACAATCCCGGGACCGCTGGATGCTGTAGCCATCGTCACTAACGATAGGTGCCGGTTGCCAAGCCCCCAAAGTTTGATCACGTGACCTGTGGGGAAGGCTGCAATGGTCCCAAGTCTGAAAGTTGGTCATCAGTCACTTTTTTCAGGGCCGATGTCATTAAGCAAATGGTTGTGGGTCGAGGACCCTCCCCTCCCGTACGCACTTTTCTCCATGGTGCGTATATTAACCTGCCTCTTTTATAGTTTCACAGCTCTGAACGCCAGCAAAGAAAAGAAGAAGAAGAAATACTCGGGGGCTTTGAGCGTCAAGGAGATGCTAAAGAAATTCCAGAGGGAAAAGGACGCCAAGAAGCAGAGGGACGATGAACCCAAGCTGAGCATTCCCTCTCTGTCTGAAAGCCCCGCTCAGCGGGAAGCAGAGATCGTGCCCGACCCTCTTCTCTCTCTCTTCGGCCACGCGAGCGACAATGAACTGCTCCAGGCGGCCACAGCCATGGACTCCTTGACTGACCTGGACCTGGAACAGCTTCTGAGCGAATCTCCAGAGGAGAGCCCTTTCCTGGAGATGGAGAACGGGAGCGATCCTCTAGGAGCGGGCCTGGAACCCGACCTGAAACAGCCTCCCCCCCTCCCTGATGGCGTTCCGGAGCCACTGATGAAGCGCGTTGAGGAGCTCACTCAGGTATTTGTATGTCTGGTTGCATCCATGTCAAGCGATACAGGCAGCCCTCGGCTTAAAACTGGTCATTCCACTGCCATTTGAAGATAACGATGGATTTCAAAAGTTATTCGACAGATCAAAGTGGCTTGGGAATAGATGCAGAGGTTTATAAACCTTGGACTATTTTGTAAGAGGGAAAGCTGCTATTGCGGCAATATACTGTATATTCCGGCGTATAGGGTGACCCGGCGTATAAGACGACCCCTGAGTTCAACGCCGAGTCGCATGCCTAGAAAGTCATACGCAGGAAACTAGCTTATTTTCGGCGTATAAGACGACCCCCGAGTTCGGAGGCTGTTTCAACGCTCTCAAAAGTCGTCTTATACGCCGGAATATACGGTATTTGTCAACGGGGGCGGAATGATGTGTGTTTTTGTTTTTTGTCCTTTTAATTCGCATCTTTTTTTTTAAAAAAAAAAGTTTTGTATAGTTTTGTTTTGTCTGTCCTGGGGTCGTATGATTCCCCTTCTGTGACCTGAGATGCACAGTCAGTGGGGAAGCCAAATTCACTTAACGACCGTGTTACTAATTTTAACAACCGCAAGGATTCATTTAGCTACGGTGGCAAGCAAGGTCATAAAATTGGGGGGGGGGAAGGAATTTCACTTAACGAATGTCTCACTTGACAACCAAAAGTTTGGGCTCAGTTGTGGCCATTAAGTCAAGGACTACCTGTATGCTGGTTTAGGAGTCACACTAGCCTGGATTTATGAGCGTTTTAGTTTGATTCGGCTCAGTTCTGTTTCATTGAGGCTGTGGTCTTTCTGCTTTTCAATCCATAGTTTCTAATCAGTCTCTCTCTTTTTTTCATAATCCAGCTCCTTCCCTTGCTTTCTCCACCCCCCCCCCCCGGCCCAGTGTCGCTGTGGCCTCCTAACGGTTCTGTGTTGTGTGTTTCTGAATTAGACTGCCAGAGCTGCAGAGAGGGAAGGCAAACACAAGTTCTTCAACCAAGACATGAACAGCATCCTCCTGGAGTAAGCCCCCTTCCTGATTGTAGGCCTTGCAAAGCATCCAGAAAAGCGAGAGAGAAGAGGAAGAGCGTCTTAGGGACACTCTCCGCAGCCTGCAGAACAAGTTGCAACATGGTGAACGAACACCATCCGGTCCCAACTGAGGGTTGTGGCATCCATTTCAAGTGACTGGTCATTTAAGATGGCCTCACTTGGGGCACTGGGCTACTGGCCTGCGTTTGCAGCTGTTAGTTTGGCTTTTTTGTGCCTGTCATTTGTACCCTGCCTTTTTATTACTTTTATAAATAACTCAAGGCAGCACACATACTTAACACTTCTTCCTCCTCTAGTTTTGCCCCACCACAAGAGAGAGTGATTGGCCCAAGATGACCCAGCTGGCTGTCATGGATAAGGTCGTCTCCTTTCTAGGCTGGTGCCCTAATCACTACCAAACAGACAAATTGTGACTGCAATTGACAGTCTTTTTTCCAGAAACCGATTTATGGCAAAATCTGGCCCATAGCGAACAATGGGGTTACTTTACAACTGCTCTCTTGCTTAATGGCCACGGCAGAAAGATAAAAATGGGTCCAGTCACACAATAACTCACTTCATAACTGTCACGGCTTACAGCTGTAATTGCTGTGCTCAATTATCCATTCTAAGTCAAGGACTGCCTACAGCAGTGGTGGCGAACCTATGGCACAGGTGCCAGAGGCAGCACTCTCTGTGGGCACACGTGCCGTTGCCCCAGCCTCGCCTCCCCCGGTGACCCCTTCCTCTCCAGCAGCCCCTCTGGAGGAGAGTCTGCTGTCCAGTCTCTTCTTAAAAACCTCCAGTGTTGGAGCATTCACAGCTTCTGGAGGCAGGTTGTTCCACTGGTTAATTGTTCTCACTGTCAGGAAGTTTCTCCTTAGTTCTAGGAGGTTGTTTCTCTCCTTGATCAGCTGAACCAGAGCTAAATTCTTCTTCTTGTTCTGCCCTCAGTATAGAGCTGCAAACGCGGGAGTTGAACAGCCAAATGCGATCGGGGGTCTATGCCTATCTGGCCGCCTTCTTGCCTTGCAACAAAGATACCCTGGTCAAGCGGGCCCGGCGACTTTACCTGTATGAACAGGTGAGTGATTGTGGGGGACACAACTACTGACACATGAACCATTGCACAGAGATGGGTAATTTGCATCCTCCCCCCCCCAATTGAAAATGCTTTGCTTTGCAGGCTTTTAGCAGGAGCAGCCTGGCCTTTTCCTTAGAGTCTGCTAGGTGAGGAAGCAAGAGAGGAAAGGGCACTTGGAAAAAGAGTGAAAATGTGCCCCACGATTTAGATCTAATTCCAGAGGAGCTCAAGATCAGCCCCACCTCCTCTTTATTTGACCTTGGGGGAAGAATCCTGGCGGAGGAAAGGAAGCTGTGTTTATTTGCATTTATGCCCATTTTTCAGCTAGGCTGAGATAATTCATTGCTCAGAAAGGAAAGAGCCTTAAAAACATGCACTTAATGCCGCCACTTAAAGTGTCCCAGATTATAAGAGATGAAAGGAGAGTAAGGTGAACCCAGTAACTGCAGGAAGAATAAGGACCTTTTACTGCCTCTCTGGAAACATCATGAAGAGAAAGCTGAGCCTTTAGGAAGAGGGGTCCATAACGTTGTTGTTGTTAGTTGCGAAGTCATGTCTGACCCATCGCGACCCCATGGACAATGTTCCTCCAGGCCTTCCTGTCCTCTGCCATCTTCTGGAATCCATTGAAGCTCACGCCTCCTGCTTCAGTGACTCCATCCAGCCATCTCCTTCTCTGTTGTCCCCTTCTTCTCTTGCCCTCCATCTTTCCCAGCATCAGGCTCTTCTCCAGCGAGTCCTTTCTTCTCATTAGACGGCCAAAATACTTGAGTTTCAACTTCAGGATCTGGCCTTCTAAGGAGCAGTCAGAGTTGACCTCTAGGACTGACCGGTTTGATCGCTTTGCAGTCCAGGGGACTCGCAGGAGTCTTCTCCAGCAACATAGTTCCAAGGCCTCCATTCTTTGGTGCTCAGCCTTTCTTGTGGTCCAACTTTCACAGCCATACATTGCAACTGGGAAAACCATGGCCTTGACTATACATACTTTTGTTGGCAGGGTGATGTCTCTGCTTTTTAGTATGCTGTCTAGATTTGCCATAGCTTTCCTCCCCAAGAGCAAGCGTCTTTTAGTTTCTTGGCTGCAGTCCCCATCTGCGGTGATCTTGGAGCCCAGGAAGATAAAATCGGTCACTACCTCCATTTCCATGCCATTTGAGTAATACCTAAATATCTCCTTGCCTTCTGAGAAAGATGCCTGGAGTTCCCTTAACAAGAAGCTTTTGTGTGTCTCATAGCCCTTCTGAGTGTACACAATGGTGCTTCCCTTCCCCGCCTCCCCCATCTTTAAATAAAACCCCTGCCTGATTGTAGGTACAGCTGAACAGGTTCAACCTTAACTCTTGGTCCTTTTTTAGGGGGGTCGGCTGAAGGAGCCACTTCAGAAGCTGAAAGAGGCGATTGGCAGAGCAATGCCCGAGCAGATGGTCAAATACCAGGAAGAATGCCAAGCACACACCCAGGCCAAGTTTGCCAAGTATGCATTTCATTTGTTTTTGTTATCTCTCTCTGGTCGCCCTTGCAGTTCTCCATAGATACTCCAGGCTTAGTAAGCCCTTGAATATAAACCAGGTGTAGGCAACCTTGGCTCTTTTATGACTCGTGGACTTCAACTCCCAGGATTCCTGAGCCAGCATGGCTCAGCATGGAAACCTCTCTCTTTCCTCTCAGCATGGCTGGCTCAGGAATTCTGGGAGTTGAAGTCCAGGAGTCATAAAAGAGCCAAGCTTGCCTACCCCTGGTCTAGAAGCATAACCGCTGAAAACTCTTGGGATGCCTTCTTACCGGCTGATCCTGGGCAGGCAGGATATTTTTGGGAGAAGGGCCTCGTGTGTCAATTACCATTTTTCTTCTCTCAGGATGCTGGAAGAGGAGAAGGACAAGGAGCAAAGAGACCGGATTTGTTCCGAGGATGAGGACGAGGATGATAAAGGAGGAAAGAGGATCATGGGACCTCGGAAGAAGTTTCAGTGGAATAACGAAATCAGGTTGGCCGAAAAACATCTGGATTTTAGAACCCTGTTCTGGGTGTGGGGAGAACAAAGTCACCCTCCCTCCGGGAATGTGTGCGCCTTGGCTGTCCCATTCTCAGGGTTGGTGCAAATAGTCCTTACTGCTTACTTACAGCTGTTAACTTTGTGATCGTTCAAAGTTACAACAGCACGGAAATAAGGGAGATACGACTGGTCCTCCTCACATTTAACGGCCATTGTAGCGTCAAAATTCAGCTGATTGGCCACCGGTATGTTGTGCACTGTCCTGAGATCACGTCATCACCATTTGTGACCATCCCAGCTGGCTTCCAATAGGCAAAGTCCATGGGGAATGCCAGATTCGCTTAACAACTGCAGTGATTCACTTAACAACCGTGGCAAAACAAAGTGAAATTGGGTGTGGCCCACTGAACAACCGCCTTGCTTATCAAGGTCCTAACTATGATGGTTAAGTCAAGGATTACTTCTAATCTGGTTTAAAGGTCTCTTGGCGAGATCATTTGGTGCAGTGATCTTTTAAGAGGTCCGGTTTCAAAGTAAGAGACTTAACTGGGATACTTATCACTGAAGACTATTCAGTGTCATTCTTTAACTGGTTTCTGCTAAGCTTTCAAAAAAAATATCCCTGCTAGCGTATATAATATTGTGCATAGCATTAGTGTAGTTGGTGACTTACGTGGAAAAAAATATAGTATACAAGCAACTCCTGAAAACCCACCTTTGGGAGAAATATCCAATAGGAAATGAAACAAGCAATGATGAAATGATCAAGCAGAGCCTGAGTAACCCATTGAGAAAGGGAAAAAGCAGATGCATCTCAGCTGTCAGAAGTCTGCCCAACCTCCAGCTAAATACTCAGAGGCTATTAAAGAACCAGATTTCTGTCAGCAACACATGATATTGAAACAGTGAAGTCTGGGGAACGTATCCCCATAGAGTTGATGTCACTGCTCTTTGAGTTGAGGTGGAATTTGAGGCTGTTTGAGGCCTCTCTAGGGGAGATCATATTTAAAATACCTTTTTCAATCTCAAGTTAAAAGACACCGTCCATAGGGTTTTGGAGGTAGCTTTGGAAAACCCAGTAAACCTTTTTTCCCCCTTGTAGGGATTTGCTTTGCCAAGGTGTGAAGATCAAACTGGACGGGTATGATCTGGAGAAGAACAAAGCTCCGTCCATGGAAGACTACGTAAAAACATTCCTAGACACCGAAGTCAAACCTCTTTGGCCAAAGGGCTGGATGCAGGCCAGGTAAAAGAAAAGAGCCATGGATTCCTCCTTCCCCATTTAATCAGCCCATAAATACCTTAGATATAGTAGGGTTTGATCTACAAGTCAGCAGCCCCCAATCTTTTGGGCACCAGGGACTGATTCCATGGAGGGTGTTTTTTCCACAGACTGGGGGGGGGTCACGCTGCCTGGATCTGATGCTTGCGTGGGTGGGCCTTCGCCCACTTCCGCGGCCCAGTTCCTGGCAGTTGGGGACCCCTGCCACAAGGTGTCATGTCTTTTTTTAAAATTCCTCAAACCTTACAAAATTGACTACGTATCGTATATGCCGGCGTATAAGACGACTTCCGGAAGCGCTAAACTCGGCGCCAAAGACGGGGGTCGTCTTATACACCGAATAGTCTTATACGCCGGAAATACTGGTAGTTTCCGGCGTATAAGACGACGTTCTAGGAAGGCGACTCGGCGATAAAGACGGGGGTCGTCTTACATGCCGGGTCGCCTAATACGCCGGCATATACGGTATTTCCATCTTACATATACCACAGTATTATGTGCTCCTTCTATATAATTTCATTACTGTTATCCCTGTGCTCTGTGTCATACGCTAAATGAATAAAAGAGACCTGCGGAATGAAAAGCAAATAATTTTGTAAGTATCCCTAATGAATGTCAGATCTGGAATTTGGCACACAATGAAGTTTCTAGTGCCGTGTTTATGCTATAAAGAGGCGATAGATGGCTATTGAACGATTGAAGCTTCAGCCTAAACCAGGGCTCTTCAAACTTGGCCCCTTTTATGACTTTTGGACCTCAACTCCCAGAATTCCACAGCCAGCATGTGCTGGCTGAGGAATTCTGGGAGTTGAAGTCCACATCATAAAAGGGGCCAAGTTTTTTTTTTTTTAATAATTTTTTATTTTTCCAAACTCTCCCCCATACAAATACCTTGATATTTATCAGATGTTAACATACATTCTTTTTACATTCATATATAAGATACTTTTAATAAAATGAAATAAATACACAGTATTGTCCTACGTCTAAAGATATTTCTCCATGTAGTAAGGCAGCATTGCTATTCTTCTCATCTTTTGTACTATCTTCTCCCGTTGGTATCTTATGATTATATCACTTTGTTGTTTGTATGTACACCGAGCGCTTATGTGCTGGAGACAAATTCCTTGTGTGTGTCCGATCACACTTGGCCAATAAAGTATTCTGTTCTGTTTTGTTTTTTTTTCTTAAAAACCTCCAGTGATGTTTTATTTGGCTCAGATAAAACAAGATTGGAGGGACAAACTTCGCTTCGGGATGATCCAATAACGTGCAAGAGGTGCTTTCTGTCTTTTCTCGTGGCTTGCTTTGCAACTGCAAACTTGACCAATTTTTTAACAGCAAAGGTGATTCCTGCAATTTGGTTACAGTGGTTCAGTTCTCATTCTAGAAATCCTTATTCTTGTTATTTTCAATCCCCCCTTCCCCACCCCCTTTTTTTTTCTTTGGCATCCAGTTTTGTCTCAGTTTCTCCCTTTTTCTCTCCTTTTTCAGAACATTGTTCAAAGAGAGCAGAAAAGTGCACAGTCATCTCACTTCAATCCCGTGAGTATTTCTTACGTTGCCGGTACAGAATGCGAAGGTCAGGCGTGAAAGACCAGCTCCACTTGTGAAAGTACAGTTAAGTGGATCTTTTGCTAAAAGATCTCCTAACTCGGAGTTAGATAAGGGTCAAGGGCACTTAAAGGAGGCTGAACCTAATCCACTTGTGACTACATTGGGATACTAGGCTGATCCCTTTTTTAACTCTGCCCCCACGTTCTGCCTTCCTTCTCCAGCAATGGGGGGGGGGGGAATTCCCTTGCTGCCTACCAAGTTTAATTGTTGCTGTCATTCAATATGCAACCGTCTTGTCGTGCTGTTGCTTAAAAGTTTGTGAGGACCTGTGTTTTTGTGCTGATTTTTTTTAAAAAAAAATGACTCAGAATTAAAACTGTATTACAGCTAAGGTGAAGTTACAAATGTACTACAACCATATCAAGAGGATATAATTTTACTACTAAGTAGCAAAAGATACCTGGGTGCCAAACAATGAGGCCAACGGACCTTTGTTGACATCTTCTCTGTTATATAGTGTCAAACTCATCCCTCTCCTATTCTCTAAGACAGTGATGGCGAACCTTTTAGAGACCGAGTGCCCAAACTGCAACACAAAACCCACTTATGTATCACCAGGTGCCAGGTGGGCATGGCCCACTGGATGGGTGTGGCTGTGGTGGTCATGGCAGATTGGGTGGGTGTGGCCAAGGTGGGCATGATCACCTCAATGTTGCTTGTGGGGAAGGACATCTGTGGGGGCCGGGTACGGTTGGGGGAGATCCAGGGGGCCTCTGGCAGGTGGGGCGGTGGGCAAGAGGCTCGTCCTGCAGGGTGAGGCAAGGCGAGGCAGGGCGGGAGTGCCATTGTCACAGGGCAAAGTGAGGCAGGGGCCAGGGCGGCTGCTGCCTGACACCCTTGACCCCCACACACAGAGGCCAGCGAGCGCATGGGTGCTGGGATGCATCCGGCCATGTGGAACCTCGGCCAGTTAGCGGGCGGCTGGTTGAAGAGGGTCGGTTGCCATCTCCGGGGCATGGCGCGTGTGCCCACAGAGAGGGCTCCGAGTGCCGCCTCTGGCACGCGTGCCATAGGTTTGCCACCACTGCTTTAAGAACTCATACTTACAGATTTTTCCCAGGTTTCTACTCAATGTGCTTTTAACTGGAAGTGCAAGCAACTTCCATGAACGACTTTTCAGCAGGGACACGTTCCATTTTTTTTAATGTTCCAAATATCTTTAGAGAAGGTTACTTAAATAATTGGATTTGTGTTCCGGTTTGAGCAGTTGATGGCCTGCCCTGAGCACAAGAAGGGTCTCTAGTTGTCAACTGTGGCAAGTTTTGTTAAGGCTGCATTTCCTTCTCCCATAAATGAAGCAAATCTCTCTCTCTCTCTCTCTCTCTCTCTCTCTCTCTCTCTCTCTCTCTCTCCCTCCCTCCCTCCCTCCCTCCCTCCCTCCCTCCCTCCCCCCCCCCCTCTCTCTCTCTCTCTCTCTCTCTCTCTCTCTCTCGTGTTTCCCTCAGAACCAAGAAAAAAGTGATGGCTCCTCCAAAGGTAAAAGGAAAGGTGAGTGGTTTGGTTGAGACTTTCAAATAGTTTTCAGCCCTGGGGGGGCATTGCAGGAGGATGCTACAATGACAAAGCTGTGACTGGGTTTGTATGAAAAGAGGGGGGGTGTCTCCAGACTGGCTTCTGTTTTTTGCATGTATGTGGATTTCTTAGTTTTGCTTTGCAGAATTGTACGAAGCCTGTGCGCCAAGGACTTCGGAATCTAATAAGTAGCAAGATAGTAGTGTTGGGCGTGGAGATAGCAAAAAAAAAGGGGGGGGGACTGAAAAAACACCTAATTATGGTAAAGAGAATGATTATCTGACACTGCATGTTTTAACAGCCGGGAGGATAGTATTTGCCCAATATTGGAAAAATGAGAATCTACCATCTGACCAGACTATAATTACTAAAATCTTAAGAGTTGTGCAGAAATGGATAGAGTAACATTGGAGATGAAAGAAAAAGATGATTCAGTTTATTTTATAACTTGGGATAAATTTTATCAATAGTTAGAGACACGTTAGAATTTGAAAAGGATCTAACATCTCAGAATAGATGATTGATTTCTAACCAAGTTCTAATTCATAGGTAGATGACATTGTTATTTTTTAGTGATTTAGTGATTTTTATCTACATTGATAGTTAGGATTTTATGAGATTTTATTATTTGTGTTTCTTTAATAGATGAATTTATTTGTTTATTAACTGTTTATAATACGGCTATAATTAAGGTTATTTTAAGATATTTACTCATTCTTACCATCCGGACAGTTGCTTGTTTGTTAAAATTTTATCCTAAATCCCCTATCTCCTTCCCCCCATACCCATATTGTTCCTAATTTTCCCTTATCTATATAAACTCAATAAAATAGTGTTTAAAAAAAACAACAACACCCAAATGGGTTGAGTTCTTTCTGTAATGTATTTCTGAGGCCTCCAGAGTGGTAGGAGCTCTCCAGAAGGGATCGCACAAAACAGTTTGACGCGTGCATTGACCTCTGAAAGGACATTTCTCACAGAACTGTTGTGTTCTTTTTAGGAGCCTTCTGGCAAAGTGGAGAAGAAGCTTCCCCTCCCCGTCCCGCTGATCCACGCCAGCGGTGCAGTTTCTCTTTCTCCAGATTCCCAGGGCGTGGTTGTCGGCCTCAGCCCTCAGACTAGGGAACTGTTGGCTATGAGTTCAAATCCAGTCACCAGCACCATGGCTGCTCCTCCTCCTCCTCCTCCTTTCAGCCTGGACGATTCTCTCGACGAGGACTTGATCCATCACACGACTTCCTCGTTGGAAGCGGTCTCCAAGGAACTGGCTGCGCTCAACAGCCGAACAGGAGGCAACAGCCCTGACTTCACCCTCTCTCCGGCTCCGAAGGCGCCTGCGGAGAAGCCCCCCAGTCAGAGCAGCTTGGAAGAGAAGAGGGTCTTCCCCAAATCGGCTCCCGCCCCTGCTCACTCAGCTGCGGGGGGCTCCGTGCAGTCTCCACTCAACTTCTTGGCCGAACAGGCTTTGGCGCTAGGCCAGTCTCCCCAAGAGAAGAAAGCGGAGGGCCCCCCTTACAAGGAACTGCCTTGCCAGAGCCCTCCTTCCAAGCCCTTGGACGCCCACCAGGTGTCCAAGCCGAAACACCACAGCCTGCCCCGTGCGTTGCAGGGCCCTCAGACCTCAACTCCGGTGCAGACCCCCCAAGTAAAAGTGTTTCCCCTGGTTCCTCAGCAGCAGAAAAGCTTCCCCCCTTCCCCACCTTTTGTCAAGCTGCAGAACCCCAAGATGGTCTCCCCGCTGGCTCAGCGCCCTCTCCTCCAGCCGCAAGCCAAGGCCCCCGCCAAGGCCCCCGGCTTCCATTCTTCCTCTTCTTCTTCCTCCTCCTCCTCCTCTTCAACCATCTCTCCCAAGACTCCCAACTCTTTGGTGTCTCTGAGTTTCGCCGGGAAGCACCCAAGCAGCCCTAGTTCCTCCGGGCAGTCTTTCAAGTCGCCCTTTGTGGCCCTGTCCAGGCACGTGGCTTCGACCGGAAGCGTATCGTCTGGCGTTTCCTCCACTCAGAGCTCCCCTCCAGGCAGCGTCCTGCCGGGCGCCTGCGTCCCTTCCTCTGGGCCGGCTCCCAGTCGCTCGTCGCCCAGTTCCCTGGGGAAGAAAACCGTCGTCCCTCAAAAGCTGACTTTGGTGGCTCCGCCGGGGGGTCCCAACGTCAGCTCCAGCGGAGGAACGCAAGGGGTAGCCAAGTTGTTGACATCTTCCCTGAAACCTGCCATGATCAGCAGCTCCACATCCTCTACCTCTGGGCCGGTGAGTGGCTGCTGGGAAAGGCCAGGAGTTGGGCTCCGGGAGTTTCAGAGTCCAAAGTGCAAATGTGCCCTCTCCCGATAAGGGGCCACTGTTTTAAGGCTGCAGATCTAAGCAGAGTGCTTCTGTTAACTCTAAGGAACTTTTTTTTTGCAAGAGCCAATGTTTGTTTTAACCTGTGATTATCAACCGCTCCATTATTTTGGGACATGGGCGAAGGCAAAGACGTCTCCTTTGTAAAATGATCACGGCCACGGATCTACCCTGCAGGGGCTGACAGTTGAGAAAGGGGACCGTTGCTCTTCTGCTCTAACTGGTGTTCTTTTCACCCACCCTTTCCCTCCTCCCTGTCTACCCCCCCTCATCTCCCAGAAAGGAACCAGTGGAGCAGTCCTGCTGACCAGTTCGTCTTCCTTGAACGTCCTGTCTCCTTCCTACAAACCCAACAGCCCAAAGCTGCCCACAGCACTAAGCTCTACTCCACTGGGGATTATATCGCCAATCCATTCCTTCCCCCTTCACGTGATTTCCTACAGCTCTGACTCTTCCGCCAAGGCTGGGGTGTCAAAGGATGTGATCGTCACAGGGCCGGCCCCAGGAACATTCCATCACGGTGTTGGCCATAGTAAGTGTTGGTTGGGAAAGGTGAGGTGGGGGGCTCACATGCTGGGGGTTACAGCCGGTAAGCATTGCTGCAGATAACGTGCTCCCTTTCCTGCTACATGCGCGTCTGTCCTTGTCCGAAGGGATCTTAAAAAAAAAAAACTCATCTCCACGAATGTGTCCTCCAATGAGTTACCAAGATCTCTTCCTGTCTCGCTCATGTATATGTCTGTCATTGCCGCTGTCTTGCTCTGCTTTGCATCTCAACAATTCCGGGCCTGGGTCCCATCCTCTTCAAAAGCCGTCCTTCGGTTGGGACAATCTTTCGCGTACACGATCTCCTCAGCATCCTTTTCCCTTCCTTTCATCCATTGACACACCGTGGGAAGGGTCCAAGATCAAAAGTCCTTGTGTGGCACATCTCCGAATACAAAGTCCGTAATAGCACGGATCTACTGAGCCGTGGTGGCACAGTGGTTAGAATGCCTTATTGCAGGCCAAGTCAATGCTCACTGCCAGGGGTTCGATCCTGACCAGCTCCCGGTGGACTCAGCCTTCCATCCTTCCGAGGTCGGTAAAATGAGGACCCAGATTGTTGGGGGCAAATAGGCTGAGACTGTAAACCCCTTAGAGAGGGCTGTAAAGTGGTATATAAGTCCTAAGTGCTGTTTCTAGTGCTACACCCATTATTCACCATTGGGTTAAGTGACCGCGAAGGGCTTTTCCCAGAGGGACCTCAAAAATGATACACAAACTTTCAGACAGGTCGGAAGGAACATGCTTTCTAACGAGTGCAAGTTGGCACCAAGTCTGTTTGCATCACTCACATTACTGATGTTAACCTAGTTTCGGCAGTGAAACATCTGCCAGGAAGCAACCGAGCTCCGAAAGCACCCAGGACCCCCTCATTTTAACCCTGAGCTACAAATATTCTCCTTTACTGGCAAGTCTGTTTTGTCTCTTTGACCAGCAAGCCCCCTCCCCTAGGTTTCTGGAAGGGCGACTTTCCCCCCTATGAATGTAACCGTGGTCTTGAAGTATTTGTTGGTGATCTATGCCTCTAAAATGAGGCGGAGATCCCCCCCAAGGGGTATAAAACATGTCCCAAATAGGAGACCCATTGCTGAAATTCTGCCGCTTTTTCTGTGCTGTTGGTGCTGGATGATGGGCTTTGTATGTGCAGTAGAAACCGCCGGTTTTCCTCCGTTCAGGCATTACATGACCTTGAACGTCACCTGTTGTGTTCCTCGGTCACCGTTCCCTCCTTCTGGCTATGCTTCCATCCTATTGTATTGCAATGGCTCGCCTTGCTGTCCGTGGATTGTTGCCGGGCGCTACAGCTGGAATATGTAGTGGTATATTTATTCTTTGAAATGAAACTTGTGAGATGGGAGCAGAGAATTAATGTTTTGGCTCTGGCAGGGAGACAGTCCAGGCTGCCCCTGCTAGCTCATTCCTTGAGAACTGCACTTTCAAGTGATGCCTTGACCTATGGGAAGGGAACGGTTGCTGGGATTTTGCCCCATCCAATGCCCTGCGCCCCTTCAGGTACGTCGCTTTCTCAGAGCATCTGGTTTATGCGTTCAGCCACCACCGGGCAAACTCGTGGCACCGGTGAACTTTCAGCCAAACCATTTTGTACCTTTACCGGTGAACTTGCTGAGCAGCCAACCAGATACGAGATAAAGAACTTTGCTGGAGAGTTTTTGGCAAAGGTTGGAAAGGGGAGGGCGGGGGGTGGGTGGGTTGGGGGTCATTTTGCATCTGAATCCATCCATAGACCATCTTCGGCTCATTTGTCTTCAATGTACATATGTTTCTCTTCCTCCTCCTCTTCTTCTTCCTCCTCCTCCTCCTCCTCAATTCCCCTCTCCTTTCTAGGTCTTCTGGCTGGATTGTCCTCCAGCCTCCATCAGGCAGTGCCGACTGCCCATTTATCCCACAGCTTACCAGGTAACTCCCCCAATTGCTCTTTATTTATTTATTTATTTATTTATTTATTTATTTATTTATGAGACTTATATACCGCTTTAAGTGCAAGCACTCTCTAAGTGGTGTACACCAGTAAGCAATGTATATATATATATATATTTACATTGCCCCCAACAATCTGGGTCCTCATTTTACCTACCTCTTGTTTGGTTTCGTGTGCTTCTGAGTCATTCAGCGGGCACCTCCCCGAGACAGCTGCCAGCTTTGCCTGCCCTTCCCGAATTATTATTTGTTTAGCATAGGCCAGTGATGGCGAACCTTTTAGAGACCGAGTGTCCAAACTGCAACCCAAAACCCACTTATACATCGTCGGGTGCTGGGTGGGTGGGGCCCATTGGGTGGGCGTGGCCCAATGGGTGGGCGTGGCGGCGGTGGTAACGGCAGACTGGGTGGGACTAAAAAGTTCGATCAATTCCAACTTTGCGAGATCTTTTTTTTCCCCACGAGAAGTTGAAACTGACTGATTGATATTTTTTTTTTTTTTTTGCACACGGCGGCGGAGGCCTAAAGCGGAAAGGTTTTATAAAACCCAGCTGAAGGCCTAGGACTGGGGCGACGGCACGTGTGCCCAGAGAAAGGTCTCTGAGTGCCACCTCTGGCACCGAATAGAATATAAATGTTAAAAAGATCTATGTTCAAATAACGATGTCTAGGTCAGTGGTTCTCAGCCTGTGATCCTCAGACCCCCGGGGGCCCGCAGTGTCGTCACCGGGAGTTCACGAAGGCTCGAAGAAACGTTATGATTTAAATTTTGAGCTAGCTCTTGGGGGTCCTGGTCCGTGGCCACAAAAGGTATTTAAAGGGGGTCCATGGTGAAAAAAAGATTGAGAACCACAGGTCTAGGCCATCTAACCTTCATTTGTATATATAAAAAAATCAGATATTGGACCGGTAGATGCCCCCGGCTTACAGCCAGTCACAATGTGATCTACAGTTTGGTGTGGGACCCCACAGTCCCACTGAGAGGAGGATATTATGCCCCATTTATACCGAGAACCCAAGCCGACGCCATGTGAGGGGTGAATCCTATTCACGATTGTCCATTGCTGACCGGAATAGTTCAAAGCCTGTCACCGTTTTTTGGTGGGGTCATTCATATGTCTTCCTATATCTGGCCATCCAGGGACTCAGTTGGGTTTCCATTGGGAATCGATGTTACAGTTGTTGGGCAGATGTTGTGCAAGTGCCAGCGGTCTCTTCCTGGATTTAAGTCTTCTAGCTGATAAATGAGAAAGGTTGGCATACGCCAGTAGAAGTGAGTTATTCACAATTTTTCCGTATTCACGAATTATAAAGCCTTCAACCCCAGGCTACTACATCTCTCCAAAAGCAGCGGGCCTGGATCCCACCAGCGGAATCTCTTTCTCCTGGAAGCTGAGCTTCTCCGTACAAATACCACATTATCCCATCCCAATTATCGGATGCACTTCTCCCTTTGTGATGCCGCAGGATGGATTAATTAACATCATTAAAGTCTGACTTGATTATTGCCTCTGATTATAGTCAGGGTTAGTTATGTATTTTAGTCAGAGATCCTATGTGATTGGATTGGGTTGTTTTTTTTTACAACAGTCGTAAAGCGAGCGAGCGAGCGTGGTCATTAAGCAAATCACAGCGTTAAGCGAATTATCTGAATGATTGTACATTTGAATCCAATTTATCCAATGGGCTTTCCGCCCCCCTGGAAAATGGCAAAAAAAAAAGTCATAGCACAGGGTCACATGACTGCAGGACGCTGCAATCAGACTTAAATGTGAGTCAGTTCCCAACTAGCTAAACTGTGATCATGTGGTGTAATAGTCATAACTTTGAGGACGTGTCATGAGTAATTTTTTTTCTGATGCCATCATAACTTTGAACGGTCCTTAAGCAATTGGTAGTAAGTCAAGGACCACCTGTATTGTGTGCTCACTGTAATAGCAGATTTTATTAGTGACCTTGATTTGTTTCTGATATTAAATGTATTGTTGCCCTTTTACGTTTTTAACTTTTCGGGAATTACCAGGTCAGTCGGTTGGTTTTATTTAACTTGATATTGTCTACAAAAACTGACAATCGCTAAGATTTCACAGAGGAATTGAAAAAAACCACTATTGCTGTACTACTGATCTATAGTGGTTTTAGAAAGACAGGGAAGGCATGTCATAAAAACACAGCATGTAAAAATACTGTTTAAAGGGGGTCTAAAGAGGACAATTCTTGCTGCCTTTATGTGCACGAATCCTAAGCTCAGAAAAAAATCCTTTGTGTTGATGAATTCCAATAGTGTCTTTAAAGACTCTTCATTCCCCGAGCCCTGCCCTCCTTTTTATGATTTTTTATCCAGCTGTTGTTGAAATGAATGAGAAGCTGTAATGGTTAAGCTAGAGAGGATACTTATTGTACCACAGCCCAGCAACAAGATCGATAATATTTCTGATGTTTGAACTGGGCAAGTCTCTGGAATGCTTGCTTTTTGTGTGCCAAAGCAACTTCTGCAGTGTAAAATTTTCCTTGCAAAACATGAAGTGGCACTCGGGACTGGCTGTGTTAGTTTTTTTGTTTTAATTTGTGGCAAGGTCTTTTATTATTATTATTAGAATAATAATGATTGTACATATGGGGGGGTTAGTTGGGCCTCTTTTGATCTCGATGTGATCAATTGCATTATCCTGTGGTTATTTTTTTGTATAAAGTTTCATTTGTGAAGCCACCCAGAATTGTTCCGGGGTTGGACAGTCTAAAAATGTGGGGGCCTTTGGTGCTCTTGGAGCTTGGTTGTCTTCTTACATTATTTCATTATCCAAACTAGGTAACATCATCAATGCTAGTCATGCTATCTCGTTTGGGTAATGAAATGCTAGTCACACTAGCACTGATGATGTTACCTAATTGGGTCATGAAATGTCGGCAAGCAAACCACCATGCTCAGAGAGCACCAAGGACCCCACAGTTCAACCCTGAGCTACAAATATTCTTTATTAATCTAAAAAATGTATTTATTCGACCAATCAGCCAGTCAACTCTTCTGCCTGATCTTTCCCATGTAATCTGTTCTGCCACAATATGGAAGATAAGAGTTTATAAATAAATTAAATAATCTCTCCCTGCCCCCACCTGCCTCTAGTATGGTACCAATCATATGGCAAATGTGCTTTACACACAAGTAACATAATAGAGGGTGCCTCGGTTACGACAAACCCAATCACCTATCCTGTTCATGGGTATTATTTTTTTCCCCTGATGCACAACATTTTGCCTGGACATCATATTTCCCTCCTGCCCTGTGACTCTTGAAAGAAGTCAAAACTGTGATTTGAGTATCTTTAATAAGACTCTGGAGCTTCGCTGCCATGTAGATTGATGACCTTTCCTTTTGTGTCTCTTTCAGATAGTTCTCAGCTACACAGCAAAGGGCCCAATGTGCAGCCGCGGAAATTGTGACAATTCTGAAGAAGAAGAAGAGAAAAAAAAAAAATGCAACCAGCTCTGGGAAAAAGCCTGCAGAACGCAGCAAGGCAGCCCTCCCACGGCTTCCTTGCTCTTCCTTCTTCGGTGGGATCGATCTGTAGGTTCCCCCTCTTCCCCTTATCCCAGTTTGGACTAAGATTCTTCCCGGGGTGGGGCGGGGGGTCTGAGACGGATGCTGAAAAAGGAAGCATTTCGCAGGCCCAACGTTCACTTCAGCTCCTCCAGGGTCCAGATCAGGGGGAGGCGAGATCCTTAACAGATCTCCAGAAGCCAGGTCCTTCTGTTCCTGCCAGGTGCCTCTTAATTCTGCAACGGATTCTGGGAAGGCCCTCGCTTCTGCTTGCGGAAATACCGGCTGAGAGTGAATCTGTGGGGTGGGTTTCTCCTCCCCGATGGCCCCTTTCATAAAGCTTTGCTGGTCCTTCCCTGGAAGATCTATCCTTCTCTGTGGCAGCTCGCCGGTCCCCTCAGAAGGAAGTCAAGACTTGAGGGGCCTCAAGATGCACTCATGGACCTTCCCTTTCCTCAATACGCTCAGTTTTCCTTCCCCCCCCCCCTTCTCTCCACTGAACACATCGGACGGGACTAAGCCCCCCTTTCTCCCCCCCCCAATGGGTCAATGTGTATAACGAAGCTGTCATTTCAGTGCCTTTTGATGGTGGAGCCAGAATGCAAGCTATCCCGAGCTCTCCAGAGCTTTTTAACGTTCTCCTTTTTTAAACATCCTCCTCTCTTATTTAAGACGCACCGGGATTTATTTAAGGGGACTTTGGGAGGTGGGGTGAGTGTGTGTGTGTGTGGGGTGGGTGGGGGTGGGTTGTGGCCCGTCGTCATCCCCATTTTAACTGCGCTCGCTGGTGAATGCCAAACTGGCACCTGGCACGGGCATTCCTCAGAAAGCTGGCGGTTCTTTGCCAGAGTTCTCTCGAGCATTTCGCAGATAAGAGCCAAGGCAGGGACGTCTTCCTTTGCTGTGAGATCTGTCACAGTTCAAGCATCCAGTGACCTGATGTGGCGGCACGTTTGCTCACAGGGAGTTGCCTGTTGCCTGGAGCAGCCAGAAGAGCTTTTCGTACGCTCTGAACGGAAGGGAGACGCTGCAAATCCATTTCAGGACTTAAAGAGTAGACTCCCCCCCCCTTCTTTCTTAAGCTGCTTAGTTGCAACTCTTTTGACTGGCTGGGGACGCTTGGAAAACCAACCAGGGCTGCCAGTTGCCCTGCCTTGGTTATGCTTTGGTGCTGTGCTAAAGGTTTGGGGGCAGATCCTCCTAATCTTGACGCAGCATCTGGCCTGGAGGTTACTTTGGAGTAAAGGCGAGGACCCAAATTTTTGTTTTGGCTTGGCCTTGTCGCTGTCCGATTCTCCAAACCGCTGCACTTTCTGGAGAAACAAATGTTTTGCAAGAGGAGAAAAGGCATCAATTATCCCATTTTTTTGGGGGGGAGAGCAAAAACAGGCTTGAGTAGTCAGTACAAGGCACATAAAACTAGTAGGGTGGTTAGTTGTTGCTCTTTAGCCAGAATTGCAAGGTTTTTTTTTGTTTGGTTGGTTGTTTTTTTTGCAAACTCCCAAACTCAACTTGAAAGCTTGTCAGCCCAACTTGAGGTCTATTTGCGGCCAGTTTTTTTCTCGCAGGATCTTCTTCCATCTTTAACCCGAATTTACTGATTCTTCCACTCAAACAAGAGGAAGCACTTGATCTATCAATTAGTTGAACCCATTTAAAAAAAAAAAAGCACCACGAGTTCTGTTTAATTTGAGACACGTACCCCTTCAGTTTAGAAAAACGGGTTCTTTTCTTTGAGCTATTTTAGGATTCTTGGTTAACCTGTGCAAAATGGTTTCAAGTCTTTTGCATTTGTTGTTCCCTCTTTTCCCAAAAGTTACTTTGGGCCTCACTGGCCACAGTTAGTTCTGTTTAAAAAGTTGCAGCAGAAGAGCCAAAGACTGCATGCATTTTTAAGGTTGCCCATTTTTTGAAGCGCATTTTTTCCCCCTTTTAAGTACATGGATTTTGGTTGGGGGGGGGGCTTGTTTTTCCGTCAGCTCAGTCCTACTCTCTGTTAGTTACCTCTCAAAAAGCTGCTTTTATCAGTCATAGGAAGAAGTGTTTGGCACTTGGCAGAATTTGGGCCTTGCATGAGCCATTACGCCTCCCCCTCCTCACTCTTCTCCCCAAAGCTTTTGGTCGCTACGTGTACTGGTGCCCGCCATAGCTGGAGCAGAACCCCTTGTCTGTTTTTTTTTTTAAAAAAGGAAATGTTCACAAAGCCTCTTGCCTCAGGGAAACGTTATGTGGTGGAACTTCTGCCCAATCTCTCCCCTTCCTGCTTTCTTCCCTTCCCCCTTTCCTTTGTGTTTTTAAGAAGTAGAACTTAAAAAGCAAGCCATGGCAGGGCAAGATCGAAGAGCGGTGGGCGAGCAAGCGGGTGGGCAGTGCAACGGTGGCACCCGGAGCTGCTGCCCGCCGAGGAGCGTTGTCTACCTTGGCTTCAACTAATTGGGGGAGATTTTGTTTACGGTGGGCGTAAGCACCACCAGATGGCACTTAAAAATAAATAAATTAAAAAGCAGTCTCTTCTGTGTGCAGAAAGAGCTGCGATTTATTTTTGTGTGTTTGGGAGAAGGGCGGGGAGGGTGGGTGCTGGGGAAAAAGACAAGCCTTTCTAGGAAATGCGGAGGGTGGCGGTGACACGGAAAATGATTAATCTTGTATACTGCAACTGAAATAAAAATTGGTTGGTTTTTTTTTTTTTCCAGAACATTTTTCACTTACTCCAAAAGGAGGGTTGGGGAAAGAGGCGGTCTACTGAAGGGCAGGGCTACCCACATTAAAGGCAAAACTCCTTGGCATCGTCGCTGAAAGATGGATGAGATGTCAGGTGTAAGGTTTTAGAACAGTGATGGCGAACCTTTTAGAGACCGTGCCCCAAAACCACCCTGCCCTCCCCATCCTGCACCCCACCTGCCTGCAGGGCCACCCACCGCCTCCACGGCCTGCCGCGGATCACCCAGGTGGCCCAGCAGCGCCATGGTGGCCACACCCTCCATCCGCGCCCTGCAGCATCATCTGCGCATGAAGGCAGAGTCTTGTCCCCACTACCTGGCTGCCATGTCCTTGGCTGCGCTGCTCTGCCCGGGCCGCAACCAGAGGCAAGTCTCTGGGGGGGGGGGCTGCTGGTGAGGAAGGGGCTGTGGGGAAGGCAGGGCTGGGGCGACGGCACACATGCCCACAGAGAGGGCTCTGAGTGCCGCCTCTGGCACACGTGCCATTGGTTTGCCACCACTGTCCTAGAAATTGCCATCTGCAGGGAAAGAGTCCTGATAGCTTTAGCATTCTCCAGCTTCATGGATGGATGGATGATGTGGGTGGGTGGGTGGATAGATGGAGGGAGGGGGGGATGGATTGGCTGAGTGGGTGGATGGATGGATATGGATGAACATGGATGGATAAGGACAAATGGCTGGATCTCAACTCCCAGAATTTGCCAGCCAGCAAAGTCTTTGCTGAAAGTTCTGGGAGTTAGAAGTCTGCAGATCTGGCAGGTACCAAAGTTGGAAACACACAGCTCTAGGTGTTTATGGAGTTCCTCAATCATCCAGGTCATGGTTGTCTCCAAGGTGCTTTTCCAAAAGGCAACTGGACTTTCTTGGTTTTTCCTTTGAAAACCTTTCGCTTCTCATCCAAAAGCTTCTTCAGTTTCTTGGATGAGAAACGAAACATTTTCAATGGGAAAAAAAAAAAGAAGTCCAATTGCCTTTTGGAAAAGCACCTTTCAGACACAGCTGTAGGTGTCTGGAGGTTAGCTTCCAGCTTAGCAATTGTTGAAAATTCTTCCGTGCCTACATTTCCTGCAGACATACGTGGAAAAGGCAGGATTACAGTTAACACATGAAAATTTGGGGGGAGTTTAGAGGGTTGACAGAGGCCCGCAAGTTGGTAGCTATGCTGAAGACCAAAATTAGGGATAGTTGTAGAACAAGACATTTGGAGTCTGCAGTCTGCACCTCTTGTGCCTGTTGGTATATATTTTGCAAAGTGGCACCTAGGGCCACATTGACAGACTCCTGAAGTTTCATTCTTATCAGCCCTGGTGTCCTTCAGTCTGATTCTGGAATCACAGTGGTCAATGACAACCCTGGAAAAGAATCAGCTTAATTTATGGTAATGAAAGGCTAATATTCTCAAACTGCCCTGTTTCTGCATCTGCCTTGCATTGCTATGCGCCTCTTCAGGGTTTCCATGAAAATGTCAAAAGAATGCCATAGAACATAGAATATCATGAGAGTTGGAATCATCTGATCTAACCCCTGCTCTAGCAGGATATCCTATACCATTACAAATGGCTGTCCAATCTCTTCTTGACAACCTCCTCTGAATGAGCATCCACAACTTCTGAAGACAAGCCATTCCATGGTTAATTGTTCTCACTGTTAGGAAGTTTCTCCTTAATTCTAGATTGCTTCTCTCCTTGGTTAGTTTCCATCTATTGCTTCTTGTCTTGCCTTCAGGTGCTTTGGAAAATAAGTTGACCCCCCTCTTTGGAACACTGCTACATGTTCCCCCTTAGTCCTTTTCACTAGACTAGACATACTCAATTCCATCTTCTGTGTCTTTTTGTATACGACTATGAATTCAGTGCCTATAATTTTCATTTATTGACAGAAAGGCAAAAGATTTAAAGAACCATTAACTTGAATCACGTCTTTATTATAACTGAGGAGTATAAATAACTTTTCCCATTTCCCTTCTCCAACAAATAACTTGAATACATACAGTCAAATATAAGTAAGCAAAACAGTGCATGCGTCTTACAAGTGAGACTATGGGGAAAATAAAGGCACTTAGATTTGGTAATAGTTCTCTATTAAATCTCCCCTTTTTCAAAGGATTAGAGCTATCTCTACATAATCTTGAGCTGCAAGATGAAGCCCACCATCAAATAGGCATATATACATACATCTTCACTGCCTTAAAATTTGACCACTCCCATATCATGTAGATTAACTTTTTGATAAACTCAAGATCCAACGTGCCAAAATGCTAGTTGTATCCTGGTACAATTGTATCTTTCTTGTAAGTCATGTCGTGTTTTAATGCCAGCCCATTATGTTCAATCACTTTTCCCTTGCCCATCTCAATGAAGAGATTATTAAGCATCTACCGTACCATCCACCCGCTCTTCCTTTGGATAACTTCCTAAACTTCTAAGCATTCTCCAGAAGAAACAAACCAGTTGATGCAGTTATAATAAAGGTTTAGGTGATGCTTTAAAGTGCTTAGAGTTTCCCATACACTGCATTAACTTTAAAATAATTACAAAAGGTAGCATAGCATCTTCTCCATGCTGCAGTAAGACAAAAAAAAAAAAAAAAAACAAAAGCATTCACTCAAGGTCATATAATTCTGAATTTACAGTGCCCAGATTTCAGTTCGACCCTGAAGGATTTGCAGGATTTTATAGTTGACAGAATCTGAGATGCTAAAACTGAAATACGCGCACCGGATAGATAAATGCTTGATATCTGCTGTCCCTCTGCCAAGATGGGAGTTCATCATAATTTGGAGAAGAGTAACTTGGCAAAAAATGTAGGAGCAGAACCTTTAGCTTTGGGCAAAATTGATGCAGGTGACTTAAAAGCTAAAGAGCGCCCAAACGTTGAATAAAGACACCGTAGGCTTTGGCAGATAGATCTGAGGGAAGCATTAAAGAGTAAAACATCTGGATCTGTAGCAAGATGGCTCTGGGCCAGTTAAAAATAGTTTTGCTTAAGTTGAGAAGGAAACGGTTATTTTTGTCCAGATACCAAAACAGCCAGCTCCTGAATGGACATCTCCTTGTTGAGGTAACTTTGATATTGAGCCATGGTTAATCTTCCATGCTTCAAGGCATCTTCAATACAGAATTTCCTCCCTGACTTTCGATCCAAGATGACAGAAGATTCACCACTGGGCCCTTTCACCGTGATCTCTTCCCAGTCACATTCTTGGCTTTTCAACTTGACATATAAGCTCCAGTCAATAAGGCCGTATCGGTGGGCTTCTTCGGGAGACATCTCCTTCCCCGTATCGGGGTCAATGACCACAATTGAACGCCTCAGATGGTTTTCTCGCTGTTCCCTTTTGATAGCAACAGTCTGGAGGCGGGTTTGGAGCTGTTCGATCTCCTCGTCTTTTTCTCGAGACAGCCTTTTCAGATCTTCCAGTTCGTTCTCCAGGCTGTGGAACCTCAAATCGAGGCTGGCACGTCGATCTACCTGGGCCATGTTCTTCAGATCCTGGGCTTCCATCGTGGTGAGCTCAATCTCCGAATGCAACCTCCTCATCTCCAGCAGAAGGTTCTGCTTTTCTATGTGGAGCTTGTGGTTCTCCTCTCTCAAAAAGTCCAACTCCTTGGAAGATTTGGAATTGTTAAATTCCATTTCAGAAAGTTTGGCCTCCAACTTATTAATATCGGAATCCAGTTGCATTTTCCGTCGGCTCTCCTCCTCTAGACTGTTCTTCAGCTTCTGAATCTCATACTCGGTGTCTCCCTTCTCCACCTGGACGCTCTCTGAAAAGACCACTTTCTCCTTGACCCCCATCTTCTCCAGTGCCTGCAGTTTCTTCCGCAGGGCTTCCAGCTCAGTTTGTAGGACTTGTTTCTTGTGTTTCTCCTCTTCCAGCTCCAGCTTAAGTAGACTGTGCTCTTTCTCCTGCTGAGGATCTTGTTGAACAATCACCTTTTGTCTCACAGTGACTTTTTCTGTTGTGTCCTTCTCTTGTTGCTCCAGCTCACTCAGTCTGATCTTCAGCCTCTGCACTTCCAGTTCGGCCTCCCTACGGGCCTGCCTTTCCTTCTCCAGTTCCTCCAGCTGGCGTTCCAGTTGTGACCTCCTCCTCTGCAGCTTGCGCATTTCGGTCCGAAGTGAGTCTATTTGCTGCAGCTCATTTTCAATGTTCTGGGAGAAAGTGTTAATCTCTGATTTTAAGGTAGGGTCTTGTTCCAGCCTCACCACTTCCTGCTTTACCACTTTTTCCCTCACCTGGGAAAGCTCCTCCTCCTTCTGCCTGATGATTTCCTCCTGTTGCTTCTTCTCCTTCTCCAAGTCCATGTGCTTCTTCTGCTCCTCAACCAATTGAGCTCGCAGGGACTCCACTTCCTCTTTCTTCTGGCGATCTTCCCGGTACTGCAGGATCTCTTGAAGGACCTCCTTTACTTGGATGTGAGGCTTGGCTTCCTTCAGGGCCTCGATTTCTTGCTTCAACTTATAGATCTCCAGATCTGCTCTCTCAATGGCTCTGGTCCTATCCACAATCTCATTTCTGAGTCGCTTCATCTCTGTTTCAGTTTCCGGGTCTGTTTTGTACTTAATGACCTCTTTTATGATCTCTTGCACTTCCACCCGAGGCCCTCTGCTCTTCAGAGTCGCCAGCTCATTCTGGCAGGCGCGGAGCTGCTCTTCCCCACCCAGGTATCGCCTCTCCTGCTCCATCATTTCGAAGCGAAGGTTGGCCACTTCGTTTTCAGCTTGTGGATCTGGGCGAATGATTTCTCGCACCTTCTCCTGGACG